CCGATATTCTCCTCCTCGACGAGCCCACCAACCACTTGGACGTCAAGAACGTTGAGTGGCTCGAGAACTACCTCAAGACCTCCCCTTGCACTTCCATCATGGTCTCCCACGACTCCGGTTTCCTGGACCGTGTCATCCAGCACGTTGTCCACTACGAGCGCTTCAAGCTGAAGCGTTACCGTGGTACTCTGTCCGAGTTCGTCAAGCGCGTGCCCTCTGCCCGCTCCTACTACGAGCTCGGTGCCTCCGAGATGGAGTTCAAGTTCCCCGAGCCCGGTTTCCTTGAGGGTGTCAAGACCAAGTCCAAGGCCATCATCCGTGTCAACAACATGATGTTCCAGTACCCCAACACCCCCGCTCCCCAGATTCGCGACATCACTTTCCAGGTCTCCCTTGGCTCCCGTATCGCTGTTATCGGTCCCAACGGTGCTGGCAAGTCCACTCTCGTTAACGTCCTGACTGGCGAGCTCATCCCCACCGCCGGTGATGTCTACCAGCACGAGAACATCCGTATTGCCTACATTAAGCAGCACGCGTTCGCTCACATTGATAACCACTTGGACTCCACTCCCTCCGAGTACATTCAGTGGCGTTTCCAGACCGGTGAGGACCGTGAGACCATGGACCGCGCCAACAAGATCGTCACCGAGGAGGATGAGAAGGCCATGGACAAGATCTACAAGGTCGAGGGCACCCTCCGTCGCGTCGTCGGCATCCACTCTCGTCGCAAGTTCAAGAACACCTACGAGTACGAGATCTCTTGGGCTCTTGGTGACAACGTCGGCATGAAGTCCGAGAAGTGGACTCCCATGATGTCCAACGAGAACACCTGGTTGCCTCGTTCCGAGATCATCGTGTCTCACTCCAAGCAGGTCGCCGAGGTTGACCAGAAGGAGGCCCTCGCCTCCGGTCAGTTCCGCCCTCTGGTCCGCAAGGAGATTGAGCAGCACTGCGCCAACTTCGGTCTCGATGCCGAGCTGGTTTCCCACTCCCGCATGCGCGGTCTCTCCGGTGGTCAGCGTGTCAAGGTCGTCCTCGCCGCCTGCTCTTGGCAGCGTCCCCACGTCATCGTCCTTGACGAGCCTACCAACTACCTGGACCGTGACTCCCTCGGTGCCCTCTCCAAGGCCATCAAGTCCTTCGAGGGTGGTGTTATCATCATTACTCACTCTCGTGAGTTCACTGAGCACCTCACTGAGGAGGTGTGGGCCGTCAACCACGGTGTCATGACCCCCTCCGGTCACAACTGGGTTCAGGGCCAGGGCTCCGGTCCCCGTCTTGACCAGAAGGGTGATGATGAGGAGGACAAGTTCGACGCCATGGGTAACAAGATTGTCGTCGAGAAGAAGAAGAAGCTCACTGGTAAGTTTCACAAGAATTTCCCTTTCCATCCGGGAGTTGAATCCAGATTGACTAACATATTTTCTTTTCTACAGGCTCTGAGCTCCGCAAGAAGAAGAAGGAGCGTGCTGCCCGCCGCAAGCGTGGTGAGGAGGTCTTCTCTGATGAGGATGACATCTAAATCAGATGATAGACTTGGGAGGTCTGCTCTCATTATGGAGTTGATGATTATGATTTTTCTTAGTGTGATTTTTTGCTGAGAACAAAATATTCAAAGCTGTTCAGAACAAACCTTTTTTTCCTTTGGTAAGATTGTAGACTGTAACTAGACTTTCGGTTTAGATCATCATCAAGGTTGTCATGTTGGAGCGCTAGTGACTTGTCGGACGCGTAACTTTGTGTATAACTTTGAGGAGCACGACCTCAGTTGTCACGTACGTCTACCTCATGCACTGGGAACTTCTAAGGTATCGTGCTTCAGGCTCTACAATCTACATTAGATTACCTTGTTATCAGAGCCTCTACCCTAGCTCGTTATATCTGGATCAAATCACGCGCCCTTGAAGATATTCAGCTCCTTAGCTACTCCATGAGAACATGTCTGACATATGTTGAGTTGTCTTCCTGGACTATGAAATACTAAATATTTTTTTGAACTGACGGGACTTTTATTGTCATAATTAAAATCAGAAATTTCATCTCTATTCGGTTTCTACATGGTCTCACCAACCCATATTCAAATTCTGCTTTTAGACATCTCTGCGACTCTAATTAATAAATCCAAGGCAATAGCGACTCGTTGCAATAGTGACTTGAATAAGCTTGATGTTGTACTCTCTTTTTATAGAAGAGTTCCATGGGTGTTTCCATCTCAGTACCGAGGTATGAGTCTTTTATGGAAACCGGCTACACAAGTAGTTCATCCAGAATACCGGCATCAATGGATCTGAACCTCCAAGTCTTGCGTATTTGGAATAATTTGTCACAATTGGGGACCATGCTATAGTGCCGCCACATGCTGGCTTCGTGGATGTCACCCAGTTGACTTCTTTCTGCCGTACTCGCTATGACCTGAGGATTCGTATCCCAAGGAGCTGGAGAAGTATCAGCAGAGCATGTCGCAGCAGGCTGTTGGGGTTTATGGGCTTAGGTTGGGGTGTGGATGTTTCGAAGGATTTTCCAGACGCAGTAAAGGAAGCAGATTGGTGATAGGAATGTGCATGCTTATGTGAAAGAGTGAGTCTATCTGCAAGTTTCTTGTGATATGGTGTGCTAGTTTCCTCATAGGTCTGTGTGATACGGGAGGAAGCCTGTCCGGTGAATGTTGGGGGTCTAGGTAGTTTGGGATTTCAGTGATTTGTGTGATGTTGATATTAGCGATCACATGGTTTGAATGCCACATTTAGGCAATGGCTCCTTTCTTCAAGCTCTAAGCTTAATCTTGATGGTCCAATTACATATCTTGCATACGAGAATTAGCTGTATCGTCAGGATTGAGGTGGAATTAGGGTAGATAGATAGCAAATGCGCAGTTGCTCATCGGAGAAGATTCCATATAGGAACAAGAGAAATGGTATTTACACAAGCAGCGGTTTATTCTATTGTACAATTTGGCCATGCCGACCTACTTCTGTCTCGTCGACTAGGCCAGTCAGCCCTCCACTGGCCCAACCTTGACGTTAGTCCTCCTACGCAACTCATCAAATCCATTCATGGCCTTTTCTCTCTTCTCAGCCTTACGCTGCTGAACTTCAATACTCTTGAAGCGCTTTTTACCCCCAAATTTCAGCTTAGTGATCATGTCAGCCGCTTGACCCCTCGTCAAGTCCTCGGGCCGTAACTTGCCCTCTCGGATCCGAGCTTTGTTGAGCAACTGAATCTGCCCAGGCGTTGCCGGATTCTGCCTCCAGGGCTTCCACGATGCAATGTATCGCTCGTCAAACTTGCTGCTGGCGTACGTATCTGCGGCGCGAACGGCTGTTTCTAGGTCCGTGCCTGATGCGATGCGTCGGGGACGTGTGAATTGTGGTATTTCCGTCATTGGATTGGTGAACTTCATGACGTGGTATACGTTGTATATATCTTTTTCTTTCTCCAGGGTCAGCCAACCCGAGGATTCGGACAATAAATACTTCTCATCGCCCACTCGAACCCAAGAGTTTGGACTGAGAGAGCGAATGTGTTTCTCAGAGCGCGTGTCATCTAGTAGGTCGTAGATGCTGTCATATTTGGTGAATTGTAGACTGACATCACCTTCTTGGGCTGTCTCGTATTCCTCGGACGGTTTCGGTAGGCTCTCGTCTTTGCGCCCTTCCCGTATGTCGGTCACAGAAGATTTGTCCAAGACTTCGTCTGGGTGGAGTCCGAACAAGGTTGGCGTTGACAGCACGCCCGTTGCCAACGATGCAACCATGTCAATTATATGACAATCCTCTTTCCCAGGAAACAGACGAAGTCCACGTCCAATCATCTGAATAAGCAAATTCCTGGATCTGGTCGGACGCGCCAAAAGCACGCAATCAATGTTGGGAATATCCGTGCCCTCGGTAAACAGGCCACAATTCAAAAGAACTGGAAACTCTTGTCTTTTGAAGGCTTCCAGTTGCTCAGAGCGTACATTCTTGTGGGTCGTGGCAGTGATGTACCGAGCATCAACGCCGTGTTCCCGAAACGTTGCAGTTAGCTGTTTGGCATGCTCGACATCCACGCAAAAAACGAGTGTAGATTTCCGGCCTTGCGCATTCGCCATCCAGGCACGCACAGTGATATTGTTGGTGTTCGAAGTGTTAACCGCCTCTGAGAGCGAACTTAGGGCGAAATCGCCAAACTTGTCTTTCTTTACATTGGACAGATTCGCCTCGGATTTCACAGTAGTAAACACTGCATTGGCCAGCCATTTCTCGCCAATCATGTCCACATAATCTTTATGATAGACAATGTGATCAATCGCAGCACCGAGTTTCAGTCCGTCGAATCGCGCAAAGGTAGCTGAGACACCAACGAGAACCGGCGCCTCTGGAGATGGCTCGTTTAGACCAAAGTGACCCAGTACTTCGCGGTAGGATCGCGCAACAATGTGATGTGCTTCGTCCACCAGAATCAGCTTGAAGAGCTTCGGGTCAAACTTTTGGATGCGCCCTCGGGCGAGCGTCTGCACGGATGCAATGATGATATCTCCATGGCCTGTCGCAACACTATTCCCCATTTCGATTTCCACGATCTTGTCCGGGTATGCGAGGCGGCAATGCTTCGCTGCTTGTTCGACGAGCTCGCGTCGGTGGACGATGATCATAGTTTTGGCAGCGTCCGCATCGCGTGGTGGAATTCGGCTGATGAGCTGTGTGAAGATGACCTAGGAAAATCAGCATAGTCCTCAAGTTGTAGAATGAATCGGTCATACTGTCTTTCCGGCACCAGTAGCTAGAGATATGCCAAGGCGCCGGTGGCCCTCGTCAAGGTAGCTTAGCACCGACTGAATGCATTGTTCCTGGTAATCGCGGAGCACGATGCTGGAAGCGCCGGGCAGTGGCGGGGCTGTAGAGTTGAGACGGACATTGCGCCAGCAATGCGACACTAGCAGCCTTCTCGGAGGCCTCCTTCTCGATTGCGAAAGGGCCAAAAGCCCAAATCTGCGAATGAACTCCATACTCGAAAGAAGAGAGCAGCTCGGCGGACTGAAGAGCGGCCACAAACAGTGCAAACATTCTTATCGGCTGCGCGATAACGTCAAGTCGGTATTCTGCTCGACCTCGAAGAGCTCAGCTCTTTTGCTTTAGCTTCCGCCCTGCATTGCGTCTGCAAATAATTCTTCAAGCTCACAGGTGCAGCTGTGATGTCCTCGCATTTGGTCAAACCTAATGCGCTGGCAGTCTGCAAGCCTGCACGATGAGCAGTTCCGAGTCGTCCTTTGCGCCCGACGAAATTTCCGAGTCCGGCTCCGACTTTAGTGTCGATGAACAGCCGCAGCAGCCGCGTAGTCGGCGCTCTTCTTCACGAATCGAGGTGGTGGATAGCTCATCAGATGAAGATAACAAGGATGGCATTTTGACCTACCCAGACCTGGACTCCGACTTGGAGCCAAACCCAGACACGAACGTCCGCGACAACCAATTCGAAACACTTCATGGTCACCTTCAGCGTGTGTCGCCAAAGATTCTCGAGACTTACGCTTCACTCGTGACGGAAATCGAAAACGATATCAATTCTTCGACGGTCAAAGAGGATGAGGAGATTCACAACGTCCACCAACATGGAGCGGTGATCTGGACTGCAACGGAAAAAGAAATTCTATACAATGTGCTCGATAGGAAGGGCAAGAATGGCATTAAAGAGATTGCCGCTGCGATTGGGACCAAGTCAGAACTCGAAGTGATGGACCATCTACGACTACTCCATCGCGGTCTAGAAAGCCAGCATCTCGTCGAGCGACATGTCAAGACCATCATCATGGGAGACATTCCCGCCGCCGCCGAGATCAGTGAGAAATGCTGCGCCGAGCTCGACGAGTATGCTCGTGGTCTGAGAGCAAAAGACGAGCTCGCCACTGTACTGGCAGCGCGGATGCGTTTTGGGGATAATTGGAATGTCACTAGTACCCAGGCGAAACAATTGCTCGCAGCTGAACTGGATGTCCCCATGCGCGGCGACATTCACCTTCCTGCCAACCTATTTAATATCCCAACCTGGATTGATCTTGAACAGCGGTTCTTTATGAATTTTGGCGGTTCACAAGAAGAAGATAATTGGGTGAATATCGCCCAGGCGAAACACGAATACCCATCTATCAGCGGCGACGCGCTGATGGACTTTTATGCTTTGACCGTCAGCATCACACGTCGCTTGATACAGTCGATTCAATTCGTGGCGATGAGTCGAATACGCAGTCAGCGCCTTCACGGCCGTGAACGAGCCAATGCGGTTCGCAGGAAGGACGTCAAGGCCGCCGTCAACATTCTAAACATGAAACCCAAGCAAACAAACTTCCTGCTCAAGCTCGCCCGCCGGAACGGATTGGTTATCAAGGATGAACTCAAAAGAAAGGGCTGGAAGGCCCCAACGATCGACTACGATGAGGCCGAGAAGATTCTCAACGGAGAAACCGATTACTTTGAACGCGCTAGGGACGCAACCCATGCCATCGCAGCACACCATGATAAAGCAGAGGAAGCGCTGAAAGAAGATGGAGTCGACACGGATGATTCTGACGAGGAAGACTCACACCGACCTTCCCGCATGGCATCCCGACAACCAACCGAACTCTCCTCTCCGAATCTCTCATCAGACGAAGACGAAACCTCCCTCGACTCGGAAGAAGAGCACGCCGACACCCTCGACCGGGAACACAGTCGTCGCGAAGAACTCGCTCTCTGGCATATCCTCGAAAAACCCGCACCCCCTCGCCTCGAAACACCGATTACAACGGAACAAGACGATAAAGATGTCTCGCGCAGACCCACCGCGGAGCGCAAAGCCCCTCAGGACATGGTCCAATGGCGAGACCGTACCCTCTACCGCAGTGAATGGGAGGAATACGGGTATGAGGTCGGTGATGTAGCGGAGGCTCTCGTTGAGAATCGGCGGAAAAGGCGCCGCGTTGAGGAGCCTCTTTCTGCGTCCGTGGTACACAGTGAAGATGATGATGATGATAAGGGTGATGAGGGTGATTTGCCACAGCTTGGGGCTGAGGAACACACGCGTGTTGAGCCCCCGAGATATGGTTCAGCCGGTTGGGATGCGTTTTTGCATTCGTTTTTGACGCCAGGTCAAGCTCAGCCTGCGGAGCAGCCTGCCAGGAGTAATAAGAACACCAAGAGTCGTCGGCGATAGTACTAGGCGCCGGTCGACATTATACAACTTGATTTGGAGAAACTACGAGATACCATAATGCAATGCAAAAATTTACTCCAAACGTTCAAGAGTGGTCTACCAAGTTCATCGAAAGAGAAAGGTTCCATCACGAACATATGATTAGAAAAAGAAAAAAAGGGTAAACGCATCCAACAAGAAATTGGAAAATGAACAGAAAACATCCGAGCCCCCCTAATGTTATCCTCACCAAAACTAAGACCACCAGATGGGGGGAAGGGTCTTTTGCAGGGATGAAATCAAAATCGACTCAAACTCCCAACGGATAATCAAGATACTGCGCCTTTTCCTAGCCAGACAGATAGACAAGTTCAAACAAGAATATTCATAAAACACCACCAGAACCCGGTAGTCTGCATTCAACATCGCCCGCTCAGCCATCCCTCTTCCAAAACATCCATTGGATATCATACACATATCGGGGAAAGCTCAGCTCACAGCTCGAGCGACTTGAAATCGGCACCGGCCTCGGCACTCAAGGGCTGAGCACCTGGTTGAGTCTCGCCAGCTTGGGGCTGGAAGCCGTAGTTGTTGCCAATACCAGCGGTAGCGGCACTGGCAAGCATGGCGTTAGTGTGCTCGTTGGGACCCTGGTCGCTGACAACCTTCAGGGCTTCCTGGGCTTCCATGACACGCTTCTTGAAAGCCATCCGGTCCAGGAAGAGCTGCCGGCGGGCCTGCTCGAGTTCCCGACGCTCAGCCTCGATGATCTCCTCCATCTCGTTGAACTGCTGCAATTTGATCTCAAACTTTTGCAGAGTCACGTTGACAGCGGCGCCAACCAGACGGGTCATTTCACGCTCTTCGTGGGAGGCAAGAGCTCCCGCACGAGCTGCTGAAGCTGCTAAGGCCACAGTTGACAGAGACTCCTTGGGCTTCTCGGTCTGCTGCTCGCCCTCGCGAACGGTATCCACATCCATCGAGTCCTCGGCCTTGACAGACTCCTTCTTCTTACCATCACCCTTCTCCAGCTGGCTGCGGAGTTCTTTCCGGATCTCCTCGACAGAGCGACCGGCAGCAGCAGCGGCTACTGAGGGCTCGGCCATCTGAGCAAGGAAAGCAACCACGGAAAGCACGGGGTTCTCTGCATGGCTAATGGGATCGCGCGCAGCGCCGGACCGTAGCTCGGGGATGTCTTCAACATATTTGTCCTCGATCTCCAACGACAAGAACTTCATCACACACTCCTCGCGCGTCCGCGTGCCAACGTGGTTCGCAATCTGTTCCCAGTTATCATCAAAGTTCTCCAGACCCTCCAGCAGCAGGACAAGCTCTGAATCGGACCACGGAGCATCCTTGTCGGGCACGTGAGAGTGACTCTTATCTTCAAGCTTCACAAAATCGGAAGCATTGTGGCTAGAAGGCATGCGGCCCTGGAGGAAGCAGTTCGGGCACAGATCGTACTTGGTGTCGGGAGTGTTGGTGTTGGCGGATGTCGGGGTCGACTTGGCGTAGTGGAAACGAAGGCGTGTGCAGTCAATACCACAAGAGAAGCAGTGAGACTTCTTCTTGGGCTCTGAAGGCTCAATGCCGTTTGCTTCGCCGTTGGTGTGCTTCTCCTTATCCTCAGCTGCTGTGACATCCTTGCCCTTCTCGTCATAGATGTTGCGGCGCAGCTCGAGGTTGACATCGGCCTTTGCGGGTGTCGCCGAGGCGGCGCGCTCGGTGGAAGGAAGAGCCTTGCCGGAAGTGACAACAGGGTTGGGGCCAGGCTGGAAGGGCTGCAGGCCTCGTGGGGTATCGGCGATAACTCGGAAGTGGCCAGTGAATGGAGGGCCGATGTTGGAAGGTCGGGATTGGGGGTCAACCTGAAAGGGTTAATTCTAGTTTAGGAAAGGAGCACTTATCTCCGGACTCACCTGGTAGTTAATCAAGCCCCACTGCTCAAGGAAAGAGTGAATACGCATGATAGCACAAACGTCACCAGCGAGATTGCGACGGCACGCAGTGACAGTCAGGTATTCGATAGGGTTCAGGCGGTAGGTGTTAATCATGAAGTCGCGGTAGTCTTTGTAAGTGGCCGGGGTCTTGCTTCGGTTGCGGCCGTTGAAGAACTCCGCCAGTGCCTTTTTCTCGATGGCATTGATGGTGTTCATGTCAAACCAGGTTGCGTAGCTGGGGAGGATGATTGCATGGGTTTGAGAAACGAGTTGATCGCGTGCTTTGCCTTCCAAAGCCGACTTGCTCGGTGCCGGCTGATCCTCGCCCACTGCATCCTCAAGTCCTTCCGTAGCAGTTTCCGGAGGCTGTGACTCTCCAGCTGCATCCTCCAGGCCCTCAGTGTCAGGCTTGGCATCAGTCTCGGTACCGCCCATCTCTTCATCTTCGGGCTCAGCATCACCATTCTGGGGTTTGGGGGAGGCAGGGGCGTCGAGGGGGTTATCTAGGCCAGAGGAAGACTCTGTCTTTTTCTCGGGTGACTCCTGACGCGATTGCGCCGCTATTCATCGGGTCAGCATTCGACGTGATATGAACTGGGCGTGGTTGAGGTGGCTGGGAATGGACGAACCTGAAGTGTTGGCTGCATCCGCAGCACCTTCTGTACCAGTCATAGTGTGAAGATTCTCAGGCGCCGCAGCTGGATTGGCAGAACTTCCATCCATGATGCTCAAGTCGAGGGAAAGCTGCTGTCGCGGGCGACAGAAGATCGACTCCTTGCCCTGTCTTTTGTTGTCTGACCTTGCGCAGCGCAATTGATTACGCGTTACAAGAGTGAAATGTCAGACGAGAATGAGTGTCGAAGACGAAAGATGGCCCACTTGGATGGGAATTTCGGCCAGGGAGGGATGATTGGACGGGGTGCTCGATCAACGGGGGGAGGTGGATGTCGCGACACGGAAAACTCGCGGTCACTACGCCAAGACTCCAATCGACGCTAACACATAAACGGACTAGCGCACAATCAGCCGTTGACCCTGCAGGGTGCATTTTGCCCTTTTGATATCACGACAACGACCTCTTATTGACGAATATACTTGAGAAACGAACCATTATTTGAGAAAAGAGCTCTAGAATAATGCTATTTATATCTCCAGATCGGTACTCAAGATGATCTATCCAGAGTCCCACAACGGGCTATCCGTTCAGTATCGCAAATCTCATATTCTTATCCTCATCTCTTGTGTAACTGCTAATAGACAAAAGTCAAAGCGGCTTATGTACAGCTCATAATATCAATACAAAGAAACAATTTAGTGCGCCGCAACTGCTTCGCTCCGGAGCTTCAATGCCTTCTCGACAGCAGGACGGGCCTTCTGGCGGTTCAACCAAGCCTCAACGTTAGGGAACTCCTTGGCCAGGTCGATATCGAACAGAGTCACGACGAAAAACCAAGGAATGAAAGCAAGATCGACGTAGCTGAACTTATCACCGACGAGATACTCTTTGTCTGCGAGGAATTTGTCCAGCACTCCAGAAACCCGACGGATCTCCTTCACGTAGCGCTCCTTGGCGCTCTCAACCTTCTCCGGATGGAAGCGGGTGAACCAGACAGCCTGGCCGAAGTAGGGACCCTGGCCGGACATTTGGAAGTGCAGCCATTGCTTGGCAAGGAAATAGTCCTTGGAGCCGGCGTCAAAGCTGATGGTGTGTTCCTTGTCATAGGTCTCGACTAGGTATTCGAGAATGGCACCAGACTCCCACAAGGTAATTCCAGTGTTTGGATCTTCGATGGCAGGGACCCGGCCGTTTGGATTGACGGACACGTAGGGCTCCTTTTTCATTTCGGCAAAGTCAACGGCGATGCTGACGTAAGGGATGTTGAGTTCCTCGAAGACCATGACGACCTTCCAGGGGTTGGGTCCCGGGCCGTGGCCGTATAGCTTGATTGGCTGAAGCGACATGTTTGTAGCTTTTTGAGGATTGTGTCTTAAAATGGGGTGTAAGAAGCAATGGATCCAGAGGTCGTTAATGGGTAATGACACAACAAGCAGATGAATATCAAGACGAAATCTGGATCTCACATACTTCTTTAAATAAGCTTTGTAGTAATACTGTCTTCACGATATCTCCCCCATATTCAAACATATGGTCCGATTGCTCAGCTCACATAATCACTCGTATTGTATTAATCAGTTCGGCATCGGCTTCTGGAGGACACTCTGCCGACTCGCTGACAAATTCCATCGTGCACCCGGGAGCGGGTTTTGTAATGCTGATATATCAGATGCTAAGCTGCTATTGGCCGACACTAGGATTAACACCGGGAAGTTCCCGACGGATATATTCCTTATTTAGCGGTGTGACCTCGAGAGGACTGGTTTGAGACATTGTTATAACATTCGAAGATGTTGAGTTCAAGCTTGGTCCCTCGGTGGACAGGATTCACTTGGAATTGTCTCGCGATTGACTATTTTGCGTCGCTGATGCGGTTGGCTTAGCAGTGGATTTGGTCATGATCGTAAAACAAATTGACGAAATAGAAGCAGTCCGATGGGGATAATATTATTTGGGCAAAGCTCGGGAGAATGGGGCTCCAGCTGGAGGTCATTGGTGAGCAAATAGTTGAGTTGAGATAAGGTTGTGACATATAGCTATAGTGGGTGGTCATGTGTCCGGTTTTAGGTTTGGTCGCGTCCATACTGCATCCCATCAGCTGGTAGACAAATGATAAAAATTAACACAAAGTAACATCAGATGTTGGATGTCTCCTACATGTTGCTTTCATGAAGCTCCACTGACGAGATATCCTACAGTCATTGACCGTCGCTATGATTCTTGTTTTCGTTCTGGCACGAAAGGCTTACGAAAGGCTTTTTAGCGGCGCGCTTGCCAGCGCCTTACAAAGTCATCGGCGCTGAATTCTGTATACTCTAATCGTGAAAGGGGACACAGTGGAGACTTTTCTAATTCAAGACCGAAGAAAGAGACCTAGAGCGAACCGAGAAGGAATGGGTATCTCTGTTGGAAAATTCTGGATTCAAGGTGGTAAATATCTGGAATGAGGATTCGTTTGGACAGTCTACTGCTTTGTTTGAGGCTACTCTGCCCTAAATCTTAAATACCTGTTGAAAGGAGATCAAATCAAGTCGTAATTTTCATTTACCACCATCTATTGAGTTCATTCACATCGGCTTGAGGGATTATACAAGAAGCTTTTCGATCTAGGCGCTTATTCAGAAGTTTGCGTTTGTCTCTTAAGCACATCAGCTCCGCGAACGATCGACCAATTGGTCGACTGCTGCGTTGACATCAATGTGTCAAATAAAAACCTCGACAGCTCCTCTTCCGCGTCGGCGTCTATAATCGAGCCATATGAATGACCCTGAGTCCGTAGTTCTCCCTTCAATTTGTTCAAAGCTATCGAGACGATGACGTTGGAGTTAATGATCCCTTCACAGTGCGGCCAAGTTTGCACGGTGTAGATCGCCTGCAAGCGAAGCGAATAGTCTGGGCACTCCGAGGCCACCAGCCACAACCCCGGGAGGACACCGTAATCTAAGGTAAGTGTTGGGCGATCCGGCAATTTGGCTAAAAGATCCTGCATCGCCGAGAACAGGGCGATATATTCCAGTGTCAAGCTTGCAGGCACTGGTCCTTTGATGAGACAGGTCTTGAGACTTAGGGTCTGGGACAGACTCTGAAAGTGAAGCAGCTCAACAGCTTGTCGTTGACGACCACGAAGGGTATGAGAGAAATCGCGACAGAACATCTCAAAATCGCGTTGAAATTGAAAGTTCAAGGACAGAAGCTGTTGCTGCTTCAAGAACAGCTCATCCTATTCTGTTGCAACTTCAACGGCGGTCAATGGCCAGGTTCGGCAAGGAAAGGGACGCCCATATTACACAAAATAATCACGCGTCTGTGTACATCTGATAAATTTCGTATTATAGAGGGATGATCCAGAGCATACACGTCATCATAGATTCCAACCTGGTTGAAGAGGAACGGGGTGCCCCGCCCGAAATGGGCAGATTCGACGTCGAGTCGTGTAAAGATGTGGACAAGTGAACCGTCTATGCCAATGCTTGAATGATAGTGCCGTGTCTATTTGAGTATACGGAGCCCACTGTGCAGATGTTGGAAGGCATTATCATACCGTCCCAATAGCAGCTCGGAGATGACAAAAAGCAGGCAGCATACCAGCATAACTTCCCGATACTGAGGGTCGTTCGAGGCTCGGCGTTGGGAAAGATGGGTATAAGCTCGCGAGGACTGCTGAATTGCAAAGCGATGACGAGCTCGCTGCAGATTTTCCCCAGACAAGCGCATTTCGTTCGCCTCCGAGTCTTGGTGGACGGCCGCGAGCATATTAGCGGCATGATACACGGCAGGGTCAAGATGGCTAGTCTGCAAGATCATTTGTTGCCAGAGAGGAGAGTTGAATAAAGCTCCGAGGCCAGGAATCGAGCGATGTCGAAAGTATGAAAAGCATCGTTGCTCGTCCGAGGTAGTAACCCACCCCGGGTGAAGCCATATACTCTGGGTCAAAGGGAGGCCTCGCTCCCGGACGGGCAAGCGGTGCAAATCATAACCATCGCATTTACGGCCGGTAGATTTGCATTTGTTGCATGTCCCAGGAGTTTCATCGCACTTAACATGTCGAGTGCTGCTCATATAACCAGTCAACTTAAGGTGCGTTGTTTGGCCCCGCCGGAGCCCAGCCAGGAATTCGATGATCAGGAATCGACCGTGTGCTACATACATTTCCTTCGTCGCCTGATACCCAACATCATAGACGGGCTTACGATAACGATTGAGCTTTCAAGCTTCAAGGGAGGTGCACGAATCAGTAACACGGGATTTCCGCATCGGGTTGCCGCGTCAGGCTTGGGGGCCAAGATGTGGAGCGCACTGGCTGGTTGAGCAATTCGACTAGATACTCCTCTTCGCCCGGGAGCTGAGCGATTCACCTTCATTGTCGACTTTGATCAATATCAATTTCGTTGTTCTTCAATTGGAAGAGTAAATGCCGGCGAAATGCAGACCAATTTTCCCATCTCGTAGATATGGCGGCATGACCAGTGGTTATATTAATTAAACCAAGCATCTCTTGGATCGGAGGCGGAGATGATATTCTACATCTCACAGTGCCTTGGGTAGTCACACTGAAGAGGAGGTTAAACGTCAGCGCTAGACAATGGGACGCACCTGCACCAGCCAGGGTCTGATCATTGATCGAGCAAGGCCTGTATGAGCCGCATCTCATAGTATGAACGGAGTACTTTGGTCCGACCGCGGAAATGCATGCTTCCGTGCCTCACGGGTTCATAGACCGACAAGAATGCTTTGCCTCGCACCACTGTTCTAGAATGAACAGACAATGAAGAACCTCCTCTTTAGGCTGAAAGTGTTCATCTTCAATTCGCCTCAATCAAGTAGTATCGCGGACTCGTCTCTGAGGGTCCTCGGATAAGACTTCGGAGTAAAAAAATCCGTTCGTCGGACTAGCTTGGCGCAGTTTCGGACTAAAGCTGACTAACAGCTCGAGTATTTCATTCTACTCCGGACAGAGTCACGCCATCGTTTTGAATGAACAGATCAAGACGAACTCTGAAATACGATTATCCAAGAACATCACTGATGAGATTTCAAAGCAAAATCATGTACTCGGACGCCCTTCGAGAAGTGGTTTCCTTGGCTTCGGTCCAACCCCGCACTGACTCGTATTGACTCACTCCCAAGCCACAGCTCGTACCGCGCGGCCAGGAACCAGTGAAAAGGGAAGAGAAGCTTCGTTTGCTTGGAAATCAAACAAGTCAATGCATTAATTGAACACGAAACGATCAAGACTGTCACAGATTAGTTTGATTGGCTGAGACTCTTTAGCAAAAGAAAATTTGCATCGTTAGCACAGTTTGAACATTCGAGTTTACTTGGCTCCATATGCTAAAGATCACCGCTGATAGCCGCACTGTCTTTACTTTGTAGGGTGTAAATAGTAGTCTCGCCAGGTCGAAATGCTTCAATTGGTCTCCATTTCGGGACCCCGAGCTCGCCAAGGAATCCAAAAATTGACGGGAAGTGGAGCCACTCGGATCTGGATATTCTGGGTAAATTCATCGTGTTGAATTCAAGGTTTTGATTTGATAGACGGCAGGGTCACCTCAGCAATCAAGCCTTGCTGCAATGCCGACGCAGACTCCGTTAAACATTTCGTCTAACCGTCAAGGCAGCCACGGGGCCTAGATTGGGCCTCAGGCTCGTGACTCAGGAAGCGGACGCAAAGCCGTATACGAATGAGCGTGAAGCATCGACACGGACCCGAGAAGGCTTGATAATTCACGCCCTGTCGCGCTTGGCTATCCCATATCTGGAGAAGTCGGGGGCTCTAGATCCATCGAGACAACACAGACGGTCAAGATCCGAAATTTACGCGTGTGGATAGCCTTTTAGAGCTTAGGCTTCGAGACACTTCGTGTTAGCATCATGATTATCTGATACACGCGCCGTGTCAGCGGATGCGCCCTTTACTCGGGGCGTTGACATGTGCTCGTGTATATTGGTCATCTGCGATCCACTGCAAGGGTTGGGTGCTGATTGATTTAGCGTCTAATTCCAACTCCGAGGGCTACTCCGAGCCCACGACGGAGTACCTTTTCAGCCTAGTCGAGACCCCACTTCAGGCCGACTGCCTGTGACGTCTTTTTTTTCTTGCGGCAGGGCTCATTATTGTAGTTTATTCGAGCTTCGTGTCAATTTTTCATGGCTGAGTGGTGGGGCCGTGGCTTTGAGAATTCTATTCTTTTCTCCATTTTAATAGATTTTTTCTGAATATCGGAGTCAGAACGGATTAGACAACCTGGATGTATCTTGCTGGAACCAAGTATATAAGACCCAGACATCCCCGTGGGAAAAAGATCATTCTCAATTCCATTCCATTCAATCAAATCAAGTCTACAATCCAAAGAAGCTTCAATCATATCTCTCTTGATCAACTGAAAGATAAAAAGTATTCCTCATCTTGACTGCTTTTGATTTTTCATCAACATCAACCACCACTCTACTTGACCAACCTAACAAGTCAACCACCGCTATAACCACCACCACTCAAACCACCATTACCAATACTCCATCCAAAATGTCCAGCTTCACCTCCTCCAAGAACTCCTCCAAGACCATGTCCTCCGACGCTGCCTCCACACATTCCACCGTCTCCACCGCCACAACGCTAAAGGGCACCGACTTCCCCAGCAAGAAGAAGTGGTTCTCGCTGAGCTCCAAGTCTGAGCCTCAGCACGTCACAAAGTCGGACGCCTTCCACGCCAAGCAGGCTATCCACAATGAGGCGATTGCTAGCTACTTCAGCATGCGGTGAACCGGAGGCAATGGCATAATGGACGGTCTCTAGACGACAACATTCAACGATCAATTGGGCATGAAGTGGCCTAGTTGATCTTAATGCACCTGATTTCGTTTTTTTTTCTTGCTTGTTCTCGATGGTTGATTTGCTTTTTCTTTGGGCTTGCTTGCTTTGATACCACCGCCTTTTCGATGAAGCCGCGCTTGCGACGATGGAATGACCCTGGATACCAATACTTCCTATAATACTCATGTCGATGTCTGGCATTGTGGCTGGACTTGTTGTTTCTTCAATTTTTCATCATGGATCTTTTGTTTTGTTTTTTAATGTTTCCGGGAGTTGTTTGATCTTTGACCTAGAATGATCTGTTTTTTTCTGTTGACCTTAGAATATACGGGGTGGAATACTTATACATGCAATGAACAATAAATGACTACGCAAATACTTATAGGATGTCATTAACGACACGACAGAGTAGTTCATGGCACGACAAGGCTAGTCCTAATGAGGAGCGCTCCCACTTCAATATAGAATGCTACATTCGAGATTTACAAAATGCCAGTAGAGTCCTTAGGGATATATAAGCCTATATCTTAGAAAAGACCTTAGAAAAGACCTAAGAAAAGACCTTAGAAAAAAGCGTACAGGGAGTGGCGAGACATTTATATGAATTGCCTGATGGGCCAGTTCAAATCGGATATCGCGAACGGGATTGATACTCCTTGCTCAGTCGGTCAAGTTATCAAGGACCTTAGCTTTGACTTTAACGATAGTAAGAATCGAACTCTGCATGAGTGCTCCATGGTATTACGTATGTACTGACCATCGGATCAGAAGAATTAATGTCCCTCAGCATCACTCTTCTATCGGCGGGACTGGGCACTATTCCCGCGAATCTGTCCCAGGGCGTCGCAGGTCGCGCATTCAAGCAGGGGCAGGAGATTCAAGAGGATATAAGAGCCGAGATCCTTGTCCAGTATTCCTCCTTTGAAGAAGCCTGGGAGAATGTGGTGGCCGAAGAAGCCGTGTGCTGTTGATATTCATCCGGACACGTACAATACTTGTCCCAGCTCGCTTGTTGCAGAGCCTAAGGACTTCCTGTAAGTTCATCCATCTTCCCACATATTTTGTAGTGGGGGGGGGGGAAATGCAGCTAGCAGGCCTTCCGCAGGTGTTCATTCACTCCCTGCAGCGAGGTGGCGGCTGGGGTTAAGAGGATAGTGAAGCATGGAAAAGCAGCAGAGATTTCGGTTAGAAAGTAACTCTTCTCGTAGGAAGAGTTTATTGAAACGGAATGGCCCCGCGACGTCGCTATATTACTCCTCCAGTAAAACAGTTCTACCGTACATGCATACAGAGTTTGCAAGGACCAGTTCCATGTCAGACAAGCCAGCCCTGTGTAAAGAGGCTGTCCGAGGGTGTTCCCACACCTCCTCCCTCAAGATCCGTTCCAGGGGGAAAATTAGATCTAGATTTGTTTGTGCATTAGGCTCCGCGCCCCCTTGGCAAGAAGCATGTTCGCGATGGAGACACCGAGTTGTTCGGCTTCTTCATCGCACCGGACGGTGGCCACGTCTTCAGCAACAATCGCCGACGTTCCTTCTACATGAAGGACCATGGCTCGCAAGCTAAGATTGCCGCCGCTGCTACCATCATGGCCTCGTTGTGAGTCCTCTGTTAATCCGTTTTCTTCTTTTTTAACGGGCTCCAGAGAAGACTGCACGCCAATCGGCGACGAGCATCCTCCCTGGAGGCTTCGAAGCATCGCTCGCTCTGCCATCCCGCGCCATCGCGACGGCTTATGGTCGACATGGCGGACCAGCTCGAGTATGTCTGGACGGGCCGTGCTCACCTCAACGCCGAGGGCGGCCTGACCTACTGCATAAGGGAATATGCTAGCATCCAGTCGATGAGTGATGCGATGGCCGAGTCCGAGGCGTAACAGTCCTGCAGTCGCCAAGAGAATGCATGAATATGGGGAAGCAGGTGCGTCCAGCTTAGCAAGACGAGTATCTCTAGTATATACAGGGTCCTTTTAGTGTCAAGAATCAAACTTTTTTCCGCTGGCAAAGACTGGCTTGAGTAGTGGCAAAGGCCGACCTCTCAGGGGAAAAAAAGGAAAACATTCATCACTTACACGTTGCCGCGACATTCTACAACCTCCAAATGAGGCCAATTCCGCCGAATCAGCGCTTTCCTCCGAGAAGAGCTCGTTCCCACTATGGAACCAGGGGGCAATTGATCGATGGATGTGAATCCCAGGTCGGACCTTATACAAACAGCATCGGAACAGTCCTCCCGCTCAGGGACCGCGGCCAGGAGACAATGCGGTGGTAGCGTGGTTGGCATGTCCTTTAAACAGTGCACCAGACAGTGAACCTTGCCGGCCACCAAGCCCAATTCCAGGTCATTGGTCCATAGGCTTTTACCAATATCGGAGCCACCGGTCAGCTTGGAGAGGACCGCAAAGGGCGTCTGCTTATCGACATCGCCAACGGCACTGCCTGTGGCAATTTGAAAGTTGGGAGGGGAGGGGAGTGTTTGGCCCAGCAAAGATGTGACCCAACGAGTTTGGACCTGGGCAAGCTCCGATTTCCGGCAGCCAAATATTACAAGCTCTTCTTCTGATGATGGTGAATCGTGTTGCGGCTTGGCGTAGTTATTCACGTCAAGGCTCATGGCGGGCGAAAGCAATGCGGCAGAGGGAGTTTGCCGTGTTCTGACGACGTAGAAAACTGGCAAAATCTGCTTCAACGAGAGGGGTTGTGTCGTAACACATTTGGGGCATTTTACCGCTAGACCAAAAATGCTCCATGGGCTACAATCTTAGACTCCACGGGCTTCTATTTGTTCTGACAGGTTGTTCTGTGGCTGTGGACAAACTGTGCAAACCAGTGGCGTTGATTTCTGTCGAGGGAAATGGACCCGTTATTTACGCCCGCAAGTGATTAGTTCGCCATGTGTGTCCACTTTTGTATAGGTTACGGTGTTAGTTTCGATGCTTGAGGAATTCGCCATCCCAGCCCCGAATCCCGTCTATGGAAGCGTGGATAACTCAACTTGTCCTCGCCCAGATTCATTATTGTAGTCTTTCTCAATCAATCAATCAAGTCATCCTGTTTGGGGTGGTTCCACCTGATCCTTGTTTGCCAGAGCGTATACTAGCAAATACGATTTCACAACACCTTGTTAATTTCATTAGTGACTATGGTGGACTCTGCCATAACCGAAATTTCACGAATCTACCTATATCAAGCTTTTGCACAATAAACTTATAATAAGATAGCATAACTATACAAAGAATCACTCAAGGGAAGTAACTTCCTAGAAGGATCTAGAGATAAGGTATAGGCCCTTATCTAGCCAATAAACCTGGAATAGCTATAAGAGGACGCCCTTAAAGATTAATAGTATACTGTCTAAAAGCTAGATAAGAATATTTATATCTTGCATTCCTCCGTTAGGGTATATATAATTTCATGTAGTATTAACAAAAGCTAGAGTCAGGGTAATCATAATATGAAATGTTATGCTCAAAGCAAAACCAATGAAAGAACGGATAGAAACATTAATCTGCTCGAGAAATTCATCACAGGCCTGCCAACAACTCCCCCATCGAGATTGGTTTGCGCACTGCATTTGAGAAACCTTCATGATAAGTGACCCACACTTTTCGGCCTGCCTTGGAAGTCTCGTCCGATGGGTTGCTATTCTCGGTCGCCTTGGTCTCTCGGAGGGGCTCTTGAACGACTCGTCCGAAGAAATCCCGTTTGAGGGCGGCATCTCCAGTGACCCTGTGAGCAGGGCCACCTTGTTGCTCTTTTCCAGATTGACCGTGGAGAGATCTACCGCTGGCGGCATTCTTGGCATCGGATTGCTTGCGCAAAATCTCTTTACGATACTCCTGGTCCAGAACTTGGCGAACGGCATAGCGGACGGGTGCATTGCTCGATGCTGAAGAAATGCCTGACATCTTGGAAAATGCCACCAGGGAATCGAGGGATCTATGGCCATTAGTTCTCATCCGTCAAATGCATCTGACGATCTAGGTCTCACTTACGGCTCCATTCTGTAGGCCCATCCTCCATGGCTTCCACCTTCGTGCTCCACTCGGACTTTCTCGAACGTGACACCCATACCGGACATGACTCGCACCGCCGACTGGACAAGTACACGCTCACTCTCCTTACGGACACTGGCTGTAGTCCTCTGCTCACCACTGCCTCGCATAATGACAGGCTTGACATCCGGCGACAGCATTCGAATCAAATGCGGGATGAGGTCAGTGACAACGCTATCGGCGGATCGGAACATGCGGACCATAGGCGCCGGTAAGGAGGAATGGAATCCGTTTAGTATGGACCGGTTCTCCTTTTGTGCCTCGAAGACGAGGAAATCTGCCTTGGGCCCCGAGAAAGGATGCTCTTCTTCGGCATTCTCATCCTCGTTGTCACGATCATTCGCCTCAATCTTACCAGCAGCCGAGGCGAAGAGATGGTGAAATGCGAGCGTGGACTGGCTCAGATAGGGACCCAGTTCCCATTCCTGAGACTGGTGCACCCTCGAAGAAATCGAGTCATGGAAGTGAAGCCAGTCGTAAGCGGCAGTGGGTTTTGAGAGGAAATTATCATCTCGGTACTGCTGGTTGGGGTATGCTGCAAAGCAGTCGGTGACACAGCGGTCATGCTCGCCACTAGCATCGACCATCTCCCGCAGCCGATTGATAGCGTGTCTTTTACGCAGATCCGCAACTCCAACCGGAACGCGACTGTTGTTATTGTCAAATTTGTCCTGGAAAGACATGCCCGCTGGAGCATCGATGAACCCAGCTCCTTCGGCAAAGACTCGATTCACGATCTCACGAACGCCTCCACGACTCATCTCCTTGAAAAAGGAGCCACCTTCGGTGGAAGCACTAAGCACTCGCGACTCCAACCAGTTTCGGGTCAGCCTCAAAGATGACGACCTTTCATTCCGAAGCTTATGTGCCACCCACTCGGCAGCAACAAGCACGCTTCGAATATCGCCCTCGGCGGACCCATTGTTCTTGGAACCGCGTTTCCTGCGAGGTTCCAACCCCCAGGCCGCTTCGCATAGCCTTCGGGCTCCATCACCGTCGCATGGAATACCTTCTCGGCTAAAAATGCTCTTCACGCGCTGAATCACATTCTCAAGGGGTGCTTGTCGTACGTGGATCATCTCTGCAATCGTCGAAGCTCGTAGGGGACGAAGACTGGGATGATATAGATCATTGCAAACAAGAATCAACGGCCGCAGGAAGCGGAAATTATCGCCCTTGCGCTTCTTGCTCGACTTGCCACCGTGCTCAGCAGTATATCGAGCATTTCTTTGGTCCAGCATGACCAAGTCAATCAAGGCCTTCATAAAACCACCTTCGCCACCACTGCCAGCTCCTCCAACAACGCCGTCGACCTCGTCGACCACTACGCATACTGGTCTGGCAGCCCGGCGGACCTTGTTTTCGCCTACCTCAACGTTGGCACCTTTGACGTTTTCCGTCCCTAGCGCATCACGAATGCGGCCCTTAACCACATCTCTGCTGCGATCATCACTGGCGTTGATTTCGAGAACCTCGTAGCCTGCCTGCTTGGCACACACATGTGCCAATGTAGTCTTGCCAAGACCAGGGGGGCCACTGAGTAAAAGCACCTTGCGGTGCATACGCTCCTCATCCTCATCCTCCTGGCCAGCCTTCTTAGATCGAGAAGACTTGGCCAAGCCGGGGAAGACAGTTGGCTCCCATCCCTTCAACCAGCGTAGCACGGCACGATGTGTACGCTCGTCACCAATTAGATCGGTGAATTTGCGAGCACGGTACTTTTCAGTCCACATCATCGCGTCGATCTTCTTTTGCTTTGCGTCTCCTTCCGTCCTTTCAATGGACTCTTGCACCGGAGGTCGAGGTGCTGCCTTGGTAGCTTTCGCCTCCTTCGCCGCCTCGTCTAGCAGTTTGTGAATCTCAATCCCGTAGTAGCTCCTTTTAGCTCGTCCGGGGTCGGTCTCAGAGCGGCTTGCAATCATACGCTCGTAAGAAACGGGAGCACTCCCTTTGCGAAGGGTAATATCATGTGTTCTCCCGTTGCAGGTTTTGATCTGGATCTTGCTCGACGATGTTGGAGCAGGGTGGGATGCAATTTCGGCATGTATCCTTGAGACTTTAGGCGTGTCGTCATTGTGTGAAGCGGAAATTGCGAGGTTCTGCGATTCGTCCAGAAGGCCAGGGAGGTTTGACGGCACTGGCTCAGGATTCTCTTGTAGCTCAAATTGGCTCTTGAGCTGCTCATCTCGCATCGCAGCGACTTCGTCGTCTTCCTCGGAGTCTTCATCGTCCACAAATCCTCCTAAGAACTTTGGTCGCTTAGATTCGGCCTGCGATGAGTTCGCTTCAAGGTCGGTGGCTTTTCGCTTCTGCGAATTGCCGTCCGAGTCGCCGAGCACGGCGGCAGCGGGGGGTGTGATAAATGGCATATTCGAGATTGGAGGCGAAGACGGTAGGTATGATAGACCTTGGGCCCGGTTCAGCGCGTTTCGGCGCGGTGTATTTGCGTAATCTTTGGTCGGGGTATCTGAGAGATACTGCTATCAATATTGAGGCCCGAAAGTCACGCGCAAGAGACTCTGACCTGGTGTTATGTCGTCGTCACTTCGAAAAACATCGGACAAATTCCAGGCTCGGTGTTGGATCACGACTTTATTGCGGGTCTGTTCGAGGCGATGGAGATGGATTGCCTCGATGTCGTCGGAGAAGGACTCTGAAGGTAGACGGGGGGCGTTGGTAAGGTCTTCGGAGTGGAGATGTAGGGCTGGATCGAAAGATGAGAGGAAATTGGGCGACGAGGGAATCATTCAAGCGTCTCGGTCATGTCAATGATTCGGTCCTTGGACAATTGGTGGAGGCACCCCTCTGAAACTCTGATAGCGAGACGCGCCGACGCGTATGAGGAGAACGCGCTAGTCCCGTTTTGGCAATCTAGTTTTACATACTCCTGGTGGGCTTTGGATCCTTCATCTTTGGCACCAATTAGAGGAGAAGGGTATTTTCAGCTTTTAATAAATAGATATTTCAAGAAAATAGCACATATGATAGCCCAAGAGACACTAGAAATACTAAGTCTCGGTCATATCCGAGTTTAACTGGAGATTCTCTAGTATTGTACCGCTTAGTACCTACAGAAATCACAAATCTCATGGTTCATGAGCCTGGATAGAATTTAGGTTAAACGATTGATCTAAGAGTATTCGCGGTTTCTCAGAGAAATTGTCTCTAAAACGCACCTTTGGCTGTGGGCATCAAAAGACAACTTTCTCTCGCTGAGGTGTACCTCGCTACTACGCGCCAAAGCAACCATATTTATAACTTCCCATCCACACTCGAAAGTGACAGGAGAGTGCAATCCCATTGAGTATGGCAAACATCAAGAATATAACCACTTACATGGAAGAAAGCCTGTTAAGGAGGTAGGAGAGCAAAGCCCCAAGTCCAATTTCTATGAATGAGATCTCTAAGATAGGGAGGCAACCCCCCAGGTTTTGACTGAATGGTGGCTTGAAGGGCCCCAGAATTGTGCGAAGGAGGACTCTATAGATAGGTAGGTAACCTCCGGTTGTTGACCGAGGCGGGGCTTGCTGAGATCTAAAGGGATGAGGAGAATTCAGTATTTACTGTGAACATCTCAAGGGGTAATCAAACAGAGAATGGAAGAAAATACTACCTTATCCCAGAGATGGTTTTAAAACACACTCGAATTAGATTGCCATTATCTCCCTAAAACATCATCCATGTCCTGCCTTCTCAGTCCGATGCCCAGGAGCTGACCTCTCGGCTTCCAAGACGGCGAATAAACGATCATTATACATCGGGAAGTGGGCCGAGAAATTCAAGAACGCGAATCCAACATCAAAATCACTTCGGCTTTAGGATGTCTTGATTTGAGTTATCGGTGGTAGTTGCGACATTCCAAGCACTAGTTAGTTGGAGCACAGGTACTGATTACGTCACTCCCTAGAGTAAAGTGGCTGGCACAACCGTATCTGTCCTCATACCCATGCAGCCAAGTCCATCTCTTACATATATCATAAATTAACTTCGGGCGGCTAATCGCTTTCCAACCAGCTGCGGGGGATAGTTAGATGGGTCGGCAATGTCATCATGGTCGGTGAATCGGAGTTAACGGCGGCAAGAAGCAAGACCCGCTTTACAGGTCAGCAAAGCATAAAGTCCGTCATAGATACTCATATAAAGCCAAGCTTTCAATACCGGCTCTATTGTAGTCTCAATCACAGAATACATCTTTTTCTAATCACTTGCAACAATGGTCAAGACAATTCCGTTTGGTGATACCCAGGTCCCATCGCCTGGTTTCGGTGCGATGGGCTTGAGCTTCGGCTTGGGGAGTAATTTGAGTCTTGAGGAAGCGGAGCCCGTCTTGTTGAAGGCGCTTGAGCTTGGATGTACCTTCTGGGATACTGCTGTGAGCTACTACTCAACTCCTACAGACCAATACTGCAAGATGCTAACGTCGGATTCAAAGGTTGTCTATCAAGCTGGTGTGAATGAGAAGCTCCTTGGTGACTTTATCCGGAAGCACAACGTTCGCGACAAGATTTTCCGTGAGTCCTCTATATTCCATGAGTAGGTATAACCTTGAAATTAACACCTTGCAACAGTTGCCTCGAAATGTGGTATCGAGGCCTTTGGTGGTGAACGAGCAGTCACCAACTCCCCCTCGCATATCAAGGAGTACATCGAAGGCACGATTGAACGCCTCGGATTCACGCCTGATTTGTATTATCTTCACCGAATCGACCCCAGTATGTTCCATACCACTATTTGCACACTCATATGCTAACTCTTGTTCTTTAGAAACGCCTCTCGAGGAGTCCATCCCTGCCCTGGATGAGATCCGCCGGGCTGGCAAGACCAAGTACATTGGTCTCTCAGAGTGCTCTGCAGCGACACTACGCAAGGCTAACTCTAGTAAGATGATCTTCTTCCAATCTCCCTAACTCGAGAATGTCTCAGATCACTTTTTGCTGACAGAACGTAGTCGCCAAGATCGATGCCCTCCAGGCTGAATACTCTGCCTTCGAGACTATACACGAAACAGATGGCTTGATTGATACAGCAAAGGAGTTGGGTATCGCTTACGTCGCTTATAGTCCTCTGGGACATGGCTGGCTGGTAGATAACTTTGACTACAAGACGCCCGATGACTTTGCCCCGGATGATTTCCGTCGCTCGTGTAAGTGTTCACTATGCGTCCTGCATGGAAATGTAATAGCGTTATACTGACGCATTACTTCCCCACACAGCACCGAAATTCCAAGGTGAGAATTTCTTCAAGAACAAGGCCATCGTTGAGGAGATCAAGAAGCTTGCTGTTCGTAAGGGGTGCAGCATCAGTCAAATCGCTCTAGCTTGGGTTGCGGCCCAGGGTATGATTGCAATCCCTGGTACGACCAAGGTGAAGAGGTTGGAGGAGAACTGGGCATCGCGGGATATTGAGTTGACGGAGGAAGAGAAGCAAGAGTTCCGCAGAATTATTGATGCTGCTAAGCCCCATGGTAACAGATATGCTCCTGCGCATCAGGCTATGGTTGGGCACTAGAATAGCAGCTCTATAGGCAGAGGGCATCCTTTGCAAGTTCATTGATTCCATCTTTCCAGGATTGACTCGGAAATTATAATCTAAAGATAAAATACATTTATCTCAGACTCAATAGGGACAGAGCAGGTATTGTAGTCATAAAAGATGTTATATTGCAAAGTGACTGGGCCGGAACCCGGACACCAGTCCTCTAATCGGTGGTATACTGTACGGTTCGTGTGACACAAAATGATAAAACCAAATTTGCAACCTGCTCAATAGCTCATCGCAAAAAACAAAGGAGAAAAAAATAATACACCCCAGGCCACCCTCAACTGCTTTTTGTTTGTTTAAGCGTTCTTCAACTTCTCGGTCAGCTCGGGTACCTTCTCGAACAGATCACCAACGAGTCCGACATCCGCGACCTGGAAGATGGGAGCCTCGGGATCCTTGTTAATAGCGGCAATGACCTTGCTATCCTTCATACCAGCCAAGTGCTGGATAGCACCGGAGATACCAGCGCACAGGTAGAGCTGAGGAGCAACGTTCTTACCAGTCTGGCCAACCTGCAGACTGTTATCGGCGAAGCCGCTGTCAACAGCGGCACGAGAAGCACCAATGGCAGCGCCGAGGGTATCGGCGAGAGGCTGCATGATGCGGTCAAACTCCTCCTTGGACTTCAGACCACGACCACCGGAGACAACACGGGTAGCGGTTGCGAGGTCGGGGCGCTCGGACTTGGTAAGCTCCTCGGACACCCACTCGGTCTGGGCGGGAGCGTTGGAGTCCACACCGTCGACAATCTCGGCAGAACCACCCTCGGTCTCAACGCCCTGGAAAGCGGTGCCTCGCACAGTGATAATCTTAATGTTGTCGGTTGACTGGACGGTCAGGATGGCGTTACCGGCGTAGATGGGGCGGACGAAAGCTGATAGGCGAGTTAGTTGGATTGGTCGGTCACATGCTAATTTTTTTCACCTCGCTCGGCTTTGCACGTACTGTCTTCGCTCTCAATTCCGGTAATATCAGAGACCTGCTGCACGTCCAGGAGAGCAGCGACGCGGGGGAGAAGGCTCTTGCCAAAAGCCGAGTGGCCGGCGATGATATGGGTGTATTCGCCCTTCTTGATGTTCTCGACGAGGAGAGGGGCGTAGTTCTCGGGAAGGCCCTGAATAGTAGAAAAGAAGACTTATCAGCTACTTGGTCGCGGATATTGCATGAACTCGGAGTGTCGTTTGTACCTTCTCATAAGCATCGCTCTCCACAGCAACGACCTTGTCAAGGCCCTTGATCTTCGCCGCCTCGGCAGCAGATGTACCCTTGACACCGGTGCCAGCCAGGAAAGCCGTTACCGGGCCACCAAGCTTCTGAGCCGCAGCAATTGCGGAGAGGGAGGAGTTTTGCAGCTTGCCATCGCGCTGCTCAAGAACGGCGAGGGTCGAGAGAAGACGGGCGAGCGCCGAGGAAGTAGGCGACGTCAGAGTGCGGGCAGTGTAAATCTGCGAGCGGGCAGCCCGCAGAACGGAAGACCGAGCGATCGGAATCATGGCGATTGTTGTGAATAGGAGGATTGAGGGTGTTGCTTCTCCCACGAGGGTCTGGAGGAGGGGGAAGTTCAAAGTTGAAGCTCGGCGATCCGCGGTGATGTGAAGATGTGGTTATCGTCGGGATGCCAAGACCCGCCCGCCCGAGGTCGGACTCGGCTAACGCAGGCATCATGAAGGCTAATTCTTGACAAGCCGACTGATGATGACACGGTGGTAGACGTCGTTTTCTCTGTTTCGAATAATCTGGTGGTCTATATACTACTATTCATCTACACTGCCTTGTCTTTGAACGGGGAAACTCCTTAGAACGTAGAGAATCCTTGAATTGACGAAAGAAAATGACACACGTGATATTTTGTACGCCGAGAATACCTTTACATGCAGAACATTACAACGAGGCAAAACTGGATCCGACTATAAAGTCGACTTTCTCTTCTTCTTACCCGCCTTGGGGGCTTCGGTCACCACGGTCTCACCATCCTCGAGAGCCTTGGCCTTCTGCTTCTGGAGCTTCTCTTTCCTGGCCGCGGCAGACTCGGCCTCTTCGTCGTCCTCGGTAGACTTGGTTTTCTTAGTCTTCTTGCCCTCCAACAGCTTCTCATCACCAATAGACTTGCGCTTCTTGCCAGCCTTGGCGCCGCTCTCAATAGCCGCAGCCTGATCCTCCTCCACCACATCGGCGTCTTCCACCCACAGCTCATTGGCCAGCCAAATAGGGAGAGCCATGGTGTTCGCGCCCTTAACGTGGACTGCCTTGATGTTTCTCCAGCCCTTGTTGATAAACTTCTCAGCCATACCGTTGACGACGGCGGCGATGTTCTCGGACAACTGCTCGGCAGTGAAGTTGGACGAGCCGACGCGGACAGCGGAAGAAGTAGAGGGTGCCAGGTGAACAGCAGCACTGTGCAAGGTGCGCTCAATCTCCTTGGCGCAGATTAGAGGCGAAGCGAAAGATGCGCTCTTCTCCTCCTTAGAGGGCTTCTTCTTGGGATCCTTCTTGACACGCTTGCCGTCCACCTTCTCAATCTCTGCGATGCGAATAGGGATAGGGCGCTTGCTCGACTTGTAGAAAATCTTTCCAAGTGTAGGAATCAGGCGGGTGATGATCCGGTCATCGGCCAGGAAAACGTCATGCTCAGAGAACAATTGGCGACGGCTCTCGAAACTCTGGTAGCGGGCCTTGAGCTTGGAGAATCCGATGACCTTCTCGATGCGCGAGGAGAGTTCTTGGGGGAAAGCGGGGTCGGCAACGACATCCTTGAAGCCGCGCTGAGGGTCGGCAGTGATCACGCAGATGCTGAGCGATGGCGACGAGTTGAGGGAGTGCGGAACAGTGATTTTGCCGGGCTTCAGGCGGTTCTTATCCACGACGTGCTTCTTGGTAGTAAGGAGCAACCACACAGCCTCGTTGTTGATAGGGGTATCCTCATCATCGGAGTCATTGTCACCAATCAGGGTCTTTTTGGTCGACGACTTTTCCTTCTCTTGCTGGGCTGACTTAATATGGCGCAGCAGGGCGGTGGAGGCTTTGACAACCTGCGCAAGAATGAGATTAGTATGCGCGGTTGAATTTTTTTGGCTTGACGTGAAATAGGTGCATACCTGAGGGTTGTCCAGCTGATACGGTGAGCCAGAGGCCACCTTGGTGGTAAGAGTAGTAGAAGACGGCATTTTGGCAAATTGCGGTCTCAAACTCGACTCCAATTTTTCGGCGATGATATCGAGATTGAAAAAAAAAATTATCGGTCTAGAAGGCGGTGGCAGTTTGTCCAGGCTTGGCAGACCCCAGATCTAGGTGCCTGAGGCATCAATTTCTTCTGTATGCAACTGATAGGCCATTTTTACATCGTTGGGTTTCCAAGGATAAGAGGATCAAGTGGAGCAACTAATAACCTATGGACCAGAAACTTTCAAGTTATCTACTTTATGGTGATATTGACTGTTATCCAGCCGAGCTTTCTCGAGGATTTGACCATGGCTCTTACTCGGCGGAGGTAATATGCCTTTCTGCTACCCATTCATCTTGTTAGGTGCCATCTCACCAGACGCATTATTTTGCACTGGGGACTTACAATTATATTTTATGTATGTTCTGATCTTGGATTTTGGTCTTCATGCACTTGTTTGCTCGGTTTATGGTGGATGTCGCTTCCTAGGCTGGCAGCAAATCTCGAACATGTGCGGATATATATCATTTGGGACTTGGCCCACAAATATACTTGATCGGTACCTAGGCTACTATGAACATACAATACCCTTCATCATGATGGATAGGATTGATTATTAATGAATGCTATAGGATGATTGAACTTTCCGTCCTCATTCAAATTTTTTCGTCACGTTAGACGACTGTACGAAGTATAGATGGACTATCTGAAATGTACGGACTGCGGACTACGGAAACTTGTCCCGTGACCTCAGGTGATGAATTTCCGATCCGCCAAATACGGGATGACCCCTGCCCGCCCGTAGTACTGTAGTCACATCGTGGGCGTTTCAGAAACCCTGCAGCCCGCACAAGCTCAACTGCCAGCGTCTGGAATTGTCTCGGTCCCTTAAAAATAGCGCTCGCCCCCGCTGAGCTTGGCCATCTCAAGATAGGATCTCCCAGAGCGTTGTAGTGCACAGGAGGAGGTGGCCAAGGAGGTAGCACTGCATTTAGCTTACTATTAATAGCACTACAGCGCTCTCGGTGCGCCCGCTGGGTGAGAGCTCCTTCGCCAAGTCTCATTGGTGCGGACGGTGGCGATCCAACAGGCCAAGCAGACCTTGGAAGATACAGTCTCGGCGCGATGAGGTGACTGCCTCCTATACGCACTGTATGTATGGAACGACGGGGTTGTTTGTTTACATAGGCCCTACGCGGCATACGTACATATGTAGAGCTTCTGCAAGGCACGGTACATGGCAGCAATGAATGAAGTCGATGCCGGTTGCCTGCACGTCTTCCGATATGAAGAAGAACCTTGCAAAGAGCAAGAAAAAAAAGAATAAAGGAAGGTAAACAGCTTACTAACTATTGAGATCGTGAGATGTCACCATCGTGCACTCCACACGTGCTAGTCAGGGGGTGACTTCGGGCCTGGATCCGATTGTACTGTGATTTGTCCACTTCCGGGCGATAGTGGTTAGACTGGGTGCCTTTCGGGACGAGTCAGGGCGTCATTGGGCCTTGGATGTACATACAGTACAGTCACACAACTAACAACACTGTGGGAATACAGAGGATAATCTGTAAACACTAAACAGAGATGGGATGCGTCAGAAATCGCTAGTCTAGGACGCCACGCAAGCTTTTGTCCACACGGCCCCGGATAGGAACCCCGAGGAGTTCGCGCGGTATTGGGTTTAGGGGTCAGCGCCGGGTTAGCCGATTCCAGTGGAGGACTTAAGGCCATGACAGCGAGATCTGAGGATGCTGATTGAGTGGACCCAAGGATTCCATGTTCATGGTCTGATAGGCACCCGCATTTCTCTAAAAAAAATCCTGTAGGGGTTGAGGGACAGTTGGGTGGTATATATTCAACAGCTGGATGTATAGAGTAGGTAAGTGGTGAATGTAATTAGCTGATGAGCTGATGAATCGTCATGTATGAAAGAGACAGCCAGACAGTTGGCTACAGTACAGTAAGAGTAATGGCTACAACCAATGATTCCTTTTCGCTATTCAGGGCTGATGAGGATGGGCCAAGAAACTTACGACTGAAGTCGCACTATAGGCTATCGGAGCAGGGAAAAAAGCCCGATAACCGTTCGTACTCAGCAAATGTAGGTAAGGAAGTCAAGGAAGCCTCCGAACCAAACGGAAAACTCGATTAACCGAACAGCCCTTTACGGTCAGATACGGACTTTCCTGAGAACCCAACTGACATTCTTACCTAAATGAAATTGATACAAGCGGGGCCCCCCCTAGCCGTAATTCGCACAGACCGAGGAGAACCTTAACCAGAATGATATGTAAGTTGAGCTCTTCCATACACAGCAAGAAGGAAAGGCTATGACGCGGACGATTAAGATTACAGTGGATCGACAGAACCAACGCTTATCGCCATCGGGAAGGCGACAATCACTTGAACCCGCATACATACTACTACGTGTACAACAGCGACAAAGTCTTGGGTGTTGACTTGGTCATGCAGGTTTTTTTTGCACCCGAGGAAAGAACCGGGCTGGGTAAGGGGGTAGGGCTCCGGGGAAAGCGCGGGCTGTTTTAATTAAACAAGTCGTTCGAACTCGTCATGATGGTGGACCGCCCATTGATGATGGAGACCGGAGCAGCAGTTCACCCGAATCAAGTGCAATATCCGAGTCTCCCTGCCACGATTGGATGGTCTGTGGATGATATAAATCAACTAAGACTAGGTCGACAAATCAGAGTATGAGGACCTTAATAAATCCATATCCTTTTGACCGGGGCCTACGAGTTGCCTTGCCCGTTGAGGCGTGGAACCGAAGATTGAAGGTTGTATAGGAACGATGCATACGGGCGTGCGGCTGTGTACGGCTGTACATAGCCCCGGGTCCTTGTTAGTATGTATAACCAGAGTAGCAGAGGTCGGAGGAGGATTGGGATTCGAGAACAGGGTCAGAGCGATCAAGGCATACTGGGCGCGATCTTCCAAGCCTTCTAAACCATGTACATAGGTAGACGTTTGCATCTCGTCCCCTGCGGCAGATAGCAGATCGGGACCACCTGCCAGGGGGGGGGAAAGATCCCAGCGATCATCATGCAGAGGATCAAGAGAGTCTGAGTCCCGTTAGCGCCCCTGGCGTGCGATCATCACGAGTACTCCGTACAGGATTCAACCTTGCGGCGCATTAAATTAGGGGGAGACACTCCGTAACGGCTCTCGCCCTTGGCATCACTGGACCGATCGGCATCGGAAGGAGACCACAGTCGATCGGAAATAAAGAGCCAGGAGTTACAGATTTTGGCCAGGCTCAATAATGTATAAGGATCCAAAAACCATGGTCTTAGCTAGGGCGCCGTTGAACTTGCTGGCGTGGCAATCTCCCTATCTTGGGGCCATTTTGGGGGCAACAAATGGAAGAAGGAAATACCAGACGGTACCCATGGATACGAGAGGCATTTCGGCAGCGCTTGGCCAATGTGATTGGTGTACCTGGCCAAGTATGGAGCCTAATTGGCAGCCGTGCCACAGACGCTGTTGATTGGCTCCCCTTGGCGCATAGTAATTTCGTTTGGGCGCCAAGCTCTCAGGAACAAAAAAAAGGTAAACAGAGGGAAAAAAAATCCAATTTGCGGACCCACGGGCGATCTATAGCGTGGAGGACGCGGCGAGGCCCATTGCCAAGAGGAACGGAGGCAGTCGAGGCGTGAAGGAGATTGGAGAGAAATGGAGGAAGAAAAATGCCGTGAAGGAGAAGAGGCCGATGGGCTGAAACAAATTGTGGTAACTTACCGAGTAGCGTACGGGCAAGAGTGGGCAAAGCAGCGCAATCTTGAGAAATTAGACGCTGCAATACACAAATACGGTTATGCAATACGAGACGAGTGTAACGTACCCCCTTTTTTTCCTGAGTCGTGCAGCCCTCGGAGCCTGTTTTGTCCCCGTATTGACCTTACGGTCCCAGTCAGGCCCCCTCCTTTCCAACCAACCGCCCCTGGGGTTTTGTTCTCCTTCTCCCTCTCTTCCCCCCCCCTTCACTTCTTTCCCCAGCCTCAGTATCCTCGAGTTTTCCCATCCGACCAGAGAGATTTGTTCTCTCTACCACGTTCATTTAGGAAAATCTGTCACTCTCTCGACCTCCCACGCGATTCGATCTTCCCACTTTTTGTGTACAGCCCTTTACGAAAGCGCGCGACTGGCTTGCCGTTGATGTATGTGAGAGTTGCGCTCGAAGGGCTGCGAACGGTGTTATGGGATACAATTGCCGGTGAACCTGATTTCATGGCAGCGAGTGAACGGGAGAACCTTCAGCGCGTCGTTCTGTATGACTTGAGCCAGCTCGAGTCGCCATGCAATATCGCGGTGAGAGAACTCCTCGCTCAGCGCAGAAGAACCACATGAATCAGGGAAACCGCAACTGAACCAGACACGCCTTCCTCCCTGAAAAAAAAGACACCCTACGAGCAGGAAATCGATTGACTGACATCTTTCTCTCTCCATCTACAGATCCGCAATTTGAATTTCTGAAACCGCAATGAAGTTCACCAACTCCGTTGCCGTGACTCTCGCCACGGCGGGCTCCCTGGTGGCCGCCCACGGCCATGGCCACGCTCACTTCCACAAGCGCGTCGTTGAGACCGAGACCGAGACTGCCGTCACCGCCGGTTCTACCGTCTACGACTTCGTTGTCTTGGACCCCAGCAAGACTGGTACCCCTGAGCACATCACTGAGGAGGAGGCCTGCGCCCTTCTGGCCTCGCACGAGCTCGAGTGGCTGGGTTCCGCTATCCCCAACGCTTGCCCGACCAGCACCAGCACCCCCGTGAGCACCTCGACTCCCGTTGCCACCACCACTTCCATTGCTGCCCAGGTCCTCCTTGAGACCTCCGCTGCCATCATCACCAGCTCCTCCACCAGCTCCGTGGCTTCTACCACCAGCGCCGCCAGCTCCACCAGCTCCGCCGCTGCTTCCACCTCCTCCAGCTCTTCCAGCTCCTCCGGTACCGGTATTACTGCTGAGTTCCCCGATGGTGAGATTGACTGTGGCACCTTCCCCTCCGACTACGGTGCCGTCGCCCTTGACTACCTCGGCCTCGGTGGTTACTCTGGTATCCAGTACGTCACCATTGCCGACGCCGTGGTCAGCGAGATCGTGACCGCTGTCACCGGTGACTCTTGCACCAGCGGCGCCATGTGCTCTTACGCCTGTCCCGCCGGTTACCAGAAGTCCCAGTGGCCCTCCACCCAGGGTGCCACTGGCCAGTCCGTCGGTGGTCTGGAGTGCAAGAACGGCAAGCTCTATCTCACCAACACTGATTACAACACTCTCTGCATTGAGGGTACTGGTGGTGTCCACGTTCGCAACAACCTCGGCTCCCAGGTTGCAGTTTGCCGTACCGACTACCCCGGTACTGAGTCCGAGACCATTCCTCTGTCCGCTCTCGCTGGTGAGGAGCACCCCCTGACCTGCCCCAACGGTGCCACCTACTTCAAGTGGGAGGGCAAGACCACCTCCGCTCAGTACTACGTCAACAACAAGGGCGTTTCCGCCGAGACTGGTTGCCAGTGGGGTGACGGCTCCGAGCCCATCGGTAACTGGGCCCCCATGAACCTGGGTGTTGGCTACTCTTCCGGCGCCACCTGGTTGTCCATGTTCAAGAACGAGCCTACCACCAGTGCCAACCTTGACTTCAAGATCAAGTTGATTGGTGACGACCTAAGCGACAGCTGCCGCTACGACGGAAATGGCAACTTCTACAACAACGCCGGCCTGATCACCTCTGGCAACGGCTGCACTGTGAGTTTCCTCGCTTTTCTTCATGTATCTCCCAAAAAGACCCACAATTTACTAACCGCAACCCATTGTATAGGCCAGCTCCTCCTCCGGCAACGCCTACTTCGTCTTCTACGAATAAGTGCCCTCCCAACCAACCGGGTCCCTGTTCCGAACCTCGCCCCGAGAAAATACAAAGCCCCACGGTCTAGGATGATGCTTAGTTTTTTTTCATCTTGTTTTTCCACCTTCCACCTGAACCATGCTAGCAGTGGGTTGAGGAGAAGGAAATGGGCTAAGGTGTCGTTGGGGGGTAACTCCCAAAACGCCTTTCCTTCCTTCTCTCCCTCCACTACCGGTGTTTCTGTCCATATCACGGTATTTTACTTCTGGGGTAGTCTTCTTCTGTGTATCTTAACTTTTTTTATGTGCTCGATCGGGGCCTTTGTGGGGGCAATTCAATCTTTGTTACTTTTTCCTTTCGAATTCCGTTGAGCGTCGTTGTATGAGCTGTATACGTATGGATCTACTGGCGCTCTTCGTTTAGTTATAGACTTCTATCAGTACCTCAAGTACACCCAATTTTGACACTACTATGAATATTTGATCATTTTGACCGGATATTGAATATCTGCTTCTTGGCTCTTGGATTTGGTTGTCAGGCTGTTGTATCCTGTTGCATGTATTTTGTTGTCATGTGGCTCTGGCGGCGGGTGGCTTCATGCAAGTCATGGACGACATGCACGACATCCACTCAACCAAAAGGCACGATCCTAGCTTGTCAGAGTGTAATGCCATCCATGTTAGTCTATCAATAGTAAATTTCACCTCGTGATCAATTTACTGTATCCTTTCTCTATCCAACCCGAAGAACTTGCCACACTGAAAACCGAATCTGTACCTAGAGAATATAGGTGATGGCGGGAGTTCCATTCCATTCCTGTGGCGTCAAACCTTCAAGGTTGAGGGCTTCCTTTGAGTAAGACATTCCCGTATCGTTACACTGGGAAGTACCCAGAGGACTTCAAGGTTCTGCTTCGGCCCGGGCATTTGCAACTTGGTTTTTCCATGTAAAGGAATCTTGACTGTAGAGTTCAGAGTCTGGTAATGTCGCGTGACTACCAGTGAGGACTTTCATCATTGACACACATCAAAATGGAAAAAGTAGATCGAAGCTACGCTAATCACTGGACAAGTGCATATTAACACAGAATTCGCGTTATAGTATCCCCTACTCCAAAGGACAAGCAATGTCAATTTGCACCGAGTCGCGAGCATCGTGTCCCGAGCGCGTTGAGTCTATGATATCAAATTCGGGGTGGACCGTTTCTTATAAACTCGGAAGGGTGAGTTACCACTAATTGCTTTCATTCCCCATTGTAGCTCTATCACCAGATAAGGGTCTATTAGAATTGTTCGTGGCAGAGACATTGAGCACGAGACATCCAGCCTGGGCAGTGTATAACTCATCTCATAGCTATACTTTGTGAGAACTTCGCTGCTATCACGAACAGTATCACTTGCCGGCAGTTGGAATGTGTTTTGGTGTCTTCTCATAGGGCAATAGTCGTCGTGGGCTATTCGTTATCTCCAAGGTAACCACGTTTCTTTAGGAGTCTAGATCCTTGGAATGTGAGCTACACTACTTTGGTCCTGGACTCCCACATACCAATGGCAGTTGATAAGGTGTCATGACATCATAATTTGTGGGGTGCTGTAATCTGTATGGCGAGTTGGACCGTTGGTCGAGTGGTTGTTGCACAGTAATGGAAATCAGAGGAAATATCAAGAACGCTCGTAAGGGCGTTCATAGTTCGGGAGAGGAAGCGCAGTGGTAATTAAAGTGAGTAAAAAGAAATCAAAACTGTGTTGGCTGCTTTAGCCCAATGAACGTCGAGGCGAGGTACCTATTTTGGCACGATGCCATCTAGTACTGGAATCCCGCCATTTATGGAGCAGGATTGCTTGACTTACCAAAACTTACGATCACTATGATACCTGATAGACTAGCTACGGCCACGCCCTAATGCTCACTTCGAATCGAACCCGAAAGTAATGGCTAAGTTTATCAAGACTAGCGATTTATTTCCAATACTACCTACCGTACGACTCTGGGATTGATCAGTTGATCCAGTCAGCACTCGCAAGACGCTATGATACAGAAGCTTCTTGGCAAAATGTACCTTCATTTCCTCCAGTATTAGGGATATAAAGAGAAAGTTCATTACTTTCTGGTGAGTTGTCAATTCTCAAGCTTCATCATTCATGGCCGATTCTTCTTGTCGCCGTGATAGTGGAAAGTTGTATCTCATGGAGACTTGAAATGCAACTGGGTGACGAGTCAAATCGACAGGGAATCTAGGACTGCTATGATCTTCACACCGCTTCATAACCTGTTGTGGGGCTCTTAATTGAAAGATACCCTAACAGAGCTGGCTTTTACCAAGCATTGGAACCTAGGCCGTCCCGCCAGTTTGCGAGTCCGATTTTGAGCTACAGCAGCAGATCTAACTATGCTCCGAATTGATTGGCTCAATCTATTCAGTTACCTCAAAATATCACCCGATAGTATCCCATCTCAATGTAAGCGTTAATAAGCAGATAGCTTCGGCGAATTTTATTGCATTAGTCGAGGTCCAGACTGGAGTCGATATCCCACTTCGGCTGGAGGGGCTGGTGGTCAGTACAGTTACGGTATTCACGCGCCACGAAACCCCCGCGAAACAGAATTTTCTCATAGATCCCGCGTCTTGATAGTTTTCCAGTGGGGGTTTTTTGAGATGAATTTGACTATTTTGTATTTGATTCAATTAGGAAATCTAATTAGGTCTCAATTATTATAGATCTCTACTAGGTTTCTGAGTACATACCTTGACAAAGTCCGTTATCGAACGTAGCCTAAAGTTCACTTTTTTTGGGATACATACTTATTAGAGACACCCAAATTCGACGGCGACATCATCCGAGGTCATCTTCATGCCAAGTATACTAGCAAGAGCATACCTTGAAGAGTCTGTCATACTCCATACTCCGACTCGCGTGCCCGTCACGATCCACTCTTGGTCCACACATGACTTCAGACGCGACCGCGATTTGCAGTTGATCAGTCAATTGTCATAGAGCTGTAGATCTACAGAGCTCCAAATAGCTTCTGAACAAAACATAGCTTGTTCATTCACATACATAGTGAACTTTCTTCACTGCTTTATCATACTGCCCAACTATACAGGGCTGGGAAAGGGTGAATTGAGAACGTGAAAGAATAGTGGAGCCCGTGAACCCTCTCGTCGGCGCCTATCGAACGCGTCTCAGACTGTAAGCGTGCATTTCCGCGCAGGGCGAACGAGACGCTCCGCCCCAAGGCATTCCTCCACTACCACACACCTTACACGCTTCACCTTTTTCTCCCAAGGCCCTCCCTCCCTTCCTCTTGGCCCAATTCCCCTCCTCTCGACTGCTCCTTTCCCTTTCGAGACCCTGAGGACCCTCTTCTCCTTCTTTTTATCTTTTCACAACTACCCTTTTGTCCCATAAGAAACGCGGTGACGCGAGTTCTTCGAGACCGGACTTCTCCTCCTACTGACAAAGTTCGCACAGAAAAAGGGAGAGTTTGCGAGGCTTTAACACTTGGAGAACGTCATGGATTCCTCTCCAACTAGACTCAGCATGGCTCCTGCTGCGGGCGTGAAGCGTCCGGCAGCTCTGCTACCTGCCTTCGAGCCATTGAGCTCGTCTCCCTCCCTTCCGAGGCCTACCAAGCGTGTAGCACGCGAACCCGCCTATCCTACCCCCGTGCCAACCTCTTCAACTCATATCATGTCGTCTTCGCCACCCGGTATCGCGGCTTCCGGTCGGCCTTCAGCGCGTCGTACCTTCTCCGGTCCCGTGGAGCGGTCTCCCTTGTCCGCGGTCCCAACTATCATGCTGCCCGAAAGCGGCGAGTCTATGCTCATGGGTCGGTCGAGTGCTTCGTGCCATCATCAGCTAGCTGCTAGCCGAATGATTTCTCGTGTCCATGTCAAGGCTACCTACAAGCCGGCGCCAAACCCTTTTGACCGCGACAGGGTTGAGATTATGTGTATGGGCTGGAATGGAATCAAGATTCACTGCCAGGGAAAGAAGTATGATTTGGCCAAGGGAAAGACTTTTACGTCGGATATCAAGGATGCAGATATCATGATCGATGTTCATGAGGCGCGTGTCTTGGTGCAGTGGCCGCGGAACGAAAATGATAGGAAAGATTGCCCGTCGACCGACTCGGAACAAACTTGGGATGAAGGAACACCAACTCAGAAAAACCCCCGCCGACTGCTTCCCGATAGCCCCTTCGTCGGAAATCAGCGTCTGGGTTCTCCTGTTTCGCCATCGCCTGCCGTGCAACATGCCATTCCTCCGTCCTCGCCTATCTTTACGCCCTCTCGTGCTCGTGGCTCCGTCGTGGTGTATGAGGACGAGCCTTCTCCATTGAAGCGTCACAACACTGTCGGCGGGTTTACTTCGCACAGTGCTCGTCGTGCTAGTGCAATGCTGCAGATCTCGCAGTCTAGTGATATCAGCAGACCCGAGGATGAATCTGATAATGACGAGGAAAATGACCCTATCGTCCACTCATTCGGTCCGTTTGGCGAGAACTTGCTTCCTCGGATGGCCTCCTTCCACGCCGGAGGCTCTCCGGTTCGCCCCGTCCTGTCGCCTCTCAACAGGAGGGCGCCTCAGTCTCCTCAGCATATCAATTCCATTAAGCAACCTCACGCCGAGGATCAAAAGGAAGAGATTGAGGTCAAGGAGAAGACCAAGGAAGAAGAAGAGAGCTTTGAAAGAGTTCGCAACCACACCGTGAATCAGCTCGCTTTCTCCCGCCTATCATCGACTCCCTTCTCCACTATTCTGAATAACCTCCCCCCTTCATATTGGAAGTCGAATTCGAGCAACACCTCTGGCCCATCTCGCTCCGATATACGCGCAATTCTAGAAACCACCAAGTGCATCGGCAAGGTTGCACGTGAAGGCAAAGATGCCGCTGGCCAGCCTCTGGAAAGCGAATTCTACTACATCCCCGACTTTGATGAAGACATCGGTCGCCGCGAGACTGTGGTCAACAACCTCCGGAAGCCTGGCCTCCGCAACTGCCGCAAGCAGCACAAGGTTTGTGATCCCATTCCTGAGCAATTCATTTTGCTAGACCTGAATATCGTGACTAACATCGCCCAGCAATACTTCTGGAAGAAGCCGAAATAAATCGAATATCTCACGGATCCGTTTTTCCCCTACTCTTCCCTTCTCGACTTCGGATCGGCCCCTCTCAGTACATATTTGCAGTGTTCTTAGCGACCTAGTCTCCTCAGCTAGGTGGCTCGCATAGCGTGGCGTGTGGCATACCCTGACATTTTCTTGTTTGATGTTTAATCCTTGCTATCTTTGTTTTTCCTTCCCTTCTCGCTTTCATTCCTCTTTCCCCTGCCTCCACATTTTCTCTTCCGTTCCAGCATGGTGGTGTACGATGTGTGGTACTTTCGCAGCGCGCCGTGTCTCGCTCTTTTGTGTCCCTCTTGTGGACTTGTCCAGTGTTCCCCCCCCCTTGATGTGTGATGGTTTCCCCGAACTCGACGGCCGCTCATGGTTTTGCTTTTGGTTTCGCTCTGACCGTTTGATTTTGTTCCGGATCGATTATCTTTGTTTGATTATAATACCTGCTCGGTCTGTTTTCTTCATTCGTGGTGAAGTGTTATTTTTCTGCGCATAACTGTTTTGAATGGGACTTGATAATATCATGAACCCTGCTCGAAGTATCTTTGCGATATTTGCGTTTTTTGTCTGGTTATTCGGCCTTGCCCCTCTTCGGGGTTGAGATGCCATCACGATTTGTATGTTTAGCTTGTTCAATTTCAAGTAAAAAAGTGTCATTTAATCATCCGGCGCTTCGTATTTCTATGGAGTAGTTTATAAAAGATATTTTATTAGTAGTATTGCTTTCAAAAGCACAGCATTGATATAGGGCCTAACTTAGCGTATTGCTATTCTTTCTAGCTATACCGCTGCCCACAAGTTTGATGGCACAGTCGAAGCTGGACTAGATTCGATGTGCCAAGAGGCTATAACTACCAGTGCGAGTAAACTACGGAACGATTGAGACTAGCTTACGGTTGTATGCCCGTTTATGGAGTCATTGTTGCCGAGGAGTGGCTTCCTTGTTGGTAGCTAGCTTTCTCTACCTCATCGTGCAGCTGGTTGATATGCCTATTCGCCACCTTTGCGTCACCTAAGCTTCCCCCTTGTATAATACACCGTGCATAGTCAATAAGGTTTTCGCCGGCCGAGACCTTGTTCCTTTAATGTACGGAACCTGCTCACCAAAATCATAAATTCGGCGGCTTGGTACCTCCCCCACTCGAACGAGCTGTATGATTACTATGTACCACTACTTCCCGCTCGAGTCTTTGGGTCATACAGCATGAAATGACGAACAAAAGTTGAGGAGTTATATTCTCCTGCTTGGAAAGATCATGCAATCTATTTAAAGTTGAAGCAATCACCCCATCGCCACCATGGTCGCCACTGGACAGTCGAACCTCCTTCTGAACCCTCGACCCCGCATCGAGCACCGTCATCAAATTTCCAGATCTCTTCTATAGAAGCATCCCCCCCCGGACTACAAATACTCAGTAACTGCAATCAGCCCTCTTAAAATATTCGATAATCCTACCACTCCCTCCTCGGTCCTACAATTCCCTCCAGCCAATCCATCATGCAGTCCACGATCCAGCAAGATTCCATCCCCAACCGGATTCGAGAACCTCCAGTATCTACAACGCAACCACGAGACCTCTCCTCCAGTGAATCCCACCAACCGCCGGATCCCAACCCAGATGCCGTCTCGGATTCATCTTGGAAACCAAGATTCGACCGTCGCCAAAGCTGGAGCCATGAAGACCAGAAACACCAGCTGCAGGAACGACTGCTGAACGTCGAGCAAGGACGCGAGACGGGGTTTACGGAGAAGGGATCGGTCCCTCAATCAACCTAGAACATTGCAGCAGTCTCCATCGGACGATCATATCGGCTTTTTTTTTTAAGTGGGGATCATCATCTCAGCAAGTGTGTTCTGGAATTGAGTGGGGGTTCCACTTGGCGATGACAGTATGCGCGGTGACATGCCTGCAAAGGGAAAGGGGGCTGTTGTTGGCTAAAATCTCGAATCAAATTGCGCAGTATATTATTTCAATTCATCACTGTCCTGTAGATAGTATGAAAATTCAATCAAAGAGCAGATAGTTGCGAAGGCAATGAGAGTGTAGTTGAGAAATCAGTGTCCAGACCTCTAACCGGCGATCATCCAAACCTCCGCACCGCCTTACCAAACCAGCCCGCCTTCTCTCCGCCATCGCCATCGGCCCGCACGACCAACTGCAAGGAGATTCCTGCACACTACGAGCTTCTACGAGCTCCCAACCCACCTGGAATCGCATACACTTCCCCAATGTGGCATTCAAGTCACTCCTGTATTCTCCTTTCGGACGTTCTGAGAGGACCCCGCGATTAAATCGGCTCCGAACGCACACACAGCCATGGATCGCCAAAAGAAAAGTATGCGCCAGGTAGACCGCACTGCGCTCTTGCTGATCTCTCAACTGACTTTGTCCTCACTACAGGAGAGCTTCGCGATCTGAATGAGAAGGCCTGGGAAGGTGAGACCGGTATGCCAAACCTCCCCCTCGAGGACAAATACTGCCGCATGATAAGGCCCGCTCTTTAGGATTTCGACTGACTAGCTTGGGCTATCCCACACAGATGTATTCCCTGTCAGCAAGTCCCTCGACTCGGCTCTCAAGAAGAATACGGCATTCATCAAGCGCCTGCGAACCGGAATCAGTGCTTCCGCCCTATCTACCTTCCTGACCGATATCCGTACCCTCTCGCTCCACAAGTACCTCTCTGAGATAATCTCTGCCTGCTATGAGGGACTCTGCAAGCTCAAATCCCCAGGGGAGATCGCTGCCGGAGTGGAGATTATCTGCGCTCTGCACCAGCGATTTGGTCCCGCCGAGTTTACCAGGCAGATTGGATGGCTGCTCGGCCGGGGCATGAGCTCCATGGATAAGGCCTCGCTGAAGGCTCTTCCTCAGGAGATGCGCGAGCGGGAGGAAAAAGAACGCTTGTCGCGGCATCGGGTTCTACTTCGCATCGTTACGGAGCTGTGGCTTGTCGGTGTTCTTAGAACGTTGGATGATACGGAGAGACCGGAAGATGCGAGGAAGGATGCTACCACGGGCAAGCTGCCGGATCTGGTCCCGATGAGGGCGACCAAGTCCCCTGCCGCGTTGAAGGAACTGGAGAAACAGGCCGAACCTTTTCCTCTGGAAGTACTCAAGGATCTACTGGGACACGACCGCGACCATACCAACTTGCCGCTTGCCGTTTTGTTTGTGAAGAGCTTTAGCTGGGATATTCTTGGTACCAAGCTTGTGGAAGAGGGCCGGAAGACTGTCGAAGCGGATGGTGCGACGTCAAAGTCTACCATCGACCAAGAGAATACAGAGGGTAATGGTGACACTACAGCAGAGGCAGACCCGCCATTGGTTCCGGAGAAGACACAGCAGCGTTTCAGAAATATCTTGACTCGCTACTTGGATGATGTCAAGGCACATGTGGTTCGCGATCAGAAGGCACTGGCCTCGCAGAGTCGTCGCAATGCCGAGGCCTACGTGAAAAGTGGCGAGATCTTCGAGGACCGCCAATCGAACTTTGAGAAGCAGTCAAAGACACTCGAGAAACTTGTGACTAATACTCAGGTCTTGTGTGAAGCTTTGGGTGCGGAGATGCCTGATCTGGTCGAGAAAGAGGCCGTTGATGCTGGTGGCAGCGGTGGTATTGGCTTGGTGAAAACCACTGATTATTTACGTGGACAGGGCGACGGTGCCGGCATCTGGGAAGACGAAGAGGAGAGGCGCTTCTATGAGAATCTGGTTGATCTGAAGGGCAAAGTACCTGCAGTACTCCTTGAAGATGGCAAGAAAAAGAAGACTGAAGGTGAAGAGACCGGGAAGAAGAAGGCCGAAGGTGACGCAGAGACTGCCGCAGAGAAGCCAGAACCCTTGGAGGATAGGGCTGCAGCTGATGCCGATGACCAGTCAATGGCAATTGCCAGCAAGACTGTCGGCGCTCAGGTGGATGCTCTTCTTGGAAAACTCCCGGAGCTGCAGACCAAGGACCAGGTCGATCAATTCGCCTTGGACTTTTGCTTTGTCAACTCTAAAGCTTCTCGGAACCGATTGGTAAAGGCTGTCTCGGATATCCCCAAAGGTCGGATTGATCTGCTTCCCCTATACTCGCGTCTAGTGGCCACTCTTGGACAATACCTGCCCGATATTCCGCAGGGATTGACCACTTATCTCGATGAAGAGTTTCGAAGCCTGCAGCGACGAAAGTCGAAGGAATTCCTCGGCCAGGTTCGCATGAGCAATGTACGTTACTTGGCCGAGTTGACCAAATTCGGTGTGGTCCCCGAGCACATCATCTTCCACTGCTTTAAAGTCTCGCTGGATGACTTTTCCCGCATGAACATCGAGATTATCGGTAACCTCCTGGAAAACTGTGGCCGCTACCTACTTCGCAATCCAGAGACATCGCCCCGTATGGCGTCCTTCTTGGAGACTCTGAGCCGGAAGAAGACTGTGCAGCACTTGGGTCAACAGGAACGGATGGTCATTGAGAATGCCATCTACTACGTTGATCCGCCTCCAAGACCGGCCATTCAGCAGAAAGAGCGTACTCCCGTGGAGCAGTACATTCGAAGACTGATCTATCTTGATATGAACAAGCGGAATTACACCAAGATTCTGAAGACCATCCGCAAACTCCATTGGGAGGAGCAGGAGATCGTCGATATTCTGGAACGTGTTTTTAGCAAGCCTGTCAAGGTCAAATACGGCAGCATTCACCTTCTGGCAATTCTTGTCAGTGCTCTGTACCGCTATCATCAAGGATTTGTCATTGGCATCGTCGACAATGTCCTTGAGCAGATCACGCTGGGGCTAGAGTTGAACGATTTCAAATTCAACCAGAAGCGAATCGCCGAAGTGAAGTACCTGGGTGAGCTCTATAACTACAAAATGATCGACTCACCCGTTATCTTCGACACTTTGTACCGCATTATTACCTTCGGTCACGAAGGTGGTACCCCCGTTCCCGGCAAGATCAGCCCACTGGACACACCGGATGACTTTTTCCGACTTCGCCTGGCGTGTACGCTTCTCGACACCTGTGGTCACTGCTTTGATCGCGGATCTGCTAAGAAGAAGCTGGATTTCTTCCTGACTTTCTTCCAGTACTACCTGTTCACTAAGGATCCGCTGCCCATGGACATCGATTTCCTGGTTCAGGACACGTACTCTAGCTTGCGACCCCAATGGAAGCTGGCTACGGACCCCGAGGAGGCTACTCGAATTTTCAGCGAGGCCGTCGCCCAGAATTACAACGTCCAGGACTCCGAGAGACCCGGCGAGCTTGACGAGGACGATGCGGAGAGCAGCTCGTCCGACGAGGGTCTAGAGGAGGACGCCATTCCAGAAATTGAAGATGAGCAGGAATCTAGCGATGAAGCAGAGGTATGTCTTCTTTCCATCCATTTCTTTCTAAACTCACCTTTCTTACCCATTCTAGGCATCCGGTCCGAATCCCGAACCAAACGACGAAAGCGACTTTGAGGACGAGCATATCGTCGTCACACGCCAAGAAGAGGAGCGCGACCCAGAAGCCGAGGCCGATTTCGACCGTGAATTCGAAAAGATGATGGCCGAAAGTATGGACTCCAGGCGCTTCGAGCGTAAGGGGGTTTTCGATATTCCCCTGCCTATGAAGCGAGTCCCTCGTGAGAATCCTCCAACGGAGTCGTCGACTGAATCGGCTACACCGGAGCCTATGCCTACCAAGACAATGGCTTTCTCGCTAATGACGAAGAAGGGAAATAAGCAACAGGTAAGACCGCACTGCTCAGTGAAAAGGCTTAAATGGACCAATACGCTAATACCATGTAGACACGTACTATTGATCTTCCATCCGATTCTAGCTTTGCTGTTGCTATGCGCAGTCAGCGACAAGCTGATCGGGAAGAACAACAGCGTATTAAAAACTTGGTTCTAAACTACGAGGCCGCAAATGAACCCGAAGCAGCCGAGAGTACGTCCACCCCCCTCCCCGAGGGAGTGTTTCCCTTGGAATGGAGATACTAACGATTCGAATTTAGCTTTTGAAAAGCGCATCCCCGCTAATCAGCGAGTGGACAAGTCCGGCGCTAATCGTTCTGCCTTCCGATCTCGAAAGCTTCAGCTCAGCGATGTGAATTGGTAATGAGGGCCGTGGAGTATGAAACGACTTTCAAACCCTGCCGATCCTGCCTGCCCTTGTGAAGCACAACACGCACAGTCACAGCGAGGAATCGTGTCCGTCTATCTGCTCAAGCGCAGTTTTCGATCCGTGTTTCTAGCATTTCATCGATGCAGCCGGGACTTCACACCCTGGAGAATCATGTCTCCATACCTGGCCATCTTCTGCGTGATTCTCGCTGGATGAGTGTGTTGAGAATCGACGCTGCATCGGAAAGAGCTTCATACCTCTTTACCCGATGCAAAGTGGTCCTTCTCTTCTTTGAGCGGGATGCAGTGCCCAATGCTTCTGGAAATTCAGCACCCTATGACGAGCTACACACCCTTTCCGCCCTTTGGCATCGGTCGCTTGGGAATTTGGCGTGTGGCGAGTGAAAGACGGAGGAGCTGATAGGAATATGATACCAATACAAGCTTATCCGGTCCTGTTCAATGACTTTCCCTTAGTTTTCTACTTTAAATGGGGATATTTGTATTCGCTCATCCATGTACCTTGTTACTCTACCGATAATTCGTTGCTGCAGTGAACTCCCTACAAAGCTGGCTGTCGCGGGGTTTATGGTAGTGACTAACAGCTGTATATTTCTTCGCGGTTAAGGTAAAAAACGATCCACTACACACCACCGAAGTAAATAGCACGTACAATTTACTTACTCGTCAACGCTATGGAACAATTTGAGCATTCCATGGGCTATGCCGAGCCTTTGTAGCTTAGCAGAGCTCTAATGAGTTTAGGAGCATGGGCGGCCAAGGCTCCGAGACCCGTATAGGCGGCGGCTGTCTCCAGTAGAAAATAAATGCGATATTTGATTTGAGACCTAATTTTACTCCTCGCATAACCTTCGTGTCTTCCTTGATACCACAAATTACCATACAAGACTGTTCAATAGTTCACGCAAATGTCCGAAATATCTGTTGACGGCCAAGTGTCGAAGGCAGTTCCATGCTACCACGACCAACTTCCGCAATACTGTTCAAATCAGCCAAGCCAAGAACTGCTCGCCTCTATTATTGAGACCGAGCATACTCGCCGGATTTTAGATCAACGGATAGAAGATGCTTTTGAAGAAATTGAAGACTTGATTGAAAGGGCACCAACCGATGAAACAAACCGGCTTGCATCTGCAAGATGGTTGCAAAAGAGCGGTCAAAAATTCAAAGAAATTGGACAGATGATGATCGAATCAGCAGTTTTTCATGAGAAATGGGCTGGTGAAAACGGGGGCATTTCTATCGCCCTATCAAAACTCACCCAGAGTGATTTCAACCAGACTTACTCTTCTCTGAAGCGATGCGCGAACCAGCAGTCACGATATGCCCTAGTAGAAGATCATCAATGCGGCAGCCAATGCTATAACCGAGATTCAGGCAACAAGTTCCAAAGCGCTCCGTTGAATAAGTATGGAACAGGAGCTTTAGATTATACCCACGACTCTATATGCTCTTGTGCCCGGGCCTGCCCCCTTTCGACAACGGCGGATCACATCAATGAAAAAATTGACAAAAGTCGTCTCCCTCATGATAAGGCCGATAAACCAACACGGACTGATCGAACGGGAGCAAAGTCCCCTAAGAGCTTTTGGAAGAGAATCGTGAAGCATTAGGCTCGGCATTGCTATCGGGATGCATGCCTTCGGAATGATTGGGTCGTGATAGACCCACTGGTTCAGTCGGTGCTTGTACATCGTGCTTTTTTCTGCTTTTATTAACTCTTTAAAGATAGAGTCGCTTAGGAGAGTCGCTTATTCGCTAACGTAATGCATTCTTACTACTTCTGGTCCTTCTTTTGCTCCCTAAGACTAGAAATATATGAGAAACCTTTCAACTCTTAACGTAACAAATCAAGAGTCTATAGTAAGGAGCGCGAAGAGTCAAGTGCCAGGCAGTATAAATCCAGACATGTTCACCCCCGAAGAGGGCCAGTCAACTCCATGAATATGTGAATATAGTACCAGAGTTAAACAAACACACGGGCGTAAAAGGAACACTGAAGACATCTTCACCCTGTTTTCTTCCTTCATCACACCTCGCTGAGGTTCTCGGTGAGAAGCAAAAACAATTTCTGGCGGACAAACTGTCGATGCCAGCACCAAATCTATGGGTACCCGTTAAAAACCCACGGGCGGGTAAAGAAATCGGAAAAGCAGGCAAGCCCCTGTTCCGACTTTACACGACCGTCACTAAAATGTATCCAAAAGCGAAAATCCGCTGTCACTAGGGATTTCGAGTGAAAGGAACTGGTAAGTTATGCGTGTTATAGAATGTTTGAGTAATAAAGGCGATCACAAACATGGTCAGGAAAGAAAAAGTGCACAAATAGGAAAACATCAAGGTATGTCCACACCAGCCCAGCCCCACACTCCCCGAGTACTAACAGCATTAGGATAGGAGGCAGATCACCTGCAAACGCCTCCTCCGCCAAGTCGAACAAACTATGAGACCCTACCCTCCGGCAGTTCATAGATCACGGCGTCGGCGTCCAATTCTGTTGGACCACGGGAGGTGCGCGAAGCTTGCGGGTTGTCCCAGTTCCATTGGCCAGAATCAGGGCGAGACAAAGAGCCACCAAACCCAGACGCTGATTCGGGACCGGTCGAGAGCTCACGCATCGCCGGTTCTGGTTCACCAACAGATGTGACATCAGTACCCGGACCTCTACCGGCACTGCCATCGAATTCACTCCTGGGGACATCGTAATTGTTGCCGCTGTTGAATAAAGACCATCGGTCGGGGTGCTCGGTCCGTGAGTGTGCACGCTTGCGACGGAAGACAAAGAACAGTGCGACCAATATGGCAAGGCCCGCCACTGCTCCGACAACAATGCCGGCAATCGCTCCGCCACTTAATCCACCACCACCACCTCCATTATATGCGGCACTGCTGGTGGTTGCGCTCGAGGTCGTCGATGTGCCAGAAGTTGATGGCCCGCCGCCCTCGGTGCCCTCGGCGGGCATGGCTTGGCCGGGAACCAGCATGTAAGGGTAAGTAAGAGCCTTCTTGTACTGCTCCTCGAAAGTCTGTGTAGAGTTCTGATATTAAAGTTATTAGAGCCTTTCATTGCGGGGACTGAGTTGTTCTGGGCCCACCGGATTGATCACGCCCACCATTCCGTTTTTGAGACATGATCCAATTGCAGTACAGTAGAAAAACGTCGGCTGTTGGGATTGATTGTCAACAAATGTTGCTGCAAATCTGGAGAGCTAGCTTTTCTTACCTTAGTATCATTGATAACTATTGACCAGGTCGGCAACTTCGATCATCATGAAGGTCAGTTGAATTGGTCTCTCTCGCTTAAGTCGATGGGGTAGGTCATGCTTACCGGACCAGTAACTTGACCATTACTCTGATTGAAGCTGTTGAACATCCCAGAATAGAAGAGACCATCACTAGCTGGCACACACGGTGCGCCAAAGTCGGCTTTCACGACTGAATGGTTTGTCGGGAAGAATTCGAAAACGACGACGTCGCCGGGGTTGGCCGTAAAATTGTTTGGGACGTAGGCCTGGGGGCTTGACTTGGATCCGACTTGGACAGTATATGTCTCGATACCGGTCGATGTCCTAGTGGGCGAGGTGTAGACTGAGGTTGTGACATCGGTCGTTGTTCCCGTCGCCGAGCTATAGGTATAGGCTGCTTCGGCATATCCTCCAGTCGACAAACCGATCGAGACCAGGAATGGTCCAAGCATATGCCGTGGAAAAGGCATTTTTTTCGGCTGTCGTTGATCGTAAGTAGAGGAGGCGTGCAGAAGGAAGAAAAGGTCCTTAGGATAGATAAAAAGCAGAAGGCGTCATGGCGACCGAGCAGAAGATAAGAAATCTGGCTCACAGCTGAGCAACAGGGCAAGCTTTGTTCTACGTCCATTTTCCCTCTTGTCTTCAACCGACAAGTGTAACTAATTGTCATTTTCGCAAAAGAGAAACAGAGTTCGCAGAGCTCAACCGTATTAGGTTAATGGTCGGCTCCACACTAAACAGATCCACGGGGTGAGTCTGGAGGGGCGCTATTGGTAGGGTTACCAAGCTACACTTTATCAAACGAACTACTTATTCAACCGTTTTTGTACCCGGCATTGCTAATTGGCTGACTGGTTCAGCCTTTCTGCGTGCCCTAGAACTTAGCACTAGCAACGCGGTCGGAAGTGAACCTGGACTACTGACATAGAGATGTCATCCCTGACCATCTAGTGTTTAGTTCCGTAAAGACTCTCAGAAATAAGGTTAGCACAGTAGTCCTAAGGCCTTTATTCGTCGAAGTGCACCGATAGCGTGGTGATTGCATGCCTTTGTGAGCCTAGACAACCCGTTGTCCATGGAATAGAAAATAAGCCTTAGCGTCGCCTTGGGACTGTTTGGATCCTACCTTCAACATGAAACCTGATTCACGTTGTGCAGTGTAATTGACCCACGGGATCCAAGAAATCGTTCGGACACCCAAGGCAGCTTCAATATTTTAGTAGCCCTAGTGACCCTGCCTCGGCCCATGCGTGGGACCTAAAAGATCGCAGCCAAGACCGCGCCAGACGTGCAGGCATTGATCCTAAACCTTGCGACCGCTAGGGGGTTCACCTTTTAAGAACTATAGCCCCTGCATTTTGGTGCGGTCCTGTCGTCCTACGAATAAGCAAAAGCCCCAAATCCCGTGGGTATGCATAGTTTATGTAGAAGCCGCCAATATGTAGAGACGGTTTTCCAGCAACAATATGAGAGTTTGGCAAGGAGGGCGTGCGGGGCTGAGAGCAATGCTTCTAGGTATGTCTGCGTTCCCTACACAGGACACCGGTAATTCTACGCGGGTTGGCGTGAACGAATCGGATTTCAGCATATTAAACTCGGGATTAAAAGGCACTTCTAAAAGACACAATGGACGTGCGGTCGTGGATCCGGTATCACCTATATCGAGTGGTGAGAATAATTCATTCTTGAAGAACTTGGCATTTCCACGCTGCATAGGGCTTGGTGTGAACGATAGCAGAAATGGTTGTTCCGACTCCTGCACTCCCACCAGGGCAATATCAAAGCTGCATTGGAATACAAATTTGTAGAGCGAAGGCTTCCTTATTGTCAAGCCAAGAACTCTATCATTACGAAAAACTGCATATACTCGGTGGTACCATCACCCGAGGCTCACTTACCTTGAGACTCTTGTGCTTCTCAGTCTCCATTCTTCACATTTCAACTGCTTGATATCTGACCACTGAGTGACTACATCCCGCGATTCACATGTCAACCTGGAGCATGCGAGATCTTACAGCTCCGGCCTTCTTCCATCCAACATTGCTCTGACGATCTAGTGCCAGAATGCAGCCAGGGCGTCTGACCTGGAAACAGATTGAAGAATTAAAGAAACTCGTTAATTTTGAATAGTAATCTTTAAATATTGGATACTCGCCTTCGGCTTCATTTTCAAGATGGACCCGAATGTAGTCAGACCCGGTACAGAAGGGGAGGGCAAGGTTGTGGCCCTTCAAGGCTCCTTTGTCATTTTAGCTCAAACAAAGCTGCATGTAGCAATCCTAATCATTGTTATGTTGAGTTAGAACCCAGACGAAGAGGCCATCTTTGCTTTAAACACCTCCACGAGTGCTTCATGATCTTTTCAGCCTAATGCTGTGACAGGTCAAGTTCTCGGGGTTTACTCCCCACTTCGACGCCAGTATTCAAGAGTTAGTATAGCAAGTAGAAACGGAAGGCAAGCAATGCAATCCTGTCACATGTCACATTTGATGTCTTGACGTCTTCAGGAAACGAGAGGGGGGTTCTCTAGGTTCCCGACAAGCTTGCCAGGTATGTAAATTCAACGTTGCGCAGCAGGCAACTAATCTTCTCTTGGTTATTCCAAGCCACCAGGACAGAATGCTTAACGTATTCCCAGCTTTGTCCCATATCTGCAGCAAAATTGCATGTTAGACGCGAGGAAAGTTTAGATTATTTTGACAGTCCGACTTCCAATCTTCAAGCAACCGCGATACTTCCTTGAACGAAACAGGTTTCGTAAGGAAGACGTCCACTCCAGATTCCAGCGCTCGGGACTCATCGCGTAAGCTACTGAGTCCAGTCAATGCGATAATCTTGGCTGGAACGCAGCCTTCTCGTTCTTTTTCAATTGCACGAATAGCACGAGTCGCTTCAAAGCCATCCATTACGGGCATAGACATGTCCAAAAATATGAGGTCGTACCCCAGTAGCGTCATTTCAACCAAGTCGACTGCTTCTCTGCCATTCTGTGCTGTATCTACAGCAGTTACGTTCGATTTCCTTATGAAAGCCCTTATAAGTCGAAGGTTGATGTTATTGTCATCGACCAGCAAAACCCGAGGTTTGCTTTTGATTCCAGATAAGGAGTCCTCAGGAGTTGTGCCATTGGATGAGGAAGAGGAAGCGGGGGAAGGTACGTGAGGGCTAGAAGAGGCGCTTCCAGAAGAAAAAGATGAAAGGGGAGAAGAGTCTTCGGTACCTGGAGACTGGCCAGAAACCTTACGTCTCGCAGGACCCATAACATAGCCGTCGGAGCCGGGTCTTAGACTGTCAGGCGACGGTAATTTGGAAGTCCCAGTTGGTGGATTCGGACTTGAGAGCTTGCCTTGTCTCGGGATGACGGATGCTTTTTCGGTTGAATCTGGGCATGGCTTAGGAGATGGTGCCTTCGGATCGAGGCAGTCCAGGATTGCCCTGGCAAGCTTCTGTGGTCCACAAGGTCGACGAAGAATCACTAGAGTGTTAGCAAGGTGCGACCATTGTTTCATAGTATCACTCGAGCTACCGGCGTCGCTGCAGAAAACAAGTATGCTAGGCAATGTGGTATGCAAACACTGGAATTCTTCTGCAGGCAAGTCGCTTTCGTTCGCAAGTAGAACATCGATATGTTCGTCGGCGGACCAAGGCACCAGCTTAAGGCCATACCAGTTCGTAATATACTGAGCAATTGAAGACCAGAAGGGATACTTGCCAAGATGAGAAGGGTCTACCCTCCATATCGCGGCACGTTTCCTGGTAAGGTCCAGTTGAAGCAATCGAGAGGATGCTGAAAGTGTCTCTTCTCTCGAATTCTTGACGTAAGGCGTTGATGAAAGGCTTTCCTCTCCCACTGGACGCTCGAGTGGAAATGACACTTTTACAGTAGTGCCTTCGCCTACTCGGCTTTGGATTCTGATGTTTCCTTTGAGTGTTCTCACAATGCCGCGAACAATTGAAAGACCGAGGCCAGTACCTACCGAAAGTGTATCTTCTTGTGCGAAAGGGATGTAAAGCCGTTTCTGAAGGAACTCATTCGAGATACCCTTACCAGTATCTGAAATAATCAATGTCACAATATCCTCAAGACCCTCACGTCGAGCCCGGCCTTTTGAATTCTCGGTTGCCTGGATTGAGATAGAGACCAGGCCCTTTTCGGTATACTTCAGGGAATTCCCAAGGAGGTTCATAATTAGACGTCTCAGTGAGCCAGGCTGAGCTTTGTAAAACCAGTCATTGTCACCAATATTGACAATAACCTCCACACCTTTATCAGTGCCAACTTGGGTGTCCCCGGTAGAAAGCGGGCTGGATGAAGCTGGTGACTCGCCAATGGGATGATTGGTTGGCGTGGTAGTTTTCCGTATATGGCAATGCCCCAAGCACACGCTATCCACGACTTCTTCTGCCAAAACGGCGATGTTTGTCGACACGAGTGGATCCATCCGCGCTGAAATTTCTTCTGGGGGTTTCGGCCTATACGGATCTTTCCTCCGTTTAGACCTCCTCTTCTGTCTTTCTAGCGACAATATTTTGCTGAAATCCAAGACTTGGTTCATCGTATCCAAGAGAGTCTGGCCGCATGCATTGACCGTTTCGAGAAGAGACTCTTGAAAGTCGTCCAAATGTGTCCCGCCCAAAAACTCGGCGGCCGCTAAGATGCCATGTAATGGGCTTCGCAGTTCGTGAGATATGCTGCCTATGAAATCGCCCTTTTGGCGGTCCGAGGCAACCGACTCGACACGGCTGTATTCGGTCATAATGGAAGAAGCGAAGCCAAACATCGAACTGAGATCGACAGCCCGACTGAAGACTCGTGTGGACTGCGGAGTCCAAGAGAAACACCCTGCAAGCCACTGCAGATTGGTGGCGTTCCATAATGGAACAAACATGACTTGACTCGCGTCCGGGAAGTAGGCTTGCAGTTGACTGGCTTCTACAGCCCTAGACGTTTGATTGGGTTTCCGGGAGGTACCGACAGATTGCTCTTCATCTGAAGTAGACAAACTCCCGTCACGATGAAACGACCAGAGTCTACCTTTAGGATAGCGGCGAGACAATTGGCGTAAGAATGCATTGTCGAGTTTGGCAGCTGGATGTGATATCTCAGAGCCCGTCTGGTATGAGAACGGATCCTCGCTGGTGGACAGCGCAAGAACAGGGCCGACTGTCTTACTATCAACGGAAGAATAACGGCTCTGGGTGCCGTGGTCGGACGAGTCATCGCCAGTCTCTAAAAACAATACACCTCCAGCACCGTCCAAATCCAGGCTTTGACGTAGGAGGTTGGCAGCTCGTTGAAAGAGCCAGTCGGTATTACTCGAGACCATTGAGCCGTTATCACCCTGTCGTGAGCTTTGCGACGATGGCGCAGGGCTAGCTGACTTGCCAACATCATCATCGGTCAAGTATGGGCTAGGAGCTCGTGTACCGCCATCTCGAAGAGATATATCATCGTTCTCGGATTGTGCCGCGCGAATATTGGACCCGATATCTTGAGAGTTTGCAGATCGGCTCGTCTTGGGATTATGCATTGCATACGTAGTCGGGCTGCAGTTTGAACTGACCGAGCGAAAAGAAGAAACAGCATCCGCGAAGCTGGAATTGCCGTCGACGAAAAGACGAAGGCCCTGGGATAGCCGCGAGGCACGGTGTCCTTCAACAGCCTGGCGGCTAACCTGTAAACATTCCATGACCGTCCCTGCTATTGTCCCTAGTATATCCTTCTCGATATCATTCAGCCCCTCGCGGGGTTCGCTATCCAATACAAACAAGCATCCCAGATTGATGTTGCTATCGCTCGTTAAGGGCGTTCCGGCATAAAATCGGGAGTGTGGCTCGCCTTGTACGAAGGGCAAATTTCGGAAGCGCTCGTGACATACAAGGTCATTAACGATAAGAAAAGGATACGTGCCTTCTTGCTGTTCGTCCAATTGTATGTTTACTGTTTCCTATTGAAATAGATCAGCATTAGGAAATGACCCGTACATGACGACTATCATAGCCTAGGCTTACCTGACAAACGTTCCAAGGGTTTGATAATATGGATGTTCCAGCGAATAGGCTGTCTCCTTGTTCACTGAATAGTGTTGAGCTTCCCAGGTTGGTCGTTTTCGTAGCTTCCGCTAATACGAACTGGGAGTCGCGGTTCAAGATTCTAAGAGAAACAAGTCAGACCAAGTTTTTTTCTGCCAGATAAAGAATAAACCTACGTGATAAAAGCACGCTGTGCATTCAAGCGCAGAGCTGCTAGCTGTGCAAGTGATGTCAAAGTTGTATTCGGGCTGTACAGACGACTGGCCTCGGTCGAGCCCATGGTCGACGCCAGCTCAGAGACATCATCATCCAAAGCAGAGTTGACAGAGCTTGCAACTGTAAAGGAGCCAATTGCAGATGTCAAATGGTCACCAGGAGTCCATGTTGTATTTAGCGCTGCTGGATTTGCGGGTTGGAAATACCGATAGACCTCGCGAGTTTGACGGTCTGCTTCATACTCATAGAGAGTCTGATCTGTTGAATCATTCATGGTCATTAGAAGTGCACGTGGCCCCTTGAGGCTGAACGTGTATTGTGCGGGCTTTTCTTTTCTTTCAACTTTTCTTTGGGTAGGAAAAGAGTTTGAAGGGTGGATTATTTACGCGGGAGGGGGGAAAAGGCGCTTCAAGATGGCGGGCCCCTGGAGTTTACCGATGACGTAGGCCGCTCACCCATAATGCGGTTAGACTGTCAATGAATTGCTGTTGCTTTACAGGCATGCGACTTCCAACGGACTGGACTACTTTTTATTCTATTTGACCTATTCTCTAAGGAATCGATCGACTAGATCACATACAGTGCCCCTTGATTGCTGACTTCCTTTGATTGGGACCTGAGTTGTCCCCGGGCCGTGCTGGCCACTTACCGTGGGACTTTTCTGCGTCACATCCAGAAGCCATCGCTGGACATTCTGCTGCGACTCTGCTTGTCCGCGATGATCGAGTACCTCTGCATGCCTGCAAAATCATTAGCTCCGTAACTTCATTCGATACATTCCGTTGTCCGTACAATCTAGTCTTCCAAACTTCAACGGTATCGTTGCCTCTGCCTAATGTCCAATTGAATTTCCGTTCAGCCTCCGGTTCGTCGGCCGGGTCATGGTAAGGCGCTAGGTAGGCGAAGGCTAAAGCTTCGGATGCTGATACTCGCCCTTGAGGGTCGAATACAAGCAGCTTCTCTAATAGATAAATGGCTGTTGCTGTTAGTGAGATGACCTGTGAAAGTGAATCAAGTGTCCTGGCTGGAGGATAAACTACACCTTCTGGATCGACGTCCGTAATTATGTCGGACAGCGGGTGGCCTTGACTTTTTGGGAGTAGTCTAACGGTGTCAGAAGTCTGTCAGACAAATGTCAGAGCTAATCACTGAACAGTGGGCCATGTATGTATACACACGTCTCTGCCGGTCATCCTGTTAATCGCGATCTCTGACGGTGTCCCTAACAACTTTGTAATGTTATGGAGTTGGTGGATAGAATTCTGACCCCCGAAAAGGATCTTTCCACGCAATAACTCGGCCAAGATACAGCCCGCACTCCAAATGTCCATAAATTCATCACAGCTCTGCCACTTCAGGATGGCTTCTGGAGCCCTGTAGTAGAGAGCGGAGACGTAGCCGCCCGTCGAAGGCTCCGCGGATCTTGAATGTGCAATGTTGTTTATCTTGAGGTCGCAGTTTCTATTTACCAAGATGTTGCTTGGTTTTAGGTCGCAGTGGACTATTCCTGCCGAATGAATATATTTCAGTCCACGCTACGCGGCCAATTAGTGTGAGTTCCAACGGAAGGTTGATAGACGGCCGAACCATTATCTGATACAGAAAGTACTGAGAAAACTCTCCATGGACTGGCCTCGTTCTCAGAAGTGTCTGAAGATCCGTTTCCATCAATTCGGTGACAATATATCTATATACATTAGATGTGATTGTTCGAGGAGCACGTTCGGGAAACCGCATACACCTCTCCTGATGGGGAGACCGATATATCGACCAAGTTCGCAACCTACTCCGTTAGCATGATTTATACAGATCGTTTTGATCCCTGCTTGACACACATTTGAATGCTTCAAAGACCTTAACAGTTTAATCTCTCTGAAAATATACCTGGCCAGGTTTGCGGTCACGAAAGGCTCGGTAAATCTTCTTATGGCGACAAGTTGCTGATATGCGTCGTTCCTTGAAGAGCATGCATTTCTCACCCTGACGGTATGATTTAGAATCATACCAAGACAGCAAGAGAGCAAGACTCACCAGACGAAGCTCAATACCCTATTTCGAGAAGACTCTCGTGAAATATAACTAGGCATGGTTTTAGCCTTTTCCTTCTCAACTGTAGGGATCGCCGTACCTCATTGCTGTACCTGATTTCCGCAGCGATCAACTCACGGGCAATGAGCGTCGATCGGAGAAGATAACAGGCGCCTGATGGCTGTTTTTAATTTTGGGCAAAGGTCTTGTTCCTCGTGTCCAACCCACAGGAAGAGCCCACCAAGAAACATACTCTATTTGGGGGAAATTTTTCCAGCCAGATAAAAAGGCCCAGCAAGTGGGGCCTCCGCCGCATCTCTTGACAGGCAAACGGAGCTGACAAGAGCGTTCCCTGTTTCCTCGCGAACCAGATTCTCGGATTCAGGATTTGGGCCGCGGATCCAGCTATCATGGGGCAGCTTGGCATCCTCGGCCACTCGTTCCCACCATTCAGCAGAACTTGAGGCCGAACAGCGGACCCACTTGCAAGTAGGAAAGTGGCCCTGACTTGCGGACTAGAGAATCCCCGACCACCGGGTTTGCAAGCGCACATCGCAGACCAGCAAACTCAAATTACATGTTGGAATTCAGCTTAACCATTCAGCGCACCTGGAAATATGATCATGATCCAAGCTTGCCGTCGCATCATCATCCTCCTCATCGTACCTGGGCAGTGACTGCTTACCCTGGAATTCCCGTCCATTTTACCCGAGCATGTCTCTCAGTGACCGGCTGCAGAACCTCCGGTTGAAGAACATCGACGCTTCGGACGAAGAAAATGTAGCCACGGCGCTCCCACAAAACACGGGAGCGCAACTAGCAGATGCTGCCTGGCTGTCAAACGATGACGATGGGTTAGACACGGCAAGCAAATCGGGTCCTAAGCAAACCTCCCCCGCGTGCGATCTAGCTTTAAGCCGGATCTATCGCTACACCCCCATTCCTACCCTCATCCTCGACCAGGATCTATGCGTCGTGGAAGTGTCCGACAGCCATTGTACATTGTCGGGTCAATGTCGGGATGTCGTCCTCGGTACTTGCGCGTGTGACCTTCCGGCTCATACTATACCTGCTCCAGACACCCTTTCTCTATATGGCGCTATCAGTGCAGCGACCTCTTCGAAGGAGATCCAAATTATGGAGGGAATACGCGTCCAAGGCACGAACTCGACTTATCAGCTCCGTGTAACACCAATATTTGAAAACTCCGAATTGATCTATGTTATATTGGAAGCTCAGAATATCTCAAGGGATCACTGGGAAGCTTTCGACGAACATCACGCATATGTGAACGAAACGTACAAGATTCTGGTCAATACGGTTCAAGATTATGCCATTTTTATGCTCGATACTCAGGGCAATATCGCCACCTGGAATCGCGGCGCTGAGGTACTGAAGGGTTACTCTCCCTCGGAAATCATTGGGAAACATTTCTCAATCTTCTACAGTCCAGATGATCGTGCTGCAGATAAGCCAGCCAAAGGTCTGGCTTTGGCTTTACAAAAGGGACGGATAGAAGCCGAGGGCTGGCGGTATCGAAAAGACGGTGCTCGTTTTTGGGCCAACGTGATGATTACCCCAATCTATCAGTTTGGCCGCCATGTTGGATTTGTCAAAGTGACGCGTGATTTGACAGAACGAAAGGCGGCCGAGACCCGCATGATTGCCGCCTATGAGGAGTCGTCTAAGATGAAGACAGATTTCCTAGCGAATATGAGTCATGAAATACGGACCCCTATGAACGGCATGCAACTCGCTCTGGCAATGCTAAAGGACACCGATCTGAGCGATCAGCAGCTGGAGTTTGCTTCGATTATCGATGACTCAACAACGACTTTGCTTCAGATTATTAATGATGTACTCGATTACTCGAAGCTCTCCTCTGGGTCATTCTCACTGAACTCGGACGTCCTGGATATCAAGAATGTTATTACTGCTGTGATGCGTAACTGCAGGTCTCTCTTGAAGCCAGAAGTCGAGTTAAACTTATCAATCCCAGCGGATTTTCCTCAAGCCGTGCGTGGTGATCCTCTGCGATACCGTCAGGTCGTCCAGAATATGCTGGGAAACGCAGTGAAGTTTACAGAATCCGGATACGTCCGAATATCTGTAGCATTCGAGCCCGATGAACTCGACCCTCAAGGATACATAGTCAGGACTGAATTCGAAGACTCGGGCCTTGGAGTTCCCTGTCATGCTCTCAACACCCTTTTTACGCCATTCACGCGCTTTGCTGACTCCACATCTAAAATGTACCAAGGGACAGGCCTTGGTCTGTCTATTTGCAAAAGTCTGGCGGAGCTAATGGACGGCATGGTGGGCTATCGGCCCGGCCCTAGTGGCAAGGGCAGCGTGTTCTGGTTTACCGCCCGGATGGGCCGCATCGACTTGGCGAGAATGAGCAAGAAGCCTGCCGCATCTCCAACCCACGCGGTGACAGAAATTAAGCGCAAGATCCGGGAGATTGCATTACACAAGCACATCTTACTAGTTGAGGACAACCTGGTCAACAACACGATCATGCTCAAACTTCTCCACACCCTAGGGTTTGAGCGCGTCGATGTAGCCTGGGATGGTGCAGAAGCTGTCCGGCTAGTGAAGCAAAAACCCTTGACATATAACATAATACTTATGGACATCAGCATGCCAGTCATGGATGGTTTGGAAGCCACATCACGGATTCGAGAAGTGGACATTGACGTGCCTATTGTCGCACTCACGGCGAATGCGCTAAAGGGCGACAGCGAGACATATCTTGCTCGGGGAATGAATGACTATATCGCAAAACCTGTCCACCGTGACCAGTTGGTATGCATGCTGTGGAAGTGGATGGGAACATGATTGAGGTTTTGCCGGATCAGAAATGATTGCACTCGCATTCACACACCCTGCAACGTAAATGCATAGCTGCGCAACTTGCCTTGCGGGTGAAATCCTCCGAACATATGGGCAAGCCTTCTCTGCCCAGCTTCGCCCACGTTACGCACGATTGCGCTGTTCCCGCTAAATAGATCATCATCAATAATCAGTCTAGTGGCCAGACGAGCGTGAACCAATCTGAAGTTGGCAAAACAACACAGCATTGAAGTCTTCGGTGTACAAGCTTCCTCGATCAGCCGCATTCACTGTGGAGTGGTCTGTCCGAAACCAATGGGATGTTGATATCAGAAGCTATTTCGACGCGGGACAGGCCGGTGTATAGTTGACCGTGGATTGCGATAGGCATAGTCAGGCCGAGCACCACACGGTTGGAAATGAACCCTTGGCAGTCATTGAAAGTCCTCTTTTTTTGAACATGGGCTGTGAATCTGGTGTTTGCACTCGAGTTTGTGATTTGGGTAGCCCTGTATGGTAGTCAGCCATACATCCCAATTTTCTACACTCACTTGATCTATGGATCACATCTAATCTCAATTCGACAATAGCTTACGATATCTGACCATAGCTCCCCGGAGCACTATTGGCTAAGATAAAGGAAGGCAATGCCTCCTTATCCATAAGATCTGTTCGATATCAAAGTCTACCTTCGCCTCGCCTATAGTGATCTATGTAATTCGGACCAATTGCCCTGACCTTCTCCGGCTAGAGAAGTGTTCAAATTGCCGTCATATAAAAAAGTCATAATGCAACAAGTCTATTCTATCTCCCCCTCTTCTAGCGTCCGAACAGGACCGGAGCACAGGACATACCAATACACTAAGTTACACAAAAACAAAAGATGGCCAACGACGTAGGAGCGCAGAACGGGGGAATGGATATGCGGAGAAGATCAATCACGGAGAGGAGAAAATGGCAGCGCGGGGTTCTCTAATCACGGTAGAGAAGGCGAACAAGGGGCTTTTGATATAATACACACCCAGATTCGAGAACCCCGGCGCACATTATAGAGAAGGGATGAGAGGCGTCAAATGATATGCATAAGTCTGGCGTGAAAATCATTTGGCTTCCTTGTCCTGCTGCTCGGCCTCAAGGTGGGCCTTGGGGACCAGCTTGTCAGTCTCGGCGAGCTCAGCCTGGGTGTTGGCGGACGAAGAGACGTCGCCCTCGGCAGCGGGGACGGGTGCAGGGGCATCACTCTCGGGCTCGTCATCCTCCAACTCGGCGCCGTACACGTCAGGGTGTTGCCGGAAGCAATCTTGCATACCCCTGTAGAATTTGTTAGCATGGACGTCATCGGGGCGAACGTGAACCTTGATATAACATACTTGAACTTCTCAATGCACTCAATACCCTTGGGCTCCTCGTTCGAGTACACGAAGCAGGAGAATGCCGCCCTGAACTCCTCTCCGCAAGGGCCGTGGGCCATGCCACCCAGGCACGGGCAGTCCCAGTTGATCTCGCCAGTCTCCGGGTTGAACGCGGCGGACTCTGGGGGCTCTTCCGATTCAATTCCAACCTGGGGGTTTATCTCCACAGCAGCGGCATCTGAGGCAGCAGCCTCTGAGGAAGGAACTTCGGGGGCAGGCGCATCGGCCTTCGGCTGAGACCGGGCGGCGGCCTTCTTCTCTTCACGGATCTTGGGGGTGATAGAGTTGAGAGTGGCGGCGGAAGGATCGGCGGCATTCTCCTTGTTGGATTGGCCGAAAAGGGAGACTATACATAGACGATGAAATTAGCAACGTTCCAACATCTCAAATAGCCATTGATCCAGTTATGCGACAGGACCCGGGTTTTGCATCTCGGGTGTGGAAGGAAGACGAGAATCGATCGACGGCATGACATACAAGAAGGCTCTTGAGCAAAAGCACTGCTCGTGTTGTAGTAGTAGATAGCACCACCTGCCAATCCGAGGCGGACAAAGGTGTTCTTCCAGCTTCTCGATTTCGAGGTCGGACCAGCAGTGCTTATCAATCGAGTGCTTGCCGGGCTACGGGCCGCGACAGCAGGTGCGCGAGCAAGCGCTCGGGCAACGGGGCGGAACATGATGCAGAGAATGAGAGTAAAGGGTCAAAATTGAGACCAAGACCGAAACCGAGATCGAGACCGCGAAAGACCTCGGGGCGCGAGAGGAAAGAGCTGGAGGGGAGAAGCCGAAGCCGCGGACGGAGAAGTTGGTGGAAAGAGAAGTGGATTTCGGCCTGAGGTTTGGAATTCGGCCAGTCACGTTGCGCGGTTCCGAGTTACACGCGACTCAACGCTTTCGACTGCTGCGCTTAAGCTCTGCCTTATTCAGTCTCGTGCTCAAGCCTCGACGATAACAGCTACTTGAGCTCATTCGATTTTACACTATGGAGTGGAATCCAAGTTGCTTCTTCCGGCCTGAAGGGAGTCCTTCGCCCTATGCCCTCCTGGTGCTGAACCAGCCAATCAACGAAAAGGCGTTTGGAGTATTAAGTGAACACGGTGAGAGCCCACTATAAGAGGACTGGAGATTCGATTATCAACCCCAAATATCAAACATGCATATTCCCGTTGATGAGGCTTTAGCAGGGATGAGTGTTGACTCTTTTCCATCTCTACAGCGTCTTACATCATTTGCGCCGATGGCGGGGCTAACCGTCTGTACGACATGATGAAAATTCAAGGGAGAGAAGCTACTGAAGTAAGAAACTATTACCTGAACAAGCTTGTCCAACTACATAGTATGAACGGGTTCAATTAAAGCCTGAAACCCAGTATTTCAAACATTGGGCCCAGGGCCACCCCCTTTCCATCTGGCATCGACGATCCCTCTGTTGCGATATATCTTCTAATCTACGGAGCAGCTCCCCGATAGAATTGTGGGCGACCTGGATTCCATTCTTCCCACGATACGAAAACACTATGAGGACCTAGGAGTACCCGTCATCAAAGATCCAGATCAATACTCTACAGATTTCACTAAGTGCCTGAAATACCTCAACAGCCACGCAGCAGAGATCATCACATCTCCTCGCCGCCAAAAAGGGAAACCATTTAGCACAACACCGCCATCAACGCTCGAGATCGTCATTCTCGGTGGCCTCGGTGGTCGCGTCGACCAGGCGTTCTCACAAATCCATCATCTATACATGATGACGCAGACACAACGGCAATTACGCGAATCTCAAGAACCCGACAGCCAAAACGGGTCTGAGAAACTCGGACACGGTGCCGGTGGAAATCTTTATCTAATCTCAGAGGAGAGTATCACTTTCGTTCTGCAAGAGGGCAACAATATCATCTATACACCTGCTACGAACCGACCAGATACCGATACTTCAGACGACCAGGACTCCCCGGCCAAGGAGAATCACTCGCCCTTGAAAAGGAAACGAGACCAGGAAGCGGGCGCAGAGGTAGAGTATTTCTTTGAAGAGAATATCGGGATCATCCCGCTCTCAGCGCCGGCGTCAATTACCACGCAGGGATTCGAGTGGGATGTGGAGGATTGGCATACCGAGATCGGAGGCCAACTATCTACGAGCAATCACATTCGCGCCGACAAAGTAGAAGTCTCGAGTTCCGTTCCTGTCTTGTTTACGGTGGAGCTGGCACAAAGGTTGAAGAGAGCTTGACGGGTTACGCGGACTCGAAGATCTACAAGAAGACAGAAAGATGTCAAACGTTTACTGCACTGTCGATCGAATGAATATCCCCATATAGATTCAAACCAAGAACCAACCCATAGTAAAGAAGAAAGGTCCAATGATGAAAGAGAAAAAGGGGAAAGTTACAGGGGGCAAAGGATGAACCACCAAACCAAATCGGAACCAGACTAAGAATCCAAAACCCGGGCGCCTCCTTTGGCTGAAAAGAGAGACCAAGAAAATAAATAATTCAAAACAGGAATAAACAAGCAAAAAACAAGCCAATGTCGCATATCGGCATCATCGCATACCCCAGAAAAACAACTAAAGACTCGATCCGTGAACCGCAAACACGTAACACAACGAAACAGACCACGGGATCCCATAACCGAACATGAGGGGAACAACAAGCCACGACACGCCTTCAACATTCCGAGGATATCAACCAAGAGGGGGACAAAAAGAGGTGCAAGCTAGCGCCAGTGGAGTAAATCAAGGGGCAAAGGCAAAGGAGGAGGAAAATAACAACCGCACAATAAAGAAGAGATTCACATCATCCAGTACGACAACGTTCGAACCGTCCCTTAACCTTGTCTGCAATTATCCAAAGCAGACAACCTATACAGCATAAGGCAAAGCCTGACTATGCCTACGAGCGGCGCAGAATAGCCTCGTAGAGAGCGCCAATGACACCGATGGCGGTACCGGTCCACATGCCGTAGTAGTTGCCGGGAATGGCAGTATTGACCTTCTCAAGGGCAAGGTTGCTGTATGTGCCCCAGAAGGTGAACCCCTGGGCATACACCTTCCATACTAGGAGCGCCTTGGCGATGTTAAAGGTCAGTGGGTCAAAAGTGCTCGACGAAGCCGCCGAGCGACCACGGCGCGCACCACCACCAGTGGCAGCATGCCAACTCAGGTTGAAGAAGTAGGCAGCGATCAGGGGGAGAATCAGATTGGTGAGAAGCCAGAGGGTGAAGGGGCCCCAGAAGCCCGGGGTGACCAGACGGAACAGATCGGGGACCTTGACGGGGATGGTGGGAGTGTGGAGGGTAGGGTTGGCCTTGATCGTGGTTAAGAAGCGATTGGGCAGCTGGTCGGACACGACGGTATAAGCCTCCACAAGCACGACGAGAGCCTCGATCGCAAAGAGGCTGCTCAGGTTGGCGCGCAGGGAGTGCGTGCGCTCCGTGACACCCGATGAGGTCCAGGCTTGCTCGATACCCTCGCGCACGCGCGTGGTCTGCCGATCAATCACGTCCGTCACCACGGCTGGAGAAGGAGGCACGTCGAAGGCCGCACGAACGCGGCTCGCAGACCGGCGCACCACCTCGGTGGGCGACACTGGCGACTTAGGCGACTTTGCTGTGCGGCGAGTTGAAGAGGGCTCATCGGACGAACTGTCGCAAAGAGTTAATATGATGATCGCATGGTGAGAAATCCATCGCATGCGACGCGCCGGGGTGGCTTTTGCGCGGTGGTGATACTTACTTTGCTTCCTCTTGCTTTTGCGCATTGGGCTTGCGGCCCGGCGTCTTCTTCACGGTGGGGGTGATGTCAACCTTGGGCTCGCGCTTGACGGGCGATCCTCCACGAGGAGGCGCAGACAGGCGCTTATAATAATCGGCAAGAGTCTTCTCGCCAGAGAAAATCGCGCGATTGCTGCTCAAGTGCTTGTCAAGCGCGACGGCGAGTTCATTCTTGTTATAGTCGGAGAAGCTGCGGTGCGGCGGCAAACCAGTGTCAGCGCGGAACCCGATACAGCAATGCGCGAGCATGCGTGGGATTTGGGTGCGCGATCATGTATACATACTCTTGAAGATCGGTCTTCTCTGCAAACTCGACCAGCTCCGGCTTGCGCAGCTTGTTCAGATAGGGAAGGCCGCTTGACATGGTGGGCTTGGATGGATAAGAATCCGGGTCAATGCGGGCGCACGTTGTGATTAGATGTAGGAAGGAAGGAACTTTATCCAAGCAATTTGATCATCAAATGACGGACGGATAAAAGCAATTTGGTTTTTGGTGGTAGAGTAACAAAGTAACTGTAAGTTTGTAATGGATGTTTCGGAGTTGGGAGGGGAAAAGCGAGTTGATGCAAGGGGAGGAGGGGAATTGAAAAGGACTTGGGAATTGTTTACACGCGGATCGCCAAAACAAAACACGCTAGCGCGTCTGCCCTTTGTTCCTTCGAAATTCCACGGTTGATGACGCTTTCCATAGTTGCCAATTCCTTCATTGTCGAGTCAATAATTTACACCTATTTAATTTTCATTCTGGGATAATAGGAGTAGAATGAAAAAAAATATTATCACAAATGATGTAGCTATGGTACAATGAGGCCTCTTAGGCCGGTCTAGGTAGGATCGTCTATCACGATGGGAGATGGGAAACAGCAATATACACAAACAAAGACCCTCCAACAGGCCCGAGGAATACACAAGATGAAGAAATCAAGAGGAAGAGTCCGCAAAAATAAACGCCACCCCAATGAAGTAGGCCCCGTCCCAAAATGCATGCAGGTTAAGTTGAACGTCACAACGGTTGGCTCTCATCCAAAGAGCCGTGGTAGATTTCGAACTGCTTGAGGAGATACTGGTACATCACCAGCATGGTTCCGCTTTGAATGCTGGTCCACACACCGCGTGGGCCCACGCCGCGGAACCACCCCGCAAGCCCCTCGGTACGGTAGATCATCTTCAGTCCCGTAAATACGGATGACGTGTCTAGCCGTGGAGCTCCAGGGGGAGAGACCGACGTTGAAGGTGATGAGGTGGATATCGGTCGCGAGTGCGCCCTCGACGACGCATGAGACTGGGACGAACTCGGCGCGTGGGGCCGCGGGCTTTCCTTCGGGACGTGATCGGTCGCTGATTTCGCGCTACATGGCCCGCCGGGCTTTGATGGTGGGTTCTGCTGAGTTTGAATGCGCGTTTTAACCACATCCAATGGGCAGGTAATCACACCAGCCATTCCACCCGCAGTGGCGGCCGTAAGAACCTCCAAGCTCAACCCAATGTCTCGGTGTCCGACCCATTGCTTTGCCAGGTTTTGCTCTTGCTCGTAGAATGCGAATTGCAGGGCAGAGAACGGGAGATCACGGTAAATCGTGGCTTTGTAGCCGTGATACAACGCTGAAATGCCCTCGAGGCGGATGATGGTTCGGAAGGCATCAGTCATGCCGCGGTAGTTGTAGCCTGAGTTGAAATGTGGGTTGTTATATCGGCCTTGAAGTTGTAGTCGAGTCTTCAAAACCTCCGAGGGGACGTAAACGATGGATGCCGCTAAATCCGCAAAGAAACCACTCGATAAATATGCGATGTTCTTGTTGATGCCCGCATCGATCATCGCCCGCTTCGTATACTCGTAACAACCGAAGAACACCACCGTGCCGGGGAAAGAGCCCAGCGCGGCTGGTGTGACTCCGCCATATAACCCACGGAAGAAGCCTTCTTGTCGGTAGATGGTTGCATATGAAGAGGTCATTGAGGTGTATCGAGGCGGGACATTCGGGTCGCCTTGTAGCCGGGTTTTGACGGTGTCCAGCGAGTGCATCAACATGTCACCACATGTTCCTCCAATTCCACCCGCTAGCATTGCCTGTAAATTATGCTTCGTCAGTATCCGCAAACTGGATAATTGTAGCCTATGCGCCACCTAGGATAGGATCATACATGAGGATATGGCGGACGGGGCTCCTCCTCCTCCTCATCAAAGAGATGATCACCCCGAGCATGCCGGGCAGCGCCAGGAAGGCTTATCTCATGATGGGCTAAAGGCGCCGGGGTTTGCGCTGTCGTAGTCGAGTCCGCCGGAGCCGCCGTTGTCGAGAACAGGCCGAACACTCGCGAGGTCAGGCTCATGGCAATATGAGCCGACACTGGACTCCCGAATACGGTCGGGGCCGGGGTAGGGGGGGATGGCTGATGCGTGAAAAAGAGAGAAGCGATCCCCCGGTTGGTTCAAGTATAAAGAGCGACAAGAGAAAGGGAGATGAGTAATGGAGATAATCCCCGTTGGTGATCCTCGGGCCCGAATCAAAATTCTGGTCGGCGGTGTTTTTCTTTTCTCCGCCCTCGCCGCCTCAGGCAGAATATGCGTCATGCTTGCGTTCTGCTTGGGTTGACCGCCTGCTTATAAAGGAGATTGGAGGCGTGACTGTATGCCTCAGGCACATAGTCACCCGGTTTTTACCGAGCTACAGAACTACATACCTCCCTCGTTGCGCAAATTAGCCTGTTCAACTTATGGTTACATAAAAGGATTTTTCTTGAGGATGTCCACATCGCAGCCCAGCTTGATATAAAATTCAGCATGCACGTGGTGAAGTTCCCTCAATAGGGATCATTGCCATTATATCCTACAGTCACTATACATTATTCTGAAAATCCATCAGTATACAGATGTCCGTATAAAGAGTAAAGCGCCCCTCAATCAGACCCCAGACTCAGCATGGCTTCAAGGCATCTCGGGCCTCTCAAACCAGGTTGTACTCTCAGAGCTCGTTGGCGTTATCTCGTCCTAAGTCTTATCCTCGGTCATAAGCCTAAAGCTCCGGAGAATTGAGTTCTCTTCGGACGGAATTCTTTTTGATCCTCTATCGTCGGTGAAGTTTTCAAATCGTGAACGGGCCATTGGAAGCCCTTAGATCTACCCGCCAATTTTGCAAGCCCGAGTCATAGCCGTTCCATATCCGCTCGAGGAATGCCCGGCCCTAAATCGAGGGGCCTGGTGCTTATAAAGGCCATGTATTCACCAAATCTACGGATTTCAAATTTGTAGTATTGCTGGCAAGCCCTGCAAGCATTGATAAACTTGCTAGCCAGTGACCCAGGAATTTGTCGATATGCCATGAAAAGGAAGCAAACGACAGTAGTACTGGAGATCTCCATAGTGTTTATCAAGTATCATTACATTCGACATGAGTTTTGTGAAAGAGAACATCCATCTAGGATTGAGGCTCCCATTCTCGCTACTTGATGTTGCTCGTTCCTCTATTTGACACAAGTGAAAGACGAAGCCTCATTGGGGTTTCCACCAATAAAGGTGAAGACCTCCGGATACGGACACAAATATGCCGTGCGTGTAGCCGAGGTATTCGAAGGTGCCACTGCAACAGCGACGCCTTCAAGGCGATCCGGCACAGTACCATTTTCCACCCACGCCTGGAGAGTCCCGAAGACAGTCTCAGCAGGGTCAAAGCCACTACCAAACCCGCAATGGGTCACTCCTGGAGCCAAGAAGAACCGGTAATAGTCTGCAGCACGGGGATCCAGCTCGAGGACGCGATTATAGTAGTCCACTGTGCCATTCGTTGGAACAAGCTGGTCCTGCATACCATGCCATGCGATCATCTTTGTTCCTGCCCGCTTCATCTTGCTGAGGTCTGGGTTCTCGGTTCCAATCACAGATGAGAATTGGTGGATCGATTGGCGGAAGAGACGGTCGTAGTCTTGGTGAGTGAGGCTGCTTGTGTTGAAGGAAGCGTGACGAGCAAGGAAGACCTTCACCCAGTCATCGCTAACTGAAAATGGAGTTATTGTGCAATCATCGATTGACGTGCAAGTTGTACCGATCATAGACGCCAGGTTGGAGTCGTAGTGGAAGCCGTACCATTCAAAACGTCCATCTTCTGAATGAGGTCCGTCCCAGACTGCAGCAACGAGGTCGGCCATCTTTTTGGTGATTGTGATTTCACCGCTAGGGTCGATACATTGGACCGTTTGGCCGATCAGGGATGAAGCTTGGAAATGGCATTGCCCCGGCAAGGCAATGATTCCGTCTTTCACCCCATCAAGCTCATCGCAGGCTTCGATGGCAGCGTTGGTGAATGCGTCAAGAACACATGTTGGTGGTTGTACATCTGTATCGATATTAGGAGGTGGTCAAGTAATCCATAATCCAAAATCTGCGCACAGGGTAGAGAAAAATAAACGAGAAGAGCAGAGTTTGATGTCCCACCGAATCTCCCAAATTGGTAGTTCCACTAGCAAAAAGGTCTGACGACTCTGAACACGGAACAAAGAAAACGTATCGCTTACCAAGAATTTGAGCTGTCAAGGGACCCCAGAAGCCAGCGGGAGCAAACTTATCCCAGTTGACTGCGGGAGCACCACCAACAATTCCATCAAAGAGTTCGGGATATTGCTGGGCCATTGCATGTCCTTGACGACCACCGGTGGAGCAGCCGTGCCAGTAAGAATACTTCGGCTCACACCCGTAGTACAGTTTTGTGGCCAATTTTCCAAGCACGGCTGCCTCTGCGATGGCGATGGATGAAAAGTCCCAAACATTGGGCCAATTTATATGTCCGTCCTTGGTCAATACCCAATCACCCGTCGAAGCGGTATTGTCATGTCCTCCATCTGTGGAAGAGGATGCGTATCCTGCTAGAACTGGTGCGAGAACCTCGCTCTCCCCTCCGGCATACCAGGCTCCGCCACCGTCCATCAGGAATCGTGAGTTCCAGTCTTTGGCGTCGAGAGGCAGCCCTATGTACGTGTTGATGACGTCTCCCTGGCCGTGGTGTGTATAGGTGATCGTGACCAAACAAATATCCACGGTCGGTGCCGGGGTGCCAGGTATATCAGGAATAATGCCTACACCACCGGTGGCATTGCGACCGCTAGTAGAAAGATTATGGGTAGCAGTCACATCGAGAGATTTGATGTCGATTCCTTTAAGTTTAAGCGACTTGAAGGTCTTCGCAGAACATGGCGATGCGTGAGACGCTAGAGTACCAGGGGCAAGGCCCGAGAGAGCCGCGATTACGGCAGTTATGCGAGGAAGCATGATAACTCGAAACCGAGAAGCTCCCTTTCGGTTTCAAAGAATCTGGAAAAGATATCCGATGAACGAGAATGATGTCTCTCTATTTCAAGCAACGATTGTGAGATGGAAAAATAGGTCTGCTTTATACACAGGATCCCAAGGCTGCCTAATGGTGCTAGCAACAATAGTATCCCCCTTCAACCATGAACTTTTATGAATGCAAGTAAGCAAGTACATGAAGACCAGGTGGCTGGGATTCCAATACCTGGCTTGCTGATTAGGAAACTGAACGGGCACGGAACCAGACACCGGGGACTCGATCAAGACTTTCTTGATGTTGGCCTCATATTTTGTGGACTTTCTCAAAGAGTCATTCCGAGATTGGGCCATGACAGCAATTGCACAGCATTGAACATGAGGTCGTTGAGGCTGAGTACACGATTAGGGTTAGGCAAATGCACGGTCGGGCTTGGCATCTATATGCAAATGCCAAATCTGGGGGATCACGTCATCAGGGTCCTAGACATCAAGATGGGACTTAATGGGTTAAGTGGATGAGATGGATAGAGTGGATGAAAGGATTGATCAAAGTTGTCGGGAATCTTACTTATCCATTTACCCGATCTAGCTGGCAGGATCTGGATGGCGTTGGGCGATACGATGGTGCGGTATTTTGCGGGCATGACCCTGGCTAGACCACATGAGCAGAGGGAGTGTCCCTGCACCAAGCAGGGGCTGGGCTCATGGCAAACGTACCGAACGCAAAATTCCGGGAAGGTTTAATATTCTTCTCTATAGGAAACCCAAAGTGATTCAAAAAGAAAAGCGGAACTTCCCAAAAAGGTGCTTGCTGTGTGAATCTAGTAAAAACAGATCTTGACCCTTTTTCCAATGGGACGGGACAGTAGCCGACACGGATGCCTTGTTTACAGGATTTTCGGGATGTCTGAAATGGTGTTTTAGCCCAACCTGTAACATCGGCAGGAGACATGGCTTGAATGCCAGTTCAAATTAAATCCTCATCAATTTTTGAAATGGAGAAATGGCCGTGTCAGGGACATCTAGCAGATATGCAAAAAAAAAATATGGCTCTAAGTTAAACTTTTCGCACAAGATATATAGATGCTAGTGATATATATTGTTCAACTTTAGGTGACCGAAAGCACTTGTAGCCTTGGCCCTTTCAAATGGTAAATCACTCTTCAACCTCTATTAATCTTAATGAAATCTCTTTTGTAATAGGATGTTCTGGGTCAAGACCATACAGTAATAAAGTTGAAGATCCAAACAAAAAAAAGTAGTAAATATTAAGATCAAGCAATGTACTGCCGGATCTGGTGGAGCAAGTGCTGCAAAAAGTTGGACTCGCGGGGAATCGAACCCCGGACCACTCCCATGCTAAGGGAGTATTATACCACTAAACCACAAGCCCAGTTGTATTTCTTGATGTATAGAGCTGCGAAAAAACAATATATATACCAAATTTATTCTCTTTTAAGAAAAAGGCCTCATTTCGCTCCTCGTGTGTCTGATTTTTTTTTCTCATTAATAGATGATCTAGAAAAAACAAATTGTTTCCAATAATTGCTCGCTTGTAAACTATTTACATGAACTAACCTCCAGTACACTTGATGCAGCTTCCAGTTACATATGCTGTAAGTGAGCTAGCCAAAAAACAACATGACTCTGACGGCCTCATTCGCTGTACTAGGTCTAGCTAAGGGTATATCAGAGATATCAGGCCCTTTCTTAGCCTTGATAGGGATGCCGGGTTTCAAACTTTGCCCTCAGATACCCAGACCCTGCGGTTCAGTCGGAGGCCGTGTGATGCGAGATGTCTATCCACCCGTATGCTACGGGATTGGCTCGCACATTGTATCTAGAACAAGGTCAAAATTTGGGCCAAGGAGCTACCTTCCTTATCCTGGGTAACTTACTTGCCCCATTCTGCTGCCACAGCCTTTTTAAGCCCGACAATCCCTGATTTAATTGTTACATAGTCAATATGACCCATAGCACCACGCAGCCCGGACGCATTGACGATATTTTTAGGCATATCGCGAAATGCTGAGTCTAGCCATTGTGAGGAATGAGCCCATAAAAGGCGGAATGGGGTATAGTTGTGTATTTTCATCCCAATGTCATTCGTCTTCTACATAAAAGATTTAAGGAAATACTCATAACCCAAATCGTCAAGTTTGAAAATATCCCCACATTAGTCAAACCCTGATTTTGTCTCATTTTCTTCCATTTTTGAACACGACCTTTGCACTCACATCCGATATTCCTCCCGTCAACCCGGCCTGGCACCGCCGCCATGATCATCCATACTTTAATGAAAGTCATTGCAAGCTTCAACGATTTGTTCGCGAATACATGATTGCCAAGCAGCAACGCAAGTTGGCACATCCTTGAGGGGAACCCATCTGTGGGTGGGAACCAATAATGTATAACACACCTTTGTTTAGAGGGGCTTAGGGGGATATGCGTCAAACTCTCCATAGGTGGGGTATCCCGGAATTTTGGATACCTTTTGGCAGGCTCGGGTCATATTACGCCGAAGTATGCGGCTACAGCGTTCCGATATCATATTTTACCCTGCGACCTACTCGGAATTTCATGATGTCGAGAATTAGTTCCATACAGCCTCTTTTAAGCCATGTCTTAGTATACTCGACCTGAGAGGCATCATCAGTTGCATCTAACGAACATGGCCGTCGATGGGCTCATCCTCTTCCTAACTTCATCAATCAGGTCAGGAATCGTGTCCCTCACAAATGCGGGGTAGGAAATGGGGTCAATTTGTTTGGATAATTTTACGTGGGTTATCTTGCAGGTTAGACGGAGGTTCTCCGAAGTATGTCGGTCACATCCTACTAGTTTGGCCTGCACCTAGCCAAGAAAGGGAGACATCAATAGCCGTCGGAATTAAACCGAGCAATAACTTTCGTTCCTGAGATCAAGGCATGCAAGTCTACCAGCTTGATACGCGTGGGAGAGCAAAGAAGGGGGGTTCATACAAAGATCCAATGCCAGATTGATCCAATCACTTGCCAATTGCAATTAACATGTGCATTTCCTATGTCATAACCAATGTCTTCGATAGTCTCTCCTGTCGTTCGAACATAGCTATCACTCCTGGTTGCAGAATAAGGCAGTTTGTCGTCCAAGGTCAGTCATAATCCATTCTTAGCTCGGAGCATCTCCTGCTATGTTAATGGAAGGTACACAGGGCCAAAAGTACGCATGAGCAAAGAAGGAAAGTGCGTCCGCTCCGCCAAGCGGGTTAGCGCCGGCGAGTCCTGCCGTAAGCTGAATTGCCGGGCCAGGCTTTGGCGATCTCGGTAGAATGAACACCAAACAACGCTAGACTACTGATGTAGACATGATTATCCTATTGCCCACGCACCATTCATCCCCCGCAAGTACCAAAAAAGAAATCTATGTCTAATGCTCTCCCATGCAAAAAATTGTCGTCATGAAACAGATGCATACCCAAATTCCAAGTCTACCCGCGATCCTCAATAAGCCAAGAGCCCCACTCAAACCTGGGCTACGACCCCCACGTTTGCCCTCGCCGTATCGCGACTCTGCTTCGCCTCGCGCTGGAGGTCACGCGCATAATTGACTCCAAAGCCATGCTGGAAGACCTCCCGGATATCCTCGAGCGTCATACCCTTGACATCTGGGTAACAAAAAATCACTCCGATCCAGCCGAAAAAACACACTGCCGCGTAGAAACCGAATGCACCTGATGGTGTGGTATTTGCCATTTGTGTCAGAAACGTAGAGGACACGATAACATTCGAGCCCCAACAGGTCATTGTAAGCAGCATTGTGCCCACAGCACGGACTTCGAGCGGGTAGAACTCGGAGGACATCCAGGCGATATTACCCGCGCCGACAGAGTAGAATGCCACGAAGACAACCAAACATAGGAGGACAATATTTGCGGCCCAGCTATTCTTGTGCGAGGTGAGTTCGAGGTCGTGGTTAAGAGGGATCCAGTGGAAACAAATTGCGGCGACTGTGAGCGCGGCAGCCATCACCCACAGTGTATGGAGGAGGATCTGCCGACGGCCAACGCGGTCGACTAGAAGCAGATTGATCCAGGTGAAAAGAAAATTCGTTGCTGCTATGATGGTCCCCACCGCGATGGGTTTGTCAAAGCCCACGGCAGCAAAGAGTGTGCCCGAATAATAGAGGATTGAATTGAATCCACCGAGTTGAGAAATCGCCATGAGGCCACATGCTGCAAACATAGCCCGAAAATTGGCAGGGACCACGTAGAGCTGCTTGATCTGCCACCAGAGACTTTTCTCTTCGTTTCGTGTCTGGTCAACGTGAATTGTGATATGTTGTACCTTCTGCTGCACCTGTAGTGGGGTCCCATCGGGGAAAATTCTTGCAATGACCTTGGCTGCTTCGTCTGGTTTGTGATGGTAAACTAATTGTCGCGGTGACTCAGGACAGAACGGGAGAAGGGCGCAGAGGATTAAGGCCGGTAGGGCACCAATGGCTGCCATGTATCTCCATCCGGCACTGACGTTGGCAAAGCCTGCGCCGATACCGTAGCTGATCAGCTGGCCGGTGGTGATGGAGAGGTTATCTAAACTGATCATACGTCCACGGTATTTGGCGGGCGCTACTTCGGCTATATACAGCTGGCAAGGTCAGTCAATTGAATTTCCAAGATGACAGGGTGCGATGAGGAGTGTACTGGAACGATCATCGCAGCAGAACCAACGCCCAGTCCAACAACCAAACGACCAACGGTCATTTGAGCGATCGAGAAAGAGGTGGCTTGAACAATAGCCCCGATAATGAAGAGAATGCAGCCGTTGTAAATTCCCAATTTCCGTCCGTATCGGTCTGCACACATTCCAGCTACCACGGCGCCCACGAAGGCTCCACCCGAAGTAATTGATGTGATCAACTCCTTATTACTGCTGTTGAGGGTCTGTCCCAGATCATCGCTGAGCACGACGAGAATCGAAGAAATGATGCCAGTGTCATAGCCGAATAGAAAACCGCCGACGCCAGCGGTGATCGAGACTAGCCAAGCATATTTGCTGCAGCGGGTTGACTCGATCGTGTCGAGATCTTGCACATCCATAGACTCGACATGTTCGATCGAATCCTTCAGGTCATCCTCCTCAAATGGAAATTTGAGATTCTTGTCACTCATTGTGGCCGTTCAGGTTCGTTCAATTGGCGCAGGAGGGACAGGAAAATTGAGAAGTAACAAGGTCTGCAGGTCTGCAGGTCTGCGAGTTGGCCGGTTTATATTGCCTCAAAATCAGGAACTTGATGTAGAAGCGGGACTATGATGCACTATTCCGGGACTAATTCGTTGGCCAAAGCTGCCGGAAGAATGACGCGCTGGCTACAGAAAGCCGTCTAATTGCATGAGATCCACTCCCTAACCACCAATAGCGCCCGGGCTATTGTGAGGTGGGGTGACGGCCATTGGGTTGCTGAGCTGCATGGCTCTTTCCTGACAAAGTCACAATTCCTGTAGCCTTAATGACATGAAGAACAGAATGGCCCTCTCCAGAATTTTGTCCAAGATATATATTCCACAGAGGTACGCGAAACCATAAGTAACGAGACTTTATAGAAAAACAAGTCATGTGGCAACAGCCAATTAGAAAATATACAGATCCCCGGATTTCGTAGGTACCCCGCACTTGCCCCGTGTGGAGATAGCCGGCGACGCCTGCCTTCAATTTCCTTCTTTACCGTGCCTTTTCCCCATCAACTTCCCAATATCTGTTGCAAGCTATACATATTCTGCTGTCACTATGCGGCGGAATAAAGCAGTTCCCTGGTGAGTGGCCCCACATCGGCGAGAAAATTACACCAATCACTAACGGAGCTATTGTGAAGCCAGGAATGTCGCAGTAAGTGCGCCGATGAAGAGATGAGCTATGATGGATGCTGTCTGCTAGGCCATGAACTGATCACCGACTGATTTGATTTTGTCAGATCGACATGTCAAATGTGAGTTGTATTTCCTGAACACCCAGTACGTGTGGACGAACGCTAACGAACGGCCCCAGGCGATGGGCAAAAGCCGACATGTCAACGCTGTGAGCGGACCGGGGTATCTTGCGTATGGCAAGAAAATCCCTCGGGCTTCCGACATGGCTCTAGTGCGAGTGCCCGGTACGACTTTGCCGATGATCAGCCCTGGCTCCCCATCGGGCGTGGTATGTTCACTTCCTTCGTTATCTCGCCCCCATTTCCATCGCATTCGATTCGTGATACCCGGCGAATCTATTGTGTCATTGCATCATCCTCGGGTTACGATGTTACCAGTTGCAATTGCTGACCCGAGACGGCAGTGGACTACAAGTACGTGGATGAAACGGCCGATATAGCCCGAGGCTACACTCAAGGCGAGGGATGCAATGCATCACCATCCCCGCCCTTGGCTCCCGAGAGGCGTGCGAGCGAAAGGTCTATTGACCATCGGACCCTGACCGAGCCATCGATTTCGAGCGATCCTGTGGGCTCTTATTCGTCCGAGCGTTGTCTGCCGCCGCCGAATCGGCCCGAGAGTAGCCATTTGACTGGGTATTCTCCATATTCCTTGCATTTGTCCCCGAGACATCATTCTTCTATCTCATCTGCTTCACCTCAATTCTCTCATAGCAGTCAGGCCTCACCTGGGACGACTAGGGACCTGATCTCCCATACTGATAATGCGTTCGATTACGGACCCTCTAATCTGAATGAACATGAAGCTTGTTTGATGCGCTACTTTGTCGTTGAACTTGCACCTTGGGTATGCAATACTTGGCATTTCCCATTTCCCCTGTTTCTTTCGCCCCCCCCCTAGGCTAACATGACCATTTAGTTTGATTTATGCGATGGAGAGAGGCATTTTGCTTGCACAGTACCCCTCCGTGCTCGAACGTGTCCACCTTTACTGAATGCTATCTTTACGGCCTCGGCAAGACACCTGAGCCGAGTCAAAAAATACTACAAGGGGAACCAAGTCCATTATGGTGGCAAGATCCTTCCAAATCTCACACCGGAAACCGCCATTCACTACCACAACCAATGTATAGCACACTTTGTCTCTCTGTCAGACCATTCCCACGAAGCGGCGGATGAGAATCTTCTCGCTGCAGCCGTCATCCTCCGCTTCTACGAAGAAGTCGACAGTAAGTCGGCCCACCTCCTCCTTTTTATCCTCTACTAAGCATACACTTCCAGTGCAATCCATGGGTGAAGACTCCGAAAGTGCCCTCCGCGGTATCCAAATATTTCTCGATGCCCAAGCAATATCCGCCGTAGCAGGCTGCGGTCTGCGTCATGCAGCATACTGGATTGCCCTCCGCCAAGAAATCATTACAGCCTTCAGCAAACAAAGAACCTTCCGCCTCCCTCTCGGTCCCTGCGAACCCTACCGTACCTTTGAACCGGCCGATGACTACGTTTGGGCCGATCGACTGGTGATCCACTGCGCCGACGTGTTACAGTACTGCTTCGGGTCGGAAGAAGAGAATATCCCACGGGACACATACCAGTCAAGTTCCAGCATGGGCGTGATATACCCACCGCCAGCCACGGATAGGCGCATCGCGCGCTACGAGGAGCTAGTCGCATTCGATACACTCTGGGCGGAAATGGGCCCGCCTAGTTTTAAACCCATCTACACACGGGAACCGGATCGCTCGCGCGGCGAGGTCTTTCCCGAGATATGGTATTTAAACGCCTGCCATGTCGCGGGGCTGCAATTCCTCGAGCTGGCGCGCATCTTGCTCACAGTATACAATCCAAAACTACCCCGACTAGGACCCGGACAGCGCACTGCAATGCGTACGGTGGATCGGGAGGTACGAGCAATTGTATTGAGGCTTTGTGGTACGGCGCTTTCCAATCAACATAGCCCGCCGGGACTGGTGAATGCATTCGTAGCGGTTGGGATGTGCGGTGATCGATTTACGGATCGATTGGAGCAGGAGGCTCTTCTTGGTTTGCTGGTCAAATTGGAGGATGAGCATGCGTATCCGACGACGAGTACGCGGGAATTGCTGAAGAGGGCGTGGGGATGGGATGGGTATGATGCGTCCGAATAGGATGGAGACATGTGGATGGACTGTGAAATAACGTGTACCGGGTACCATCACCGATCAGCAATACACTCTGTACAATTCTATTAGCTTCATATGCCATTGGGGTCATCTTCACCAAAAAAAAATAAGTCGCCTCCAACGCAATGCGGAGAACAGTCCACAATTCACACTCCTCGCCCGGCAGAGAGTTGCTCACAATTAGATCGCCCACCACAGTCACTTCTCTGAACCCGTGACATCTTTGTATTTTCCATCTCCGCATCTCAGTCAAAAATTTTCGGATCTTGCGTCCCCCTCGACCACTCAAATAATCGATCTGGCGGTCGTGGAGAAGCACGGCGAAGCAGCGAGTGTGGGGAAGTGGAGCCTCCCGTCCACAAAGGGAAATCGTCGCCGGCCTCCTACCCGAAGTAGTTCCAGCCTGAACAAATAAAGACTGATCAGCTTCAATACTTGAAATGATTCGCCGAGGGGCTCGAGGGTGCAGCGAGGGGTAGTGATAGCTGTGCATTCTTGCAGGTCGCAGCGTTCAAGCTATTTAACAGCAAGGTCCCCTCACTATGGCCATTGAAGCATTGCATTCTCTCCATCTCTCTTCGCCTGCCTTCTCTGCCTTCAATTGAGATACTACAAAATCACCAATATGTCCCAGAAGCTCCAGGTTGCAGTTGCCGGTGTTGGTCGCATGGGTACGAATCTCTTCATCCCCCCGCCAAGAAGAATAATTTTTGGTCAATCGGGCATTGCGCAATTGCGATTCACCCTCTCCAACTCCAATTGCTAACTTACTGACCTATACAGGCATGCGCCATGCCCGTCACTTCGCCACGCTCACTCCACGCGCTGAGCTAATCGCCGTTTGCTCGCCAGTTCAGTCAGAGCTCGATGCTGCAGAGGCCGAGTTCGGCTGCCGCACTTACACCGATTACGAGACTATGTTGAACGAGGAGAAGAATCTGCAAGCTGTCGTCGTTGCTAGCGCGACTACCGTCCATGCCGAGCAGGCCATCAAGGCTATTGAGCGTGGTCTGCATGTGCTTTGCGAAAAACCTATCTCTACTAGTCCTGAGATTGTAAGCTTTCTCCTCGTTCTTTTAAACACACGATTCCCAACGACACAATATACACCTTATCGCATTCCAGTACAGCCCCAAATTATCCTGTACTAATCCACATACAGTCCCAATCCGTCGTCGACACCTACAAAGCCTCCATCAAAAAGTTCCCCTCCCAGAAAGTCATCTGCGGCTTCAGCCGCCGCTTCGACGCCTCCTACCGCGACGCACACGCCCGCATGGCCGCCGGTAATATCGGCACACCATCCGTTTTCCGCTCGCAGACCTGCGACAAGCTCGATCCTAGCGGTTTCTTTGTGGCCTACGCCGAGTTCTCGGGTGGTATCTTCGTTGACTGTAGTATCCACGACATCGATCTTGCGCTCTGGTTCTTCGGCGAGGAGACTAAGGTTAAGAGCGTGACTGCTATTGGCATCACGGCTGTACAGCCTGATCTGCGTAAGCACAATGATCGGGATAATGCGCTTGGTATTATTGAGTTCTACGTGAGTAGTGGACCCCCTTTTTCACCCTTTCCTTGTAGTACTTTGGTCGGAGCATGATCCTAATTTGCAATTATGTTTGGACAACAGGGCGGCAAAATCGCTCAGCTCTACTGCTCCCGCATGATGGCCGCCGGTCAAGAAGACTGTACCGAAATCTTCGGCACAGAGGGTAAAATCGCAATCAACACCCAGCCCCAACTAAACCTCGTCAACCTGTACGAGTCCACCGGTATCCGGCGCGAGATTCCCTCAGACTATTACGGGCGCTTCCGCGAGGCGTTTATCACTGAGGCGAACGAATTTACTGCGTCTTGTTTGGATGATACCAAGCCTCCTTTGCAGTTGGACTCGGCTGTCAAGGCCGTTGCTATTGGATGTGCGCTGCAGGAGTCGCTGATTACGGGGAAGAAGATCGAGTTTGATGAGAGTGGGAAGAGGGTTGAGACTTCTCATCTGTAGGGGATGGATACTATAAATGAGGCATCTTTAGGTTATACTTTGTGATTATTTTCTTGTATAGACCGCTTCAAGTGAGATGAATGAACATAGACATCTGAGAATTCAGGATGATCATCTTGCACTGAACAGAAGTTGACAAAAGTAAATGGGAGGATACTACCTATTATGAGCGAAGGCTAAGTGTGGCCATAAACCCAAAAGAAATAAGGCTGAAGGAATGAAGAATGCAACGTCCATTTGGGGGCGACCCGGGGCCAAAAGCCTATTTAGGCAATAAAAGCACCTGGAAAGCGCATGTCGACTTGGCATCTGAGCCTTCCAAAGCAAGGGTATATATGTCGAAAGAATAAGAATAAAGTACTGCTGAATACACGCAATACCCTTGCTTCTATAGTGGATAGCGCTAGCGTAGTATCAAAGTCCTGGTTGTTAAAATAGGAGAGTTTTCCATGCAGTGCTTCCCAGATATGAGCAAGCCAGCGAAAGGCTGTTTGGCACCATTAGAGCCAGTATGTAGACTTCAGCCTATAGAAATATAGCTATCTCGTCGGGTTATAGGCTAGGGTTCTTGAGCAGATAATCGTAAAGCGCTTCCAGCATCAGTGTTACGCTTCGTCTCTGACCAAACGATTCTTAGGGGCATAAATCTTCCGATCAGTCGTAAGTTCCTTCGGATATTCTTGATCGTTTGCTCACTGCATTTAGCTCCTTTGGCTATTTGAGACCTAATTAGTGACTAGGCTTGTATCATTTCAGGAAGTAATTGTAGCCTTAAGGAGGGTAGTTTCTGTATTATCGAGTGTATGGAATTCGGGTAATTCTGGAGATGAGCGGTCCTTGCGAAAGAATAGATTGCTAGGGTGGAAATGAGAGTGGAATGGAGGCCCTAAGTTCTTAGGGTAAAAATGATTCGTGTAATATATAGTTTTTTACATTCCTCCGTCGTTCAATGTCGGTTTTTAATAGGTCTTACCTTAGAAAGGATTCTTTATTGCCTTTAGTTATAAAGACTAGCGTATACTCGGGTACGGGCCGAGAACCAAAGCCAGTGTGTCCAAGGGGCAATCGAAATCGACATCCTCCATATGTATACCCCAGATTGAATAACTGCTTTTTGACATCAAAGTCAGCAGGAGCCTAGCCCCAATCTTATGAACAATAATCTAGATAATATTTGCACTGTTCATGGTACAGGAGAATCTGTTATTCATATGGAAGAAGAATGAATGTCTAAATACTTGTACAATAATATCTATGGCCTCGCCCGGATTGCTTATTATCCGCGCGCCCCCACCCAGGCACGGATTCTCCGTCAATATCTTTGGTTCATCTATTGCTTGAAATTTCGGGGATTATTTCCTGCCAAGATACATCAGCAGGCTGTATATAGAATTAGCAATGAGTAGAGCTCACATTGAAAAGTTTTGCCTTTTCCTCTGTACAGTCATCATGACCATGCTTCTCGAAGCTTTTCAGTGCGACCTGCAGTTTATAGGCCTGACTAGAGACAATGTGCTGTGAATAATTGGTAGGTCAACTTATCGCTCTTTGATAAGTAAGAAGGATATAAATTACCTCTTCAATAGTCCCTTTCATGATGTAACGACTCACTATCACCTTCTTGGTCTGTCCGAGACGAAGGGCTCGGCCAAATACTTGTTGCTCTACCAATGGATTCCATTGCGGTTCGAGAATATGTACCCTCGTTGCACCTGTGAGGTTCAATCTGGGAAAGTGTTAGGAATCCATAGCTAGATATATGCATATTGAGATGATTATTCGTGTTTGACTTACCCCACAGCCCCTGTTCCAATGGTCATGAGCAATACTATCCGCTCGGGAGCCTTGTCAAACCCACGTAGCGCACGCTGTCGCTTAGTATTGGACACCGAGCCGTCGATTCGTAGGCAATCAATACTATGATGCTGCAATATGGCGCCGACTAAGTCGAGGGTTCTTTGCCAGAATGAGAAGACGATGCTAGATATCATCTTAGTCAAGTTCAGAGTAGGCAATAAAACTGGTGAGGTGTTACCATTTTTCGCTAAGTAGCTGCTCCGCAATTCTCTTTACTAGAGCGCGTAGCTTACTGGATAAGCTAGCCCTGTGGATGGCTTTAAGATTCACATCACTGCTTGAAATTGTCGTTGGAGCTGGTAGGGTTTCTGGAGAATCCTTGGCGAATCGAAAATGGATTTGTCTGGTCGTGCCACACAGGTCGGGAGTTTCTGCTCTGCAAATGCCACGCTCCACTTTATCTTCTTTCTGCTAAATTTTAACGTTCCGGTCTATCGCTATTGATGTACTCGTAATACATAGCCTCTTGTTTGCCCCGCTAGATCCATTATTACAAAAGAGCCTTAATTCGTGGATTGCGTTGAGAATTTGATGACTAGCATTTGAGCTGTTCTTCAGACTGATGGCCATCTCGAGCTTTGCTCTGTGACGCCGCACGATCTCATTGTAATTTTGAGCCTCGGTGTTGGAAAGCTCGAGGTACAGCAAATCGACAGTGGGGTCGTCGAGATATCCAATTGCCTTCGTCCTGCGAAGGCAAATGTATCTCAGCAACGAGCGAAGATTATCGAATCGATTGGATACATTGCTGTATGTCTGATTTGTGATGTGCACTCGGAAGACCTCTGGGTCGTCAAGAATTGGCACCTGGAGGAACGATACGAGGGCGCCCAAATCATCGACTTTGTTGTGAATAGGTGTACCCGTTAGGCACCACCGTCGAGTTGCCGAGATTTTGGAAACGGCAGCGTGTTTTCTTGTGCCTCTGGTTCGTATATCGTGGGCTAAAATCATATTAATAATTGTGATTTCAACCAATTGCAGCTATGCGTACCTTCATCTAGTACTAAGCGGTAGAAGTAAATTTTATGGAGAAGACCCTTCCCACTTCGTAGCTCGGATATGGCGGTAGTATAGGTGGTCAGCATTATGTCTGTACGCTGCAAGCTTTCGGTTGGAGATCCCCGGAATTGACCGTGGTATTTGTAAGCCATAACAGTTCCTGGTATTATTCGCCTATTTTGGTGTAGGTTAGTAAATGCTAGATAGAAGATAAAGGTTTCTCACGTTTGTATCTCCTCGAGCTATTGATTCATAAGGACTTGAAGAGTCAGTCATGATGATACATTCATGGGGGAAGGACTCCGGATTACCTTCCGAAGGCACAATAATCACCGTTGCTTTGCTTCTCTGGCGTGTTGAAGTCCCAGAAGGCTTGGACAGTAGCCAGAATCCCGCGCCATTAAGAGTGCTGAGGATTGTCGCTAACGTTGTCAATGTCTTTCCTAGACCCATCTCATCATCAAGTATGCCGCCAAAGGGGCCAGCTAAAGGGTCAAATGTCTTTTATCCAGTAATGGCATGTCGGTAACTTTATATCGTAGCTAGGTTAGCAAGTCTTTCTCGCTTGAAAGTCGGGCATACTGACCAAGGTGCTGCAAGGCTACTCGGCTCAGCGAGCCAAAGAGACTTTGTGGTTCGGAACAGCCCGGTTTCTCGATAGAGCATGAAATCAACACCTGCTCTTTGGTGCCTTCATTTCAGAGTTTAGACATTAGTCACTCTTCATGCTCAACCGTGAGCAGTACTCACCGCAATAACTCCACTGTTAGCCTAGAGTCAACTTGCACAGGGCAAAGTTCTTCGTGCTGATCTAAATCGTTCATGATATTAAATAAGGTATCGGTGGGAGGTGAAATCGCACTTTTGGGAGTGTTCTTAGTTGGTGTGTTTTCCGTCTATAAATTCTTATTATCACTCTCAGAAACATCCGACAATGACAAAAGATGGAGATTGTGATGTTGAGCCCTAGTTTATATAAAGGAGACTGAAGAAAAAGGCCTCCCCCTGATAAACAGCTGCCCACTGCGTCGGTAATGCTGAGCATTCCAAAGATAGTGATCTTAACGATCATTGTGGATCTCATTCGAAAGTTGTGCTGCATGATCCCCTATTCAGAGAATTTCAGTGTAATCTTAAGTCTGACATCCCCTGCATTTTGAAGGCTTTTCAACGTGCTGGAAGTCTTTAGGTCTATGAATCTAATCATCTCATCTGTAGACGGAGCACAAATCACAAAGTAATTAGGCCTAGGTCGAGAATGCACATATCGTCGTTCGATAAGACGGAGTCCGAGCGTATGGGTAAGCTCCCTCGAAATTCACCGGAAACGTCACGAATCTAAAATCAGTTAGTCCTTATTGTTCCGAGAATGTATAGTACAATATATATAGCCATAGCAGACTTCGAACGATTCGGAGCCGTATAGATCTGGATAATTTTGGTATCCGACCACATTCTCGTCTTTTGTGATGTCTCCTGCTTCATTAGTGTTTGCGATCGGGCCGATACTAGTTGGGTAACACCGTGGTGCTTCCAACTCCCCTGGGAGGTCGTCTGGGACGACTGTCGCTTGGTAATGAAGGAGCGATTCGGAGTGTGAGAAATCCGGTGCTTGGCTTGAAATGCACCGTGCCTTGGCTTCAAAGTAAGCGCTCTGCTCATGTTGGTATAGCGATCGCTTTTGTGGCATAAGTTGCTGGAGGCCATCATAAGCCATTTTGGGGGTCTTCTAGCCGTCTTCTGGCCAAAACTGGTAGTATCACCGGTACTTTTGAGCCTAGATAATAGCCATGATCGCCGAGAAAAGATGTTCGCGATTCATAGGTCTCCTGAACGTGATTGCTCCAGATAGAAATGACTACACTGACGGACCTTAAAGGCGTCTTGTCCTCTATTTAACGTCAGTATAACTCTGAAAGACGAGTTCGAAACATGGGACGATTGAGTCGATTTCTTGACGCTATGGATCAGTATGGAAAGGTTATCGAGGAATTCCTGAATGTCACGGACGTTTTGGCGTTTGTCTGGATGAGTTTGAACTATACTAACTTCACTCAAATGATATCTATACTTATTTAACTCTCTAGGGGCCTATGAAGTTTCTATTGTAAGTAAGCTAGAGAGAGAAAATTACTTGTCTAGAGTGTATGCTCTGACCGGCATAGACTGCCAATACATTCAGTGAGGCTTTCAGCAAACTTCTTGAAACATACCAAGTTATTGGAGAAAGCCTGCCATTGCTTGAAAAATGCCAAGGGTTACTGGAGAATACACCATACGTGCGCCAGGCCCTGGAATCCATCTTCAACGACATTCTTGAATTTCATGAGTACGCGCTTTGTTACTTCCAAAAGCCCAGTAAGTGAAATCACACCCACTTTTTGTCAAATGATCTGACAATATCTGGCACTCATCGACAGTGTGGCGAAGAGTCTTTCAAGCGAGTTGGGCTACCTATAAAACGAGATTCCAGCCAATAGTGGACAATCTATACAGGCACAAAGATCTTCTAGAAGGGAGAGTGACGTTCACACAGCTCGAAACAATCCTCTCCCAAGGAGAAAGGACCTTGCAGGAATTGAAGAGGCAACAAAACTATAAGGCGATGGGAAAATATCGAGCTATCTAAGCTTGGCTTGGTAATCCGGATGTCTAGATAGATCATGAAAGTATCGCACGAGCACGATATGACACGCCGGAAGCAGGCTCTTGGCTTCTCTACCATCCTCTATTTCAGCCTTGGCAAGATGCTACTAGTGACGCACTTCTCCTATGGTTAAATGGGATCCCTGGTGCAGGTAAGTAGTGGCCAGTTCCTTATTTGAAAGCCGATGTTGATCATTCTTCTTACCAACAGGAAAGTCTGTTCTTGCATCAATGATCGTTGACAAGTGCCGAGAAAATGATTCGAATGTCACTGTCTGGTTTTATTGCCGACAAGGAGATAAAAATCGGAGTACATTCATTGCACTGGCGCGTGCACTAATATCCCAGCTGTTGAAGTATGATATGGATCTGGTACCTTACGTCCACCTAAAAATGTCCTCCAGAAGAGAGCAAATGCTTTCGTCGGAGCCGTTGGCTAAAGAATTACTTGAAACGCTTCTCAAGAGCTACCAGGGGCTTCACGTTATTTTGGATGGCCTCGACGAATGTGCACAAGGGGAAGGTAAGAAAATAATCGGGTGGTTCCGCTCCGTAATGGAGGCTTCAAGTCGGCCAGCAGCAGCATCCAACAATCCACGGTGTGTGTTCGTCTCACAGCGCGATGCAATTACATCGAGACTCCTTCGTGATCTCCCGACAATTGCCATCACATCCGCTCATAACCATCACGATATCACTTCTTTCGTGTCATCATGGGGGGCAAAGATTCAGGATAAGTTCAGTATCTCGGATGATATGAAGGAAGGGATAAATGAGAGAGTCGTTGAAAGGGCAGCAGGTGAGAGCAGAATCTCTGAATTGAACTTTCAAATCTAGAATTACTAACTAGATGTTAGGAATGTTTCTATTCGCCAAAGTTGTGATGACCACATTGTTCTCTCAAGTTTCGCGGGAAAGGCTGTTCAATGAATTGAACGTGAAAGGATTACCCGTAGGGATCGAGGCAGCGTGAGTCCTATGAACCCAATATTTGACTCCACTTCTAACTATTTTGTGTATTCTCATACAGATACTCTCGCGTGCTGGATGTTATCCGCGAACAATCCTCAAAGAGTGAAGCGTTTCAGTTATTGGCATGGCTAGTGTGCGCTAAACGTCCACTGGAATGGCGAGAAATTCAAGCTGCAGTAGCAATCGACATCGAAGGCGAGACTGTTGATTTCTATGGTCGACAGTGGATGGTCACCGCCAAAGATCTTTGTGGCTCACTTGTTGAGTCACGAACTGACGGCTCACTTGAGCTTGTACATACCACAGCAGAACTGTAAGTGTGATTCTAGACACCTGCGAACAATCTTTGATTTCACAATCTAACGGTAGTACTAGCTATCTGGTTGAGAGCGGTGTCATCAATGTCGGTCAAGAAGAACTCAAGATCGCATCCCTCTGTCTGGCCTATCTAGCTTTTCCTGGCTTCGAAGCAGTCCTGGCGGAATCTTCTGTTGAAGATTTCCTGGGGCTCGGATACTATGCTTTCCTTGATTATGCCGCCCGTTACTGGACTTCTCATCTTCGAGAAGGTCTAGCCCGAAGTGCTCTAGAACAGTGCAAAGACACGCTTATCAGTCATATTGAAAGGTTCCTCGATTCACATTATCGACCCTGTGATGAAGACATTCAAATTCCAGTGTCCACTCGCAGCTTGCTGAGTCGAATTCACGAGTCCGACTTTAGCTCACACGACGGGTTCGAGAATTTTCTCAAAGCTTTTGTCGCCACAGAATGTCAAATCGAAACCTATAGTGAAAACGCAGCATCGAATAAGGCACTTGACATCTCGGACATAGTTGCGAGGATTCAAGCTATTCTTGAATGCGCAGTCTTTCGCTTTCGAGGATCTTTGGATGAGGCTGACCGGAAATCGTTTGCTTTCTACTACGAGAGGCAATCTACAAGTGTTCTCGAATAAGCTGCTCATATTTCCACCGCGGTTTTACATCTGCGAAAGAAAGAGAAGCACATATTCGAAAGCACACACTGCATTATACTTGCTCCTATCCCGGTTGTCTGAGGGCAGCCCTCGGCTTCTCCTCACGGAGCGAATTGCAGAGACATATCTCACAAACTCATGAGATGGCTCAAAACAAGGGACAAATATTTCCACCAAAGCAAAAAAGACCCGTTCTACAATGTGGTATGTGCCAGCAAAGTTTTGATATACCAGGGAAACTTCGAAATCACGGCTGTAGGCAAGATAATTCGAAATCTCGCTTGCTTGATCGCCGCAGAGTCTCGCGCCTAGAAACGGAACCTGAGCACCTAAGGAAGGTACAGAACCGCCTAAAGGAGCTACGGAACCGGCAGCAGCTCCCTCGTGGCCAAGATCCAAACGGAAGGAGCGAATCAACTCGGTATGCAACGTTCGTGTCCCTGCAACGGGCATCGAACGCTGTGGCTGCCCCAGACCACTTGACAGGCCGACGAGGCAGTAAGGACGAGGAGGAAGAACCAGTTTCTCCCACCCCAATAGCCCTCCCTAGCACTGCCCCCGAAGCAAAAGAAAGTAAGACCCAAACAACCTATGGGGCTGGCCACCCGGATTGGCAGAATCACGAGGAGTCCATGTCATGGGCCTCGTCTCACAACCAAGCCGGGACAAACTCGAGCCGAACAATTCCCGAGGTGTCTAGCTCCACGCACTCTGCGCGGCAGAATGTAGACGCCTTGACTGGAGCTCAGTACCCAGCTCATGACTCATACCAGGATCAAGTCTCAATCTCATACAACGATCAGCTCGTGCTTCTTGAGCAAAGGAACAAAGCCCGCCGTGCTGCGCAGCGAGTGCAAGCACAGAAATCCCTTGCAGAACTGCAACAGTTCCTTGATCAGCAGCAACACCAGCGACAAATTTTCCAAGCCCAACAGCAATCCCCTTATTTCGAAAGCATACAGCGGCAACTGCGCTTCCACAATCAACAGCAAGCGCAGGCAAACCAAGCCCAGCAGAATTCCAAAGCTAATAATACCGACACATACCCTCTGAGTCCTGCAAGTGCTATACCGCTCAATATGACAAATGATGATCCTCTAACCCCTCGACTTCAGATTCTCTACCAATCTCAGGCTGCGGATACCGAAATAGCGGAAACCTCAACGCTACCAAGCCCATCCGACATCATTAATTCTTGGATTGAATCTCCCAAAGGGCCGGACGTACACACGGGGCTATTTGACTCGAATCTTGCGACACAAAAATCGAAGGGTGACTCTTTGCTACGACCCAAAAGGTCGATATCAAGAGGGACCTCCTCTGTCACGCCGCAACTAAACCCAAGAAGGCTCCAAACTTTCAAGGGAATAGATCACCAAATCGGGGCTCCAAATGAGCCCTTACAAGGAGACCTAGATCCCAGTCTGATAGGAAGAGCGCTGGAGCTAAGCCCCACCATTTCCAACATCAACCAGGACGAGCTCCTCCGACCAGATCTTGAATCCACCACCGCCAACGAGGCGGTCGTGTCCTATAAGGAAGAGCTGTGCATCATCAAATGTATCTGCAAGTATGATGAGAGTCATTGGCCAATAATGTTCTGCGAGGGGTGCAAGACATCGCAGCACATCGTCTGCTATTATCGGGACGAGTCGGTGCCTGATGTGCATAATTGCGTCGACTGCAAGCCTCGCACATTGGTTACTTGGGACTTTGCTAAGCCGATGGACCTTCCACGGATCCCTACATGGGAAGAAGTGATGGATTTTTCTACCCTCGAACAAAGGCAGGCTCTGTACGGCGACGAGAATGAATTTGGAGATCAACGCAGCGAATCCAAGGCCCCTGCGATTCATTCGCAGCCAGGCATGAACTCGCCTGACTCGAACTCGATGATACTAAAGAATTTCATGGCTGATCGGTTGCAAGCCGCCAACCAGGGCCACTTGTCTATACAATCTACACCTACTGCCATGCCCGTCAACAACGAAGGCCATTTCTTCTCCCACCCAAAAACCACCTTTATCGACGAGGGTAATGAAGTAGCCAAAAACAGCTTACCTCTATCCCATAGCTCTGATCCAGATTCCCTAGCCTCACAATCAGCTATAAGCTCGCTAGTTCCGGCTGTCACCTGGGAGTCAATCAATCAATCAACATCCCTCAACAATGATTTCACACAAAACCACATTCTAAAACCACAAGAACAACTCCTGTGGATCGAGAACTGGCTCTCTCAAATGCGAATTTACCAGAATCTAGTGTTCTTAATGCCGTTTCACTAGAAGTGCAGAAGCAAGGTCCATTCAACAAATGGCAAGCAGACTATTCTGGATTGATTCGCACGTTCATTATTTACAATGCGTAAGTCGATCAGACTTGGGCAGGGGAGCCCCTTGTCAAAACGAGTCGTCTTACTACCAATGAACGTATCGACCTAACATTACCTAGGGCATTCACTATCCATGGATTGGATTCGCGGGTTCCATTGCGGCAAGCCGCCGAGGCTTGTCTGGAATTCGACACAAAACTGTTTCTCAAATCCATTACAAAAGTGCGTAGCTCTTATGGGCTGTGGTTCATGATTTCCGATGGAGGTTCGATGCTAACCGACAACCTTTGTGCACAGGATGAGTATGAGAATAGGTGGGTAAAGGTAGAGAAAAAACTTGTTGTCCGAAAGATAGACGCAGATAGAGGAGTGGGAATCGAAGGCATCATAGACATGTTGCTGGTGGGCGATTGAAGAAATTTTTCGTTAAGCGTCGTCTCATTTTTTTCTCTCGATCGTCCATTGCAACGGCAGTGGAACTTCATAAGTGCATCAAAGAGCAGGCAGGGAAGCTCATTAAGACCCGATTTACTCCAATTTACTCACACTTCGCCTTAAAACATCTACCAAACACCAGATCATAACTTTGGATACCCTACTCAAACCATTCCCAGACACAACAGAACATGATTCGGTCATATTTAGTCGTCCAGCATACTACATTCTCGGAGGGGCACGAGGCATAGGATAACACCAAAGCAAACCCTCATCAAGGTCCAATCTACTCCAATCAACCCAACCAATCCAAATCTCGACCTACAAATTGACATACAATCCCCAATCTCCAATCTACAATCTACACCCCCTACCAAACCCTTAAACCCAAATCAAAAATCTAGAAAATGCCGAAGCGCTGCAATTGACTAAGACACGGACAAACAAAGGCCCAAAAACAAAGGGAGAAATAAGAAGAATAAAAAGAATTAACGAGAAAAGAAAACTAAAAGAGAGCGGGGGTAATAAGGCACACAGAAAGAGGACGGGCAAGTAAAAAAGTGCAAGATATGGCGTAGCAAAAAAGTACATCACAAGAAGAGTAGTTAGAGAGTGAGAGGGGGAGTATGAAAAGAAAAGAGGAAGAAAAAAACGGTTAAGTAGGAGTATCACGATTTGAAATTTCCCCAGGTTTGTTAGGTCGAGAGGTTGACCCTTATGGATCGTATTATTCAAATAACCATTTCTTTTCTCTTTTCTTTTTTTTCTTTTTGCGATGCGCGGGCCCATCCAGTGGAAGACAAGGAAATAAGAAAAAAGTAAGCTGCAACGGAGGTGTGCGTTAAAGGTGGGACGCTGAGAAGCGCCCAGAGTAAGGGAGTGTATGTAGAGATGACAGGCAAGGAAATATGAGAACCCCATTGGAGATAAAGGGAGAGGTTCAAGAGAAAAAGAGAGCGAGAGATAGCGGGACTGCATGACTGAAATGGCAACTTCAGCAGTGGCCGTCAACGGCACGAAGTGGAAGGTGCTGAGCGGAGGGTTTAACGAAGCGAGAAACCCTTTCGCTTGCCCTTTTCTTCGATGGGGCGGCCGGTCTCCAGGCGGGCTTTCTTTTCCTCTAGTTCCTGGCGCTGCCGGTCTAGCTGGTCCTTCATCTCGCGGTGTCGGGCGTAGAGTTCGTCTTCGCTTTGTTTGAGCTTGCTCTCCTTCTCGGAAACCTTCTGCTGGAAGACCATCTTCATCTCGGCCTCCATCTTGGCGAGCTTCTGCTCGTGGAGAGTGCGCTCCTCCTCCTGCTTGACAGCCGGGTTGACCTCCTTGAACACGCTGGGGTCCTGGGCAACACCCATCTGGGTGAGCTTGTCCGAGCGGTAGTTCTCGTACAGGAAGTTGTTGGTGTGCTCCTTAAGCTCCTCCATGTGGGTGCGGATCAGCATCTGGCGCAGCTTGACAAAGTCGCAGTGCTCCTCGTTGTCGACCTCGATGACACCCCAGGGGTAGCTACGGCCACGGACACGGCGGCCATCGGCTGCGGTGACCTCAGAGTTGGCACCGACAACGGCGAAGGGAACCTTGGACATGATCTCCTGGTTCTCGGCAATAGTCTCCTCATCGTCAAGCTCGTAGCGGGGACCCTCGAAGATCTGGATGGAGTGGTGCTGGATATCGGCAAGGATCTAGAATTGGGGGTGAAGAGCATCATGTTAGTCTCGATATGATCAATCAATGACAACAAGAAAGTTGTTTGGTAGGAAACGGGGGGAAAAATGCATACTCTCTGCTTGAACAGAGCAACCTCCTCGTCGGTCAGGGTATCGGCCTTGGCAATGACGGGGATCAGGTTGACCTTGGTGTGGAGACGGCGCATAACTTCGATGTCCAGAGGCTTGAGGGAGTGGCCGGTGGGCTGGATGAAGTAGACACAGGCGTGGATGCGGTTGTCGACAATGTTGCTGCGGTTAACCTTGTTCTCGGCCTCCAGGTAAGTGTCGAAACGCTGCTCGATGTTCTCGACGATAGGGCGCCACGAGTCGTCGTTGTTGACAAAGTCACCGAAGCCAGGAGTATCGATGACGCTCAGGCGAAGACGGACACCGTTCTCCTCAATATCAGCGCTGGTGGACTGGATCGACACGGTCTTGGGGATAATATCGGCATTGGGGCCGGTACGCTCCTTAGGAGGGTAGAGGGAGGTGTTGAACAGAGTGTTGACGAGGGTCGACTTTCCGAGGCCGGATTCACCTATCCAGGGAGAAAAGCGTGAGATATACTCATACAAGGCAATTGGCGGGGAAAAAGCCAGGGCAAAGCTTGTATCTCAATTTACATACCGACAACCATGACGTTAAAGTTGAATCCTTTCCGGACACTCTTGCGGTGCCACTGGTTGGGCAGGTTGGCGAAACCGACATAGCCGGTCAGCTTGCGGCGAACCACGTTCTTCATGTCGTTGGCAGCCTGAGCGACGGCCTTGGGGTCGCGCGAGCTAACAGTCTGAGCATTTCCGGAGCCCATTGGGTTGGTTCGCTCCACGAAAGGAGACTCCTTGCCGCTGCTGGGCGTGGGGGAGTCGCGGGACGCGACGGGGGAACTGTTCGCAATCGGCGAAGCTAAAGAATCCATCAGTGACTCGTTCCGAAGATTGCGGTCGGGTCCTCTTTGAAGAATCGAGATCGTGGCATCGGCTCCGCGAGGGGGAAAAGGGTGTAGAAGCTGCTTACACATGGCGACGGTTTTGTTTTGCGGAGAACGTTAAGATGGAGGATACGGAGACAACACGAAAAGATTCCCTATGAATTTGATTATATCATCAGTATCAAATTGCACCAGGGTGGAGATTCGTCATAATCAGGATAAGAAAAAAAAAAGTCGTTCGGGGAGGAGAGGATTGAAAGATCGAGAATGTTCAGGGATTCATACCTAGAGAAACTTCGGCCCAAAAAAGGGGGGGGGAGGGAGAAAGAGGGAGGGAAAGAAGGAGATGGATTCAAAAAGCGAGAGACAAGAAGCAGCTCAAGCGGAGAAAGCTCGAAGCGCGCAACGAACGAGAATTGAAGGAGAGGAGGGAGGATGGGGGGAGAGGAAAGAAGCACTGCCAGTCTGGGAAAGAAAGGGGGGGTTGAGGTTCTCCGGTCGGGTCCAGTGATCTTGCGCCAAAGAGCTATTCTGGAGTGGGATCGACCCGCGTCAAGCACCAACTCTAGTATTTATTCGACTGCAGTACGATACATCATCTTTCTTCCCGCCCAATGCCACCAGTTGTGACCAGTAATTATGGTTTCTTGAACGGGCAAGTTTGCGACTCATGACTGGGCCATCGCACATTCCTCGGGTTTTTGGGAACTGCATGGTGTTCTCCCTCGTACGGGGAATGCGGGCCAGGCTCTGGGAGTATACGGCCAGTTGTCATGTTCTCGATCATGCAAGCCTAATCCACTTGGACTAGACACGGGGGCCATCTTAATGGCACTTATTCGCTAGGTTATTACCTGATAGAACTCGCTTGATCATGAGCCAGCCTTGTCTAGTATTCCCTACTGGGGTATATAGCTATCTTCTATCCTTCATGTTCTGGTTCGAGACAAGACTCTCCAAGATCAGGGGCTACGGGGTGGTTCACGTGAGCTCCACCGGGTGGATCCACCTATTTACGGTAAACTGTTGATGTTGACGAAAAGATATCAAGGAGCATTTGTTTTTCATCAACGAACGCCAGGATACAGTCCGGTCCCAGATCGAGTGAAGAAGAAAGAAATAAGAAGAACTAGCTATACACATTTATTTCCCGATCTTGCTCTTCTTCTTGGGCCGGGTTTCATCATCATCCGACCCAGCCGCCGCTTCCCCATCATCACCTCCTGCATCACCCATCTCCTCGTCGCTGTCACCGCTGCTCTCGTGTGCCGAGTCGTACTCTTCGGCGACATCAGAGTCGGAGGAGGCATTGAAGTCCTCATCTACGGACTCCTCGTCCTCGTCTGCCGAGCCACGGTCGGCCCGTGCACCCTCCTCATCGCTCGACTCCATCATATCATCGTTGTCGAGTGCCGCCTTTAGGAGGGTCGCGGACTCTTCGGACATCTCATTCTTAATGCGAATGCCCTTGGCCTTGAAGAAGTCTTCCAAGGGTTGTTGCTCCTCACTATTTCTCTGATTAGTATATATACCGCTAAAATAGCTGAAGTGGAGGTGGCTCTTACCGGTTGATGTTGCTGAACTGGTGCTCGCCCAGACCACCCTTGAGGCTGACGGTAATATCGAAGGTTCGGCTGGCTGAGACGGCGCCACCGACACGTGACATGGTCACTACTGCGACGTTCTCGAGCTGGATGTAAGTGGCAGGCTTAGGAACGAACATAAGGCTCTTGTCCAAGAAGTAGAGAGAGCCCTCGTTGGCCTTGATGGAGCACTTAACCCCATGATGCCCGTGGTGGCTGATAAAGTCCTTCGAAGGCATGATGACCTTCTTGCCAGACAATCCACGGAAGATCTTGGTCACAACCTGGTGAATTGGCTCCTCATAGTGTGCCTGAAGCTTATCTCCGTACTGCTTCTTCAATAATTCCCTGCAAACGGTGTTAACAAAAGGGACTCCACGGAAATTCTTTCCCATTTTTAAACTCACTCTGTCATGTTCAGCTCCAGGCTGATCTCCTCATCCAACTTCAACTGCATCACCAAGAATGGATAGCGAGTCTGACCCTGGCGAAGAGGAGGGTCGAGACCAAGCACGATGAGAGTATGCGTATCGTCGTTCTTCGGAAGCAAGAAGAACTTTTTAATGGCAGCGTATTGAATCTTGTAGTCGTACGTTTTGCCACGGAGACGGAAGGACGACTCGTACATATCGATATCGAAACGACCTCTAAATGAGATATGGTTAGAAATGCAAGTCTATAGCCGGGAAGCGAAATGACAAACCTGGGCGTAAGGTGCAAAACATCCAAGAAGGTCGCAAATGTATCACCCGCCACGTC